TTAAGCAATAATGTTTCTTTTCAGGAAAGCTAAAATTTTTGGCCAAGCATCTTCTTGTGCTCTTGCATGACACTTCATCTCCCCTCCCCACACTAAGGAGAAATCACCTGACCATTCACCCGTGTTTGATGTGTAACTGGCATAGCAGTGTGGTGTATATGGTGGCTCAATAAGATGTCCTGCGCCAGGATAACATAAGACGGAGCACAAATATTCTCTGCCACGTTTCTTTAAACGATCTTGTATCAGGTTCACCGAAAAGTCGACATTAAGGAGGAGGTCGTTAGTACCACAGACAAGCAGAAGAGGACATGAAATATTCTCAACTGGTGTTAGGTAAGGGTACTTTGAAACTGGGGTGTCGAGATTGGTGATTGTTGGAAAGGCATAACGCCAAATACTTCCCTCTTCCGTCTGTATTTTCTTGCTGTGTTCAAAAGGAGACACCTTTGAGATCTTTCCTCTGTATTTAAATGGTGAAGGGTAAGAATGCACAAGAGGTGAAATGGCCACAACGGCTTTAACAGCTTTCATTTGAAGACTTGCCATTAATAAGGCGATGTATGATCCAACACATATAGCGTGAACACCAATCCCATGAGGTAAAACCTTAGGGTGACTGCTTAGCCAATTGGCTGCCTCCTCAAAGTACTCCATATCACATTCATTTGTAAGACCATCTGGTAGATCATCGAAATTGAGATAGGCTAGGGCAAGAGCAGCGAATCCATGAGACGCTAAGAGAGACGCCTTGTATTCCACAAGTCCTCCTACTTCCCCAAGCATGTCTATGACACCTGGAGAATAAAGAGAACCAGTATTTTGGTATATTGTTGCTCTGAGAGAACTGGCAGTGATGCCGTGTCACTGAGAAAGTGAAAGACCGAATTTGATTTTATGGTTTGTGTAGATAATAATAAGCGATCAGATTATTCCAATATGTTTTGGTAACCAGCTACAATATTTTTCTTGGTGAAAGGTTCTAGGTTACACTATGGCTTTTTTTTAACTATTTGAAAGCGTAGTCAGTAGTGCTTGCCACCGGAAAACAGTGGCTTCATCACTTTGATGCCCCGGGGAAAGGCACTCCCTACAGTCCTTTGTGGTTAATGTTTGTACTTTATGTATTCTGGGGCCGTAGATCTTTTATAGATCCAATATGCCGTACATTTTTGCATGGTTTTGTCCATGTGTTTAAGGTTGGTGACTCTTGCCCCTCCCAAAAGACACGTGGTATGGCGTGATTCTGTGGGTGTTGAGAGTTCTGGGTCAGAGCTTAGATCAGAGTGCGCGGATATTTTTCACCAGAGACTTCTGGTTGTTACGCCATACTGATGAGCCCCAAGTAGGGTGAAACAGCTGTCTATGGCTACAATCCCGCTCTGTTTTGAGTTCTTTCGGTGTCGTGTTCATGTCTTGCAGAGTTCATTTTCACGTACTACGATCAGCATTGCAGTATTCTGCTTGCAGAATTCAATATGTCTACCTTTTTCAGGTTTCAGTTACATTAGGGATTTGACAAGTTGAAGTATTCTTATATAAATAAATATATAAATAAAATATATATACACCCGTTTTCAAAAAGGTTTTCATCTAGAGAGACGTATATATAGATAGATATATGCGTTGGTCTTCTTGCACGTGGGCCCGTGTGCATTTTTCACTCGTATCGTCTAACTTGTGAAAAAACTCAGTTCAACTATATATCTCTCTAGATGAAAACCTTTTTGAAAAATAAATGTCTATTTTAATGTTTTTATTTATTTTAATTGCAATAACAACATCAGGACTGGGTCGAGCGGCCGTCTAGGATAAACGCGTGTTCGTGAGCTCGCTTGTTCGAGAGGGGAAAAATAATGTAATTTGTGAATTTAGACGAGTTTTTATTTATTTACTTTTTACATACTTAGTACATTACTTCATTTGTTTACCTCTCTAGTTCGCACCGGATTTGAGTTCTTTTTGGTCCAGTTGGTATTTTAATACACAGGAGAGGTAAAGGATTAAATTAACTGCAAAAACCGTGGACGAAGATCCTGCTGGTTGTAAACGTTGGATCTCTAGAAAAGAGATCAAATCAGCTAAAATATAAAGAAACAAGAACGAGAAGTCCGAAGACTACAGCAAAGCTGATTTAAAACAACGTTTATTGTTTTTTATAACAATATTTCGGCTGGCCATACCAGCCTTCTTCAGGTTTACAGATGTTACTGAACTTATGTAGCAATCACAATATTATAGAGATGGAGAATGTCGCAATAAAAGGGAGAGGCGGAAATGACGTACAACATAAAAACTGGATAGGAAAAATACTAAGGATATGGATTACAATAATTCGTTACGGCGGTTTAGGCCATGAGGTTCAAGAGTCATGGCCTTATCTATCAAATGCGACTCCCTGGCCTTACGAACTGAGTCACGTGAAGAATGAATTTTTTCCAGTGGGATTAACTGCATGTCAGTATGAGAATGGTTAGAGTGAGAGAGAAAGTGTTCAGAAACAGTAGTGGGTTTAGAATTAATGTTAGTTTTGTCGACTGCACGTCTGTGTTCGTTAAATCTGTCCTTGAGACGTCGCTTAGTTTCACCTATATATTGTAAATTACAGGAGAGGTAAGCAATTTGTGTCTTTTTGTTTTTGTTTTGTTTGCGTTTATCTTTTTGTATAACTTCTTTTGTAGTTTTACTTGTTCTGCTAATATATTGGAACATGGGTCTCTGTACTATACAATGATGTAGAAAGTGCGGTCTTAAATGGAAGCTACGTCTCGACTAATTAGGGAAGGTACGTTTTTAATTGGGGGGGCTGAGGTATTTTTGATCTTTTTTCTAAAAAAATTCGTAGCCCTCCCATTTTCCTTACGTGGTAAGCACGTGACCTCCCCCATTCCTATCCTTCCATTGCATATGCACCGGTTCACCACAATCGGAAACTCTAAGACCCTTCCCTGACTATGACAAGCTAACTGATTCCCATAACCTACAACTAACAGCAACATCTATCGATGGTCACGAACCTGATGATTGTCAGCCCCGAGCTCAAATGAAAAAATGTTATACGGAAACAAATTAAATCCAGGAGACAGTGTAGCTGATTTGTCTCGGAACTATATTGTTTCGCAGAAGTTTGTGAAGGGCTATGTTGATCACCTTGCTCAAATTGAAACGCGTAAGGAAAAGCGAAGAGCTGAAAGTGAAAGGCAGCAAACGCTACTGTTGGAAACAAGATTACAACGACATTGAATGAGAGTAATTGTATAATTCTGACCAAATATCGTCGTTGAAAGTTCATGAGCTTAATTTGTATTTAGTACGTCATGGAATCGTGTCAAGGGGAAGAAGCAAGAGAAAGTAGCATTTATAAAGTACATATCGCTAGCAGGATCTTATCACGCATGGAGAAAGATACTCCACTTCGTGAAGAAACTTCAGCTAACTTCGGGCTCAGAAAGTGATGACGATTAAAGGATTGTAGGCTCTGAAACATTGTCAACATCATCGAGAGAATTGAGCGACAGTTACGTGCCATGGCAGAACAAGAAGAAAAAAGAAAGACAGAAAGAGTGAATGAATCTGCTGAATGAACTGTAATAAAACAGCTGTTTAACAGAAATCTTGAGCAATTACAAGTTCCCGTTCAATATATAGGAAGGGCTGCAGGTACGAAGCTTTAAAGTACGAAAAAATGACATCAATGTGTTACCTGAACACATATTTACACAAACCACTGTAAAAAAAAAAAGGCTTGACTCTCCCTTAATACCTTTTAAAATAAGGGTTGACCCTCCCCAACAGTCCCATTTCATATTGGATGACCCTCCCCTCTGAAGCAACAGCCCCTTCCCCAGTTAAAAACGTACCTTCCCTTACTTAATAGTCTCTAGAGGCGTTCGACAAGGATGCCCCCTAATTCCCTCAATATTTGTTTTAGGCGTAGAGGTTCTGGCCAAAAAAGTATGACTGTCCCCGGAATGCCGAGGAATAAAATTACCGCAATTAGTGGAAGCCAAATTAGTCAATTCGCAGATGATACCACTCTCATCTGTAGGGATATAAAAGCGCTTAAAGAAAACATGAATGTTGAAAATAATTTTAGTGCCATATCAGATCTTGAGTTAAATACGACAAAAACGAAAGCACAAAAATAGTGAAAGAACCAATTAAATACTTAGGAATAAGTTTATCAAACAAACATGATAGCAACGATAACTTAAATTTCTTTGTCAAAATTTACAAAATGGACACTAAGCTGAATATATGGCAAACAAGAGACCTAACTCTAATTGGACGCACAACGTCAGTTAAGACCCTGGCCAGGGCTTATCCAAATTAGTTCATGTAGTCTCTGTGTTCCCAAAATGGTTATTAAAATGGTACAAGAAAGAAAAAATGAAATTCTTGTAGAAAAACAAATATAATGAAATAACAAGATCTGTGATGTATCAGTTTCTGTCCTGTGGTGGACTGAATTTTACGAACTTCCGCACAGTGGTTAAATCGCTGCTTTTAGCTGGTTAGGCAGGCTTTTTAACTGTACAAATGAATCATGGCAAACAATCCCAAATGACTTTTTCAATAGATATGGAGGATTACCTTTTTAACTAAAAAAAATTATGATTCCAAACGTTTAGACAAACCTCCTCTCTTTTATAGTGAAATGTTGGATTATTTTAAGGAAGTGCCCGTGAGTCACCCTGATGTCTATAAAAGTGAATTCATTCTTTGGAACAACAAATATATATATTTTAGGGACATCTTTATGAGCAAGGAATTTGTTCTGTTCAAGGTTTATTAGACGAAAACGGAAAATTCTTGTCCATTGTACAAGTTAAACATAATGTGCACCTGAATTTTCTTTCAATATTTTCAACTTATTGCTGCGATTCCAATCGGCTTGAAGAAAAAAGCTCACGAGAAGTTGCCGTAACGAAAAGAGACGTACTTAAGGAACAAGACTGGTTTTCTACTTTTCCGACAATAGACCACTCCCTTTGACTAAATTGAGATGTAAACAATGTAAATTATTACAATTTATTTCAGGAAAGTCAAACAACAGAGCCTACTGCTGTTAAACGCGGGCCAACCTCTAGGAAACTTCTAGCAAAGGAAATTCCGATGAGAGAGGGGGCCCAAAAGGAGACAATTTCCAAGGAGGTGGGGGATTGCTTAGAGAGGTTTTTTCCAGGGGGTCTGAGTAAGATTGGTGAGTTCTTAATAGATAACAGCTTCTCTGTTGAAAAAGCTATCAGTTATTTTACTGTTACCGGTGATTCAAAACAAGTATTATTGTTGTATTGATCATCTTTTATTACAGACGGCTAAATGCTTTTCTCACGGCTTACGCGATAGTTTTCTTTAATACAATTAAACTTTCGGTTATCTAGCTGTTGTTTATTATCTTATTACACACTTGATTCACGGTAATTTGGTCGTGTTCTAAGCCTTCTTGCAACATGTCCTAAGTAAAATGAAGTAATGAAAGTTCACGTGGTGTGTTTAGTTTGAATGTAACTGGTTCTTTTGCAGATGACATTATTCGTGTAGTCAGTAGTGCAAGTTATCACCTCCATGGTTAATTATTAGCTAAGAATGTCCTTGAGATTATTAGACACCGTATTAACATGAAGGAAAATATTTTTTTGTCATTTTATCGCAGAAAAAAATGTCTTTCGCATGATAAGATAGTGCAACAACATTTTGACACAAATATTCTTTCCAGGGAGTACCCAACCAAGTTGAAAATATACGGAAATTCCAAGGGGTGGGGGTATGACAAGCTCCCCCCCGGAACGGAAATTCCAGGGGTATGGGGGGTCTAAAGCAAAAGTGCCCTCCGTGGGGGGATATGGATGTTTTCTGGAACTACACAATATGTCTTAAGGGGCCCCTTGAAAAGTGGGGATTTTGACGAAAATGGAGAATTTGGCGAAAATTCGCCAGAGCCTTCGGAACAAGTTAAATAAAACGATTAAAGGTAACCTTTGCGGTTTTGACGAAAATAGCGAATTTGGTGAAAGCTTTGAAAATGGCGAAAGTTAGCAAAAACTCAAATGAGATGGCAAAGTGGCCCTTTGAGATTGGCAATTTTGACGGAAATGCCGCTATTTACGGGTATAAATCATTATCCTTTAGTAACTGAATGATTAAAGTATAGTTGTGTTAAGTTGTTGTTCAGGATTGCAGTTAGTAGAGAGGACTAACTATGATATACGGGAATCCATTGCTTTTAATCTACATTGTTTTTCCTGTTCCGTTCTTTTATCCATTGTCATACACCGGCATCAATCGTTAGCGATGCTTTGTTATACTTGATGGAAGCCAAATTTTGGCAGAGCTGATAAAATTCGTGCCCGAGGCTATAGAGTGTTTTAACTGTGGCGCAATGAAAAAAGAAATTTGAAACCGTTCAACGACAGTAGCCCAGAAAATGAAACGTTACAGAAGACTCATAATATACAACATATTCAAGTCTCACTTAAATTACAATATTAATTAATTTAAAGAATGTTACAAAATAATAATAAATATGGTATTACAGATTAATTACAATAATTACTTTAATTATTATATTTATCATAAATAAGAGACCAGAGGAAGGATAGAAAGACGTAGAATTAACAGCTTACGAAGTCACAATCACTTAGAAATATAAAAACAAATTTTAAATTCTCACTTTTCATTCGGCATTCATTAACGTATCTAAATCAACATAACCAGCTCCTGTTTAAGACTGTTTAAAGAAGATCTGAAATAAGGATTCGGTTGTTTTCTTCTTGAATTTAACGTATTTGCCGAGACTGGCCACCGTGGAGCCAAGCGCTGTAAAATATCGGAAATTCAAAATTACTTTTCAATTTACACACCTCTCATCTTGCCACCCTTCAAATTGCAAAAAGGGTTTTGTAAAAGGAGAAGCATTACGTCTTTTAAGAACTAACTCAGTTAGAGAGAACTTTGAGCAAAGCAAACGAGACTTAAGAGTTAAGTTCACTGACAGAAAAGAGGCTCTTCGCAACAAAACAAAACAAACAAAAGAGGTTTTACCGTTTGTTACAACCTACAATCCGGCCACGCCGAATCTCAAAAAGATTCTTATGAAACACTGGCACATCATTCAACAGCAACCTAAGCTTAAACAAATCTTTAACCAACCACCGATTGTCTCCTACAGGAAGGAAAAATCTCTCAAGGATATCCTAGCCCGCAAGAAAATTCCTTCAACCTCGCAAGAATCACAAAATCAACGGGTGTCTAGAAAGCGATGACCTAGAAAATGATGACCTAGAAAACGACGACCTAGAAAACGACGACCTAGAAAACGATGACCTAGAAAACAATGACCAAGAAAACGGCGACCTAGAAAACGATGACCTAGAAAACGATGACCTAGAAAACAATGACTAAGAAAACGGCGACCTATAAAACGATGACCTAGAAAACGATAACATAGAAAACGACCACCTAGAAAACGGCGACGGGGATGAAGTAGCTCGAAGGATTAAGAGGTTAGAGGAGTACAGAAGGCGGGAAATAAGAGGACGGTAGGAGGGAATTATGAATGGGTGAGAGGTGGGCGAAGAAGGAAAATTACAGAAATATAGTGAAAATTATCTGTAAAAAAAATGGTCAAGGGTATGAAGCCAAGGAATAAAACGGTGGAAATGGAAATGCAAGGTACGCGAGGTCTCCCTTCTGTTTCGTTTATCAAACAGGCGTTGCCTGTTATTGATAGATTTATTTGATGACAAGAATCGTGATTGACATTAATTCTATACATTGATTTAGAAGTATTAGGTTATTGTGTTTCAAACCAGCTTTCCAGTAGAATCGAAGTGGGAAAGAAAATAATTTAGTCTGTCTATAAATCCGCTTACCTGAAGAATCTGTTAAAAGAATTTGCTAACCTGTAAAGTGCGACTGTTGTAACGACCCGCCACAGAAATAAGTGAACATTGAAGTTTTCTGAATTTAGCTACGAGATTAAGACGATTTGTGTTTGTTCTGATTGCGAATTATAAATGTGTTTCTTCTAGATCGAATAATATTAATTATTAAAGCTTGGCTTGATATTATGCGGTTTGTGGTGGTCATTTGAGCTAATCAGTTCCTAAGGAAACACCCTCCCCCTCTAGAACTGGGTGGGGTGGTGGCCAATAAAGTGTATACTGATTAAAAGTATATCGGGTTATTTTTCATGAGCGATCCCGGAGTGTGTTAATAAACAGGGGGTGGGGAACGAAGTATTTCTAAAAGTAAAAATTTGGGAAGTTTTCACCCTTAGGCAGCATAAACCTTCGTTACATGTGGTCGCAGGAGCTATTGTTTTGTCTCGGACATTGCATTGTGCATTGCGTGAAAGTGATGGAAGAATTAAAGATGAACCGAAGTGAAATTTTTAATTTTGCTCTGCGCGGTCCACCTCTAACCAAACTTTTCTTCAAGTGTTTTCCTTTTCCTTTATAAAGGTCCTCTGCTCACGTTTTTTTTTTCAAACTTTTTTTTGTTTGACTATTATTTATCAAAATTGGTTTTCTAGGTCGTCGTTTTCTAGGACATCGTTTTCTAGGTCGTCGTTTTCTAGGTCATCGTTTTCTAGGTCGTCGTTTTCTAGACACCCCAAAATCAACGAAGCGGTTAAAAGCAAACTAGAAGGGAATTTGCATAGGATCACTTCAACTAACTCCCTAAAACGGCAATCACGCATCCATGGTTTATTTCAATACAACTGAGTCATTATATTCTCAGGCCTTTCAAATTCTACCACTGATCATTCTTATTACGAACGTAGAAGCTGTGGACTCGACCTTATTAAAACTCAAATTTAACCTGCCAGAAGACCTCGCTATTCTGATTTCAGAGTTTGACGAAGTCGTTATTGGTGCCATATCCTAATAGGCGGTTTTCACGTTACGTCATCGCCGCCATGCAGGTGGACGGTAAACAAAAGATCGCTCATTAGCTCGCTTTGTTTGTCCACCAGCATTTGTTCATTTCACCATTGTTATTTGTGTCTCCCGAGGATGCATGAAAACCACCTATAATAATGCTTTCATCTGTGACATTTGATACTGTGGAATATAAATAGTGAATAAAGATTGACCTACCAGGAAACGGTCCTTCTCCTGGAGGAAGGAAAAGTGTCCCTCGGATTCGTCCATCTCTAACAGGAACTCTCCTGACTCCCTTCGCCATGTACCACTTCTGAAATGTCGTACTTGATAGTGGTTGCAGCTGTCCTTGCTGCGGACTTATATGACCATCAAAGCACTTTAAGACAATGTTATATGGTTTGGTAACATCTGTTTTAAAAAGTCGAAGGCCCTTCTTCTGTCCTGGAGCCTGTTTCATGCTCCATAACAATCCCATGGGTTCAACACCGCTGTATGTTCCTCCCAGGGACGAGTAACGATAAACATCAACTTCAGCGTGTTTATCAGCAATGTAGTGGGCGTGAGATTGAAATATTTCTCCGCTGTCGCCGACTATGTTGGCTCCAAGTGTAATCTTTTGAAATGGCTTAAGTCCTGCCACTATAATTTTAATCATACTGTCTACGAGGGAAGACCTTGGTCGCAAGTTGAGCATGGTATTTCGTCAGAGGACAAAATAACTAGGAACGTGTATAGCGGGGCGTTGAGGTAAAGTAAGCTATTCACTGATCAAGGACAAAAGTCTCGGAATAAATTTGCATTTTCGGGGCTTTAATTTAAATCACACATGCTCAACCCTTCTCCCCTCCAGATTTTCCCGAGTTTCAATACTGTAGAAGGTGGGGGTGGGGAAATGCAATATATTTTCCAAGACTACCTCTGTTTTATAAGGGTACTCAGAAACAACCTCGTTCCTGGGAACGAGGTTGCCTCGGAAGAACGGTTAGCGGGGTAGAAAAAGATTTAGACCTTGCTTTAATCGGATATTACGGTTACTGTCATTTCAGTTTATGGTAGCTTGAGTTACTCTTTTGTGGGCAGTTAACGGAAGCGCGCAATAACTCGATTGGAAACGCTTGCTACGCAGGCTAAAGCCTAAGGAGGGGGGCGTAAGGGTTCGCGATATTGCGGTATTGGGTTATTTTTGGTTATTTCAAAGTACGGTATTGCGGTTTTCAGAGCCCGAGCGGTGTGCGGTAAGTTTAAATTTCATGTCGCGGCAGTCGCTGAGATATGATATCCTTGTGTCGCGGTGATCTGCTTCTTTTTCATGACAAGAGGGTACAAATCCTAAAAGGTCTCGCTGGCTAGCCTGCGTGACCTGCGTGTCTTCCACGTTGCACAGTCGGGGATCGTATTTCGCAAATAGTCCAGACAAATCGTTTGGCTTGTAATTTCAGTTAATACTTGATATGATTAACGACATTAAGTCTTTTATCCCAAAACATGTCGCATTATTTATGACCTCATGGTCGACCTTGTGGAAATAGTTGGCTTGGTTAACCTCCTTACCAACCTCATCGTCACTTTCGTGCCACTCGCGAAACAATGGCGAGCGATCCAGAAGGTCAACTAAGTGAATAGTCAGATATTCCAGCAAATAGTGAGGTCAGTGAAGTCGTTATAAACTGCGTAGTGTCGAAAGATAATCTTTGAAGAAGGTGTGGTCTCAAAATTACTACTCGTCCTTCTCGTTGTGCATGCTGGAATATAGAATGTACTAGTATCAGGGGCACCCAACGAGAATATAGTTCAAAACCACTTAAACATAACATTGTTGAAGGTATTTTAACATTTAAACGGTAGATGTAGGCATATTTTTATCCCCTGAAAATTTTTAATCTGTTCGGATTTCCTAGCTGAAAGTCTAGTGATCCGAAAATTATAGGGGTCAAAACTTACCTTTTCGAAAATTTCAGCCACAAAAAAGGCTCCCGAGAATTCTAGGTGATCTTTTTAGGGTAAAAATCCGTTAAAAATGGGCAATTATACCATTTTTAGATGCTCGAAAATCCTAGGAGAGGCAGGCAAGCAAGACATTTTACAAGAAATATTCCGAAAATTCTAGATCTCAAATTGTCTTCCGAACAGATATTTTCCAAAAATTGATGCTAGATGCCCCTGTAGTTTTCGTGTGTGCTTAGCCTGCGTAGCATGGTGGTTTTGCTTGGTTTAGTCCGGAGCACGACTGAGGGGCGAAACAGCTCCCGTCCCAGTCTCCTGGCCCGCGCCCGTCTTTTTTATTCAGCGCGCCCAACCAAAACCGCCAAGCTACGCAGGCTAGTTAGGATTGGAAAAATTCTGCTCGTAAATTGGCTTATTCTCATGCCGGCAGTGCTCGTAAAAATCGCTTATTCTGCTCAAAATTCTGCTCGGACACCCCCGCCCTCGGGCCGTATTTATTTTCGCAAATATAGTAAGGAACCTGGGCCTAACCCCTTAAAACTAATTAGATATTGTAATTCATCTTACTTTAATGTGAATGCGTTGTAGCTATTTAATAATCGAATTAATCACAAGGTATTTTCCTTTTGTTTTAAATTTTTCTTACAACTGTTATGCAAATCATTAGCGCCGCTGACTTTCCCTTATTCTGCTCAAATTCTGCTCGAAAAAGCTCTATTCTGCCGGCAGAATTTGTCCAAGCCTAAGGCTAGTGTGTGCTGTGTGCCCTTCGCATCCCAAAGGCAACCCTGGTAGACGTCTTGAAACCCTCAACACAGAACCGAGTTAATTGTGAACCTGAAACAACCTCATAAAAGTGAAAGTAATACTAGGAAACTCCTGTTGTATCATTTACCTATACATATACGTGTAATGAACAAAATTAAACGAGTGCGATGATCTTATGTTTATTGTACATGTACGCTTGACATCGAAGCACCTTGATTTTGAAACACTGCCATAAAAGTATTATTTCTATGTGAAAGGAGGATTTGTAGGATTGGCAACGTCAACATTTTCCCATTGGTAACTGCGGTTTCGGTATTTAGGTAAATTGTGATGCGGTATTACGGTATTCTCGCGCTACCATGTGCGGTATTGCGGTATTCGTACACCCCTTAAAACCCTCCTCCCTAAGAGCTGTCAGACCTTGGTTTTGTATTACTTATGCGAATTAGCCGGCTGCACATTGAATGTGCAGCCAGTTAATTGGCATAAAATGTTTTCGCGCTTCAAAGCTCGTCATGGCGGCTCCGCAGAACGTAACTACGATGGTAAAATTACGGCCAATCTCTTCCCTCGTAGACAGTATGACTAAAACTAACATAGGCACGTTAAACGTGCATGAGCTATTTTGAATGCTTCAGTGTAACTTTAATGCTTCGGTGTAACCTTACCAAGCGTGATGAATCTACCTCTTTCATCCTAAATGTAGATTGGGTTTTCATGCGAAATTGCGTATTGCGGTACATAAATGAAAACTCGAAACGCTCAGCTGAGTCGATCCTCAAGCTATATATTCACTTTCCTCTGTCTTTCCCTGTTACATCATGCAAGTTAAACAAATCGTTAAAGTGAAATAAATTTCTACTCACCAAACGTTGATTAGAAGGAAAACTCTAAGGTTTCCTCGAAGTTTCTTAAGCCAAAATGTGACTCATCGAATACTGAATAGTTACGAAATACCAGGATTTTTATCTTTGTGGTAGATGGTTGCATCATCATAATTCACGAGGTTTTCACGTGCGATTCTACTCAGTGAAACAGTCTTTAACTCCGACAGCTTATTTCTTCATGTTTTAAAAGCCATTGCTTCTTAAAAGACGGGAGCCTTTTTTAAGGCATTGGTTACTAAACGAAACAGATCTTCATACGTCCAAGTTACTATTATTATTGTGAAAAGCCAACCTACATGAGATGTACAGTCACACAGCTGGCACGTGAAAGTGTTGGACTTTGCCCCCTTTCGTGGTTCGTACGTGAGGGAATTCGAGTTATCACACAGTAATCTGGTAAACAGAATTATAAAAATAACTCATGCACACAATTTGCATGTGAAGATGTTGGTCTTTGGCCCTTTCACAATTCGTACGTAAAAAAGAGGCAAATTGTTTTACTACAAAATTTTCTCAAACGATTTTAAGAAATCACCTCGGCTTTATTACAACATCTGCAATTAAATTATGTTTCATGCAACGTCAAGGTTGATAGCCTAACATTTATTAACTTCCAAGAAAATTATCAAACTGCTGAAATATATTTCAACTTATATCATGTTGCTCCACTCAGTATAACAGTATCCAATTAGCTTCTTCGAATTTTATTCCCTTACACTACTGTTTCTACTGAAGTTACGCATCTTTAGTAAATAGAACGAAAAAGGTCGGTTGAACTTTGTAAGCGAGAGAATAATATTTTTAAAGCTTGTTTACAGGATTAACAATACTCGATACAGCTTTCAAAAAAATAAGCTGCCTTTTAAACTTCTAAAACCACATTTTATGGGGCGCATACTTTCGAAGTAAAGTCTATATCTAAATATCAATTATTGCTTCATTGGAAGAGATTTGAAAATATATGATCTTTTATACTCTACCCAGTTGTAGTAGGTGAAACAGAACTCATACTGACGTGCGTTGTACCGATAGCCGAATTAGGTCAGAAATGCCTCGAAGCAGCATCCACACTTAAATATGAACCCTTAAACAGTTGCATCACTGTTCACAGCGTTTGAATCATGAAGATATTTTATGTAATGCTTCCAAACACCTGTAGCCGTCATAAAAAACGAAAAAATTGTGAAGGATCAAGATGGCGGTCTCAAAGCGCCCTTGTTCGACCTTTACCAATGCCATGTTTAAATAGATGCCAAGATCTCATTGGTTCCTAAGCATCAACTCATAGTACCTTCAACCTTATTGGCTCTTGCAACAAACATCCGAACATACAAAGTTACAAAGATACAAAGTTACAAAGCCACAAAGATACATACGCTCACACCACTGACATATGAGCTATTTTTTCAAAATAGCTCAATAATGGTAGGACTTAAGCCATTACAAAAGATTACACTTGGAGCCAACATAGTCGGCGACAGCGGAGAAATCTTCCAATCTCACGCCCACTACATCGCTGATAAAGTAAAGTGAAGTTGATGTTTATCGTGACTCGTCCCTGGGAGGATCTTACAGCGGTGTTGAACCCATGGGATTGTTATGGAGCATGAAACAGGCTCCAGAACAGAAAAAGGGTCTTCGCCTATACAAACGAGATGTTACCAAACCGTATAACGGCGTCTTAAGCTACTTTGATGGTCATGTAACTCCGCACCAAGAACAACCTGAGTTGCAGCCACTATCAAGCACCACATTTCAGAGGTGGTACATGGCAGATGGAGTGAAAAGAATTCCTGTAAGAGAAGGACGAATCCGAGGAACGCTCTTTCTTCCTCCTGGTGAAGGACCTTTTCCTGGTAGGTATTCATTTATTATCCACAGTTTCGTAATCGCATTACTAGTGTGCCCGACCGGCTTACTAGAAGCAAGCAGCCATTAGACAGCTTTAAGGGGGGCCTTACTTTGGGGGCCTTAAATCTTATGTTGAATATTAATTTAAAATAATTAATAAATTTTCTTCCTTTATAGTTAAATTATACGATTAAGTAATAATGAAAAAAAATTAGCGATGATTCAAGAAGTAGTCGCTAGTTAGAAATCCAAATGTCCAATTCACTTTGCTTTCGCGTTTCTAGATGACACAACCGCTAGTATTTGGTTTTTTTTTTTCATTTCTGTTTAAGTTTAAGAGAATTACTTATGGTTTAAAAATATAAAAAGATATAAGGCGTTAATTTCATGGATGACAGATTTGGCTGATTTTTGCTCATATCTTGCTGGCAAACATTAAATTGTAAAATCTGCTCCATACATGACGCACTAGAGGTTTTGACCGATCATTTATTAATAAAAATCACAGGGTGCTGTCTTCTATTCTTTCCGCACACTTGGACACAAAGTCACTTCCATCATTTTACGGTGTCTCTTTTAAAATTTATCTAAATCGCCTCTAAAACAGCCGAAATATAAACGTTTTAAGACATGTAGCGCAAGCAACATTTTGCCTTGTGAATTTATTCATAGATTGGTGTTCCCCGCGGCCTTAAGTATGCGCATTCGCGTTTGCCTTCTGGTCCCTCCCCCAACCTTATTACAGTTTTTACCATTTCTTGCATACCTATAGTCATGGCTTTTTCTAACACTAATTTAAGCTAGGAACGTTTCCGTTCCAGAGAATGTTTCAACCATGGTGGTATGTAGATTGATTGGAAACAATTAGCATAACGTTAAAACAATGATTATCGCAAGGCAGATTTTTTTGGCCGGTTCGTAACTAAAGCTACAATCATGGACAAAAGTCTTGGGACAGTTGTACAGTTTGAACGCTTTTTAACACACGCGAAATTGTATCCGCGCGCTACTAACTGTACGTCCCTACCCCCTCCCCTACCCCAAGGAGTGTGTTGAAACCGTCAAAGCACAATTCCTTTGATCTTTCAACATTGTATTGGGTTGGGAGGGGAGAGAGGACATGGATTTGTAAAATGACAGCTACTGCTTTTTGCGACATTACTTGTGAAACGCATAGAATTGAAGTTGGATCTCGTCAATAAGTCGTTTGTACGGCGCTGGTAGATGTTGGCTACGATTCAGTGGCGTTTGTTCTAAGTTAGTAAACCAGCTTTCTAAAGTAAGACGTTGATAGTAGTCTGTATAATACGTTATAGAGTCCCAGTCAATTTGATGTTTCGTCTTTAAATGGTGCTCAGCAATGTGATTGTTGACGTCACCATTACTCGTCGCTCGTTTGTGTTCGGTCAGTCGCGTGCTTAAGTTTAAATCACTTTGACTCTGAAGATTACTACCGAACAGGTTGTCGAAACGTCGGTCACTGTCAACAACAACAGTCCTATTCAGGACTACGTTCACCCGGACGATCAAACGCAACCCACTTTTGAAATGACTCCTGGGTTCAAACCTTTCACATACAGAATTTTTTTTATTCGCACTGAGGTTATTTGCCAAACTCCAGTATATAAGTTCCCGATGTTGGATTTTCCATGGCAGGGCTAGATGTTGCAAAATTCGTGTTTAACTGATTTCAAAGATCTTTGTTTATCGTTGTCACGGTAAGATCGATTTACCTTGCGAATTCGTTTTGACAAACTTCAATCTAAGGTTGGAGAGGAAGAAAATTTTGTGGCGACCGGACAAGAATGAAATCACTTTTAACGCGATTGAAAAATATCAGTATGGTCTCCGAAAAATTGTATCGAGACACTTAAACTTTTCCATAATGAAACAGCGAAGGCGTAAAAAAAATCATGTTTCGTTTATTTTCCAGGTGTGATAGACTTGCTTGGAGCCATGGGCGGATTAGTGGAATTCAAAGCTGCCCTACTGGCGTCTCATGGATTTGCTGCTCTCGCATTGGCTTATATCGATTATGATGACCTACTAGCCTTTCCACCGTACCACGAAATGGAGTACTTTGAAGATGCAGCTAATTGGCTAAGCAGTCACCCTAAGGTTTTACCGGATGGGATTGGTATTCACGCTATCTGCTATGGAGCAATGATTGCTCTATTGATGGCAAACCTTCAAATGAAACCTGTCAAAGCCATTGCTGCCATTTCTCCTCTCATACATGTGTACCCCACAGCCTTTAAGTACAAAGGAAGTTTCATTTCAGAGGTAGCCCACTTTGATCAGAGTAAAAAAGTACAGGTGCAAGATGGAAGCATCTGTCGCTATGTTTTTCCAACAGCCACCAATTCAAATATTCCAGAGTCAAAGTACCCCTACCTTGCACCAGTTGAAAATCTTTCCTGTCCGCTCCTCCTTGTTTATGGAACTCACGACCTGAATGTTAATGCCACTTTTTCGGTAAATCTGATAAGAGATCGTTTAAGGAAGCAGGGCAAGGAAAACCTGTATTCCGTCTTACGCTATCCTGGTGCTGGGCATCTCATTGAGCCACCTTACACACCGCACTCTTATGCCACCTACGCAAAACGTGCAGGAGCAGTGTCAGGAGACCACCACATAGTGTGGGGAGGGGAGACAAAGTGTCACGCTAGAGCACAAGAGGGCGCTTGGCCAGAAATCATTGGATTCCTGAGAGATAACATCAGTTTGCAGAAACCGGAAACGGGCTTTGAGGAAGTCTACGCTCCCGGGAGCCTTCGATAGTGTTTGAAACTGCACGTACTTTGTTCTTTTTGTTCGTCCATGATCTGTACAGGCACCGTCGATGTGAAGAGAAGAGAAACAAGTTTCATTCGTGATCAGATTAAACACGTTTCATGAAAGTATAAAGTATATAGGTATAAAGGCATTAGTTAAGAGGACAAAGGCTTTATTTGACGGTTTGCAAGCAGAATGAAAGAGAGTTAGACACCCACGATGTTTTTAGGCGTTACTTTGACTAATCCGTAAGATTAGCAGGGGAGGTACTTAGTCCCTATAATGGTCGGTACGGGGAAACTCTGCCGAAAAGGGGTTACGTACCTTTGTCTTTGCGGTCTCGGAAAGGGCCTAACAAAGGTCTAAGAAGTTCATTTTATGGCGTAAACGACGGTGCATTTACACAGCAGGTACAAGGCTTGCAGTGTTCTAAACTAGTTAGGTATGCGAAAGGAGTACCATCTGTCAATAGAAGGTATATGAAAGGGGTACCTTTTTCTGTAGCAAATGCTAATCGAAGGGTGACAAAGAAGGGGTTGGAATTCGAGGCGGAGCTTCCCCGTATAAAACTTTGCTGAGTGCCCCCTCCGCCTGGAGATAATATTGCCTATCATTTATATTGCGCAAATTAACATAAAAATATGACCAAATGCGCATAGTATGCATGCATCTGGATGAAGTACAACTGCCAGAACTCAAACCTTTAAGCTAAAGATTTTAATTGATTTTACTTGGCAGTGTGTGAACAGCTCCACGATCCAATAAGCTTTTAAGAACAAACTAATTAGTCACTAATGGTTTTTTAAATTTTAAATAAACTTTTTGGACAAATAATCTCTCAGTCTATTCATGTGTTTGCTTACTCATAACATCAGTTTAAAACGCGATCATGAGACTTCAGCTTCCAAGTTGCAGGGAAATGTTGGTTTAAGCATTACACACGCTTTATTTCTGCGATGATGTTGGTGATTTTTTTTTTTACTTAATCCGGGTTCATTCTCATTAGTTTGAAAGCGAGGCTGAGCAAGGCCCGGTTACATATGAAGCTGACCTCCTTCATGGAAAAGACCTCCTTCTTGGAAAAGACAGGATTTCTCTTCAACAATCTGTTGAGGAGAAATCCTGTCTTTTCCAAGAAGGAGGTCTTCTCCATGAAGGAGGTCAGCTCGGGCCAAATCTGCCTCCTCCGGACCCAGTTTCGCTCCATTTCTCCCCTCCCGTCTTATTTCCGTCTTATTTTTCTTGTAATTGTTAGTATGCACGACCCCACCAGCAATGCTGATCTTCTTATCGTACTAAGATAAAGTTCTTATCTTATTTAACGACATCATCAAGCCGGATTTATGAAAACCGTACCATCGGACTCCTGGAGCCCACACACCTTAAACTGACTCAACTAAAGTACATATCGCCAGGAAACTCAGCTCTTACCCATGGTTCTCTTAAGGTGACTCTCTTCTTGGTTCCTGATTAGCAAAAGAAACATTCAAGTCCATCAAAAAGACACTCTGGACCTGGCCATACGCTCAAGCTCCTTGAGGGCCCTAAATGACGGAGGATGCTTGAGACTTAACCAAGTTCTAAGCAGAGAATTCAAGGTTAAATCACCCCCCTGACTTCCTACAACCCCCCCAGCCTAGCACGTGCTTGAGGGGAATGCTTTCGTTGGCCAATGGGCCTCAAACATAACAAGAATTTGACATGACAAACTAAAGGTAGACATGACCAGTGCACTGACTCTCCCAGAGCAAGACTAACGGAAGGTACCACGCTTTTGCAGCACCCTTCCCCCCCCTAGGGATTGACATGGAGGCCTCTTCCCACCCATGGCGAGTTAGCTCAGGGACTGAGCTTGACAATGAGACCAACCAGGACAGCAAGCCCCCTATGTTTTTTCTCACCGCAGTGACCAGAAACCTGGCTATCGCCAAGTTCCAGTGCGAATTTTTCTGGCCAGGTTTTGAGGTATGTCTTCAAAAATTGGGCTAGACATATAAGGGTTATAATTTTCTCCAAAGTGCCTTTTGGATCTGAATAAGCAATTTCTTTACTCTGTGAATGTAATGTTTTTCTGCAACGTTGTATCACCCTGGGCCCAGCTTGTTAGTGTTTTTTGCAGGATGTTAAATTATCACGAATAGGGATGTACAGGTCCAAAAATTATAAGAATGAAGAGCAGCTTAAACGGAAGCTGCACCAACTATGGAGAATTGCATTGTGAGTCCAGCTTAGTTTTTTTCTAAAGATAACGTGAGTCTTTTGACTGGAGCGCGTATTTCCTTCCTTGGTAATAGCTTAATTCACGAAAAAGCTTGACAAAGTCAGTTGGACTGTTTTGTTATTGCACTTTGTGATTAGAAAAGACTATGGTTATGGTTCTCCATGCGAACTTCGTTAGTTGCCGGGTTGGCTTTGTGCGTAGTTGCATTTACAAGAGCAACTTTAGTTGTTCTTTATCGTGGCGACAACGGAACAGCCGTGAAATAGCATCGACTTGCCAGATCCAGTTGGTAAGACTCCAATAACATCCTGGCTGTTCAGGACAGATTCGAAAGACTTTTCTTTTTAGACGTTTTGTTTATCGTATGCGATCGTTTGCTAATTTAGTGCACCCACAAATTCTGGGTGTTTGGTGGTCATGTGACTGGCTGATGCCAGGGCCTTTTCCCGCCCCACCTCCGGGGAAAAGCGCCCTGGGGACGAGGTTGGAAATAAACGACGGCGAACGCTATCCAAACAGGAGAACCATATCGACAAAGTACTTCCCACACCACTGTATCCCAAGTAAGGGGCGATCGTCGGGATGGATAGCCACATTCCAGTATGCACTGGCCACATCAAACTTAGCCATCAGTGTTCCGCGACACCAGGCCAGGACGCCCTCAATAACTGCATCGACCGAAACATACTGCATTATGAAGGGAGGCTTGGGGTTGCCATCGTTCACGCTGTGCCCAGCGGGAGAGGAACGGTCGAGGATGAGACGCCATTTACATGGTTAATTGTTCTTGGGAATGACCCCAAAACAGCTGATATGCAGAGAAGGAAAGGGAGGGGCTGAAAAGGGTCCGGCCACCCTGCCAGAGGAAACTTCGGTCTGCAAGTACGAGTCACTAAAGGGTTCTCGAAGGAGGAATGCATGTTCGATGAAGCGGACATAAGGTTGACCATGGACTACTCAAAAAAAAAATAAAAATAAAAAATACGAAAACCCTCGCGTATTCCGGAGAGCACATAGGCCACTGCTACCTGGTCTGGATGACGCCGCAATTCTGTCTGAAATAGATCCAGTGGAGAGACCCAGGAGGCCTAGGCTATTGAAGAGAAAGAACGAACAGAAAGAGCAACGTTGGGTATACTAACTGGAACTATAACAACGAGACGACTTGACCGAGGAAAGCAGATCATGCTACCCGCCGGGAGACGCAAAAAGACTATTTACCCTCTGTACACAAGCCTCGCCGGGCATAAGCGCCCATTCAGTACCGTCCCCCTCTCCCCCCGAGTGGCGAAGACCGGGATCGTGCGCTGGAAGGGTTGGGAAATGGACAGGTGATCTGGGTGTGATCATCTTCACAGTTACTGCAGCGGTGTCGATATTTGCACCTGCCAAAAGGCTAGCGGCACTGCCCGTCGTTCCATGAGTAGCAAAAAGGAGGGACCAGGCTGGTGTCACAGGAAGTGACAGACGATGGAGCTGATGCCATGGAAGAAGACGACTGAGGTAGCGGGGGGAGGAGGTGAAGTGAAAATTGTATAGGTCCAAGTTCATCCCAGACCAGTCACTGTGGCCAAAGGCAGCCGCATGCTTTCTAAACACCAGGTCGTACTCTAACCAGGCTGAACCAGAGAAATAACAAGCCGTTTGAATGATAAGCAGCTTATACTTGGACAGACAACGCCAACGATGAAGGTGAACTGCCGACAACACCATCTTAAAAATAGTGAAGGCTTCGGTCCAAGTGAAAATGTCTTTTATTTCCACTTGCCTGCGTTTTGACGAAGAAACCACGAGCTAACCATGAAGGATCGTTTGCGGCTCCTGCTCCACCGTTCGGAGGTTCGCGGACAACAAATCTGCCAATTCGACAAACTGGCCACCTACCATTTTAGACACCTGTTTTGAAGGAATAGGGGCATGCCACAGACCAACAATAAAAGCCTTAGGTGAGGAATCCAAGCTTAGAAGACTGCTAGTAACACCAGGCGATACGAAAGTGGAGGGAGTAAGAGCCACGAGGCGGGCCGAGCTCGAGAAGGTCATGGCCGACAGTGGCGTAAAGGTAGGAACAAACGGAGGAAGGCGTAACTGAAGCCACCGAAGAAACATCGTCACTTACACTCGCACTCGGATTGGACGCTGAAGAAAATGAATGTTGTGGAGCCCCGCTAGCACAAACGCCTGGAACCGAAGAAGAAACGTGCGAAGAGGCGTTCCGATTGCTCGAACCACAGCGTCGGTGAGGGAACCAGCCAACTGGGGCGACCAAGAACTGGAAGCCGTACTCGTCACAGGACTTTCAGACGTTGCCGAAGACGGAAGGGAGTCTTGGGTAGGAAAGCCTATCGATAAGCTGTTGTTGGTCGAGCGCAATGGACGCGGCATTACGAAGGAAAACAAAAACTCTCCAGCAGAGGACGAACCAAAACGGGAACTACGAGGAACAACGGTAACGAAAACCACTTCGACCGGCAAAACGTTTGCACACAACCAAGAGAAAACGCTACGCTACTCGAACCGAAAGCCAAGCCAACCAAAATTTGGCAAAACAAAAAGAAACGCTACACTACTAGAACGCCACGCTAACAAAGCTTTGAGTACAACGCAAACAGAACGTCGGCACATGGCGTGCGCATGCGCCGAAGCGGCATACCGCTGAACAGGAACCTGCCCCTATGCTCATGAACAATGGTAAGCGCTACAAACGCAAATATAGTCACTCAACAGCGCCACAGACGGCCAACACGCCACCAAAAATCGCCAAAAACACTAGAGACCAAAGCTCTTAGTCGTTATCTACATAAAATTGTCGTCAAATAAAACGATCAAAAAAGATCCTGTGTTTCTATCCGTAAATATATATTGATCCATTATTCCAAATATTCAATTGCGGACCTCCCTTAACAGAAACTGAATAGCAACACTGGTAACACTCGATCAAATGCCGATTTCTCCCTACTTGCTCGACTTTATATTTTTTTTCTAAAAGAAGAATTTCTTACTGCATCGTGTTGCAAAAATTAATGATTGATAAGGTCGCTCTGTGTTTAAATAATTTAAGGCCCGATATGGATAAAAGACCAAAAGGTGAAGACTTAATGATCACTAAAAGACATTGCAACAATACATGTATGTTAGCATGAGAAGGCGATCAGACAGAAAATAATAGATTGAAGTGACAAAGCCAGGGAAACCAGTAGTATAAATTTCACGTCAACGCAACCCCTTCCATTCCTCCGCAGAGACCTCTTCTTTGAGTCGTAGAGAGGCTGGGGAGAAACAAAAAGAAAGCAAGAAAGCCCTCGGGGCACGATGGGAAGGGGAAAAAGAGAATTTCCCTCTTCCCATCGTCCCCCTCGCGCTGTCTATTTTTTTCCGTTATTGCTATTTTTATCGGGATACTCAGGGGATTCTTCGAACAACTGGACCCCAGGCTACATAGAGGAAATGTAAAGGTTGAGCGAGATTCAACTTCTGCACCTTTGACGCTACGCGCCACCCTTCATACATTGTTTTCATTGTCACGTTATTTATACATGCGTACACACGTAAATTTTTGCACGCGTAAATAAAATAGAGGCAAAGCATGGAAAGTGTAACAACAGGCTTCCGTGTTAAGAGCGTAGCATTTTCATATATAGTGAGGCAGTAGATGTCATGGTTTGCAGTAATAGTAGACATAGTATCAAAAGGTCTTAGAGTGGTTTTGCGAGTGTGATTTCGCTGAATTAAACAGAAGGTCGCGCGTAAACCTAAAAGTTGAACCTTCTTGCTCAAGAAAACAAAAAGAGGCTCTACTCCGGCGCAGAGGGTGTCCTTAGCGCTAGAGGTCAAATAAAAAAATTCACAGAGTCAGGCGAACGACTTTAGCATACGTTTTTTGCGTTCGATGAAGAACTAAACGTATTTATTCATTAACGAACCCCTCATTAAATTTACGCGCGACCTTCTGTTTAATTCAGCGAAATCACACTCGCAAAACCACTCTAAGACCTTTTGATACTATGTCTACTATTACTGCAAACCATGACATCAACTGCCTCACTATATATGGAAATTTCTGCCATGATGTTGATGAAATAAACCTCTTTTTGAAACAAGGAAACAACTTTAGTGCATGGAAGGAATGAATAAACTTAGTAATAATTAACGATACTAAAATTCTGGTGTCAGAGGGAAGGAGGAATTAAGGAAAAGTTACACATGCTATTCACGTGTTCAAAGATGAAACTCATTTTCCGATGCAAAGAAATTTAAAACAGGAATAATTGTGCCCTTTGTGACCGAAAAATGTATAGTAGCGAATGTCCTTGAGAGCGGGAGATTTTACTATTATTAGCATGATTATTTTGCATATACATATATATATATATATTAGTGAGACGACTACATAATTATTGTCGAGAAATTGGTTGCTCTTCGTATTACTCGGACATGATGTTCGTAATGTCGAGCCATGTTGGCAACACGAAAGTTATTTTCGGACATGGTTAAAACATTCTAGATATTTCTAGATATTCTATTTCTAGATATATTCTAGATATTTTCCAAGTTAATACGCTCGATACTGCTAAATTTATGTTTCGCTACCACAATAATCTGCTGTCTCCATTCTTCCGCAATCCGTTTATGACAAACAGTCGAGTCCATAGATATGACACAAGAACAGCTAGTAATTATCGAGTGCATTCCTGTCTTACGAACATCAAGAAATTCACAATTCTTTACCAAGGACCTAGAATCTGGAACTGTCTTCCTGTATCTGTTACAAACTTGTCAAGCTTTTCTGTCTTTAAGAACAAAGTGCTAGAGCTTTTATTAAAATAGTTACTAAATTAGTTTAGCCGCACTTCTTCGCATCCCTCATTTCTTATAATACTGTGATGTCGAGGTGGCCTCTCTCTATAAGCCTGGTGGTTTCTTGAGGTCTCCTCTCCTAACAACCTGCTGTGTTCTGTTAAATTTGTTGTAAGAAAAAGGCTAATAAATGATGATGATGATGATGATGATGATGAAACATAGGTAATAGACGAAACCAACGGAGCTGCAGTTTAAGTCTTGAAAGCTGCCTGACCGTGCACAATCCTTCCTTTTTTTGGTCGCAAATTGTGACTAGGCATTTGCCGATTGTGCTAGTAAAAGTGGCATATTATGCTAGTGGCAGTGCTCGTTTTTTGCCCAAATTATGCTCAAATTATGCTCGCTTTTCAAAATTATGCTACTTTTTTAAAAAATTATTCTGTGCACAAACTTCACAACTCACAAGACAAGTTTGAAAATGTATTTTATTAACCCTGGCCAGACGTTCTGGGCCCGGTTGTTCAAAACCTGGGTAACTTTATCCGGTGGTTGGGCCTATACGGCGAATAAATCTGCTATCCAGCGGATAGTTATCCAGCGAACAAAAGTAGGTTGCACAAAGCCTGGATAGTGTGGTGGATTCGAGGCGTCTATCCCGGGCAAGTTGTGCAGGCTTTGGTCTATCCTCTCTGTTCTCGCAACCTTGTAAACTATCTGGATGTAAGTTCACTGCACTTGACTAGTTTGGCGTGGCGGCCGCCATTTTGAAACGAGCACTGGGAGAAAGACTAAGGAGTCTGGGACCGAGACACAGACTTCCGGTTCCGTTTCATCGAACTCCCGCGGTATCTCAACACAAGTAAAAAAAAAATCGAAAAATAGGAGTGGAAGCAACTGTTAATAGTAATCTATCGTTTTTAGTAGCTGAGATCTTCGTTTTCTTGAATTATTCTAAAATTGTGCTATTAAGACAAGAAAATATACGGATTATGCTAGCAGTGCTACTTTTGGAAAAAGGGCAAAAATTATGCTCAATTCCTCAGATTATGCCAAAAATTATGCTAGCACAATCGGCAAGAGCCTAATTGTGACTGAATAAATTAATGCAATGTTTATATTGGTCAGTAAGTTCAAAATGATAAGAATGCTGTTTAACGTTGTGCACGGTCAAGTCTAAAAAAGCTAACAAAACTAATATATAACAAAGAAGTCTGTCGGGCTTCATAACCATTTCACTTAAAATAATTAACTTTGGTTAAAATCATGTTAGTTTCCTCTAAGAGAGCAGCAATTTTCTACTGTCAGCATCTTATTAACCGTTTAGGGGTGTCTTACGTGTAAGCGGAGCAATGTCCGGACTAAACTACCTGGTTGTTCAAAAGCTGGATAACGCTATCCACCGGATAAATCACTATCCAGTGGGTAAGTATTAGGGAAATCAATTGCACTATCCACTGGATAGAGATTTATCCACTGATTAGCACTATCCGCCTTTTGAACAACTGGGGCCATGCAGCTAAAATACCTCTCATATTAAAATTTATAGAGCTGAAGCTTTTAATACTGTATTAAGAGTTGTATTTGGGTCGTTCTACTTTTTCTTCCTCATGCAATCAGTCCCATGCGTTAATTGAACATATGTATGTTAAAAGTTCACTTATGTAATTTTTTTATGGCGACCTTCAGGCTGAAGTTCAAAAAAATATTTTTGAAACAGGATAATAAAGGGAAATGATTTTCGGAACTTGACCGCTTAATGCAGGTCCCCTTGTTTGCCTGTTGCTGCCGGATAGTAATCGGTGGATGTTATGAATTACTGTTTCTATTGATTTTATTTTGCCTATTTTCATATTTTCATATTTTAATTCAAATTTTGTGTGATTAAGTTCCATTCTGTATTTCGAGTCATTGCCCTAAATTTGAGGGAACGAACGTCAAGGCTTGGTGAGTTTATTGCAAATTGTTTTGCAAGTACGTTTTAGATGCTATTGTTTAAGAGGCATCAAATTAAAATTATTATACAGGAAGTCCTAGTATTTGTATGTAATACGAGAGTAGAAAATACTTCAAAGAAATAATATATTTGGACTTCGATATAATTACTATTTAATAAAAAAAATTAACTTCAAACATGTAAATCCTGTTTGAAAGCAAGTTTAGGCTCTCGCGCATTTGCTTTAACGCGAGCCTGCTGTGGATAGTCAGTATTTCTTTGGATTATTTATTCCTATCTACTCAGTTACTTTGTCAAACGTAGGTGAACCCAAATGGAGTTGAATTCCAAGGGACCCTATCCAAGTTCAGGAGCGAAAAGAAGAATAAATTTCGTCGTTGCTTGTTTGCGTTATCCATAAAACGCAAAATTAGGCATCTTCAGGTCGTAGTCGTGCAAAAATGGCAAAGAAATGCAAAAATAAAAGCGTGATGCACGAGCAAAGTTGTTGTTTTGCTTATTAAACCTATTGTTTTGTTGCAGTTCTCGTTCCCGTCTTGTCGTTGGATATTCGTACTCATCGCGTGGACGCGCATACTCGATGGAAAAGCAAACGGTAATGCTCGCAGTGGTTTCTTTCCCATCGAAGCGTAGCGTCCGGCCTGGAGAAACCACTGCTCGCAGGGTAGCTCGTGTCGTTACCTCCAGGAAAGACATCATGTTAGTTAATTGTTAATCAAAGGAAAGTATCAGCACATATTTATGTAATGAAAAACAAAACGAAGGCATGGAGGTTTTGACAAACTTCTAGTTTTTAAGCTGTAGAACTTAAAAGTTCTGCAGCAGTTTGTCATAATTTAAGTGCTCAAATATGCGTAACAATTGTCTCTACGTCGTAAAATTATATTTGATTGGCAACTTAAGAAGCAGATCAATTTTACGTCGTAAAAGTTAGGACGTAAAACCTATTTGATTGACAACTTGACGAATGGATTAATTACAACGTACCTTGCTTTTCGCCGTAAATATCCACGACGTAACGTGTAGCTAAAATTTATTTTACGTCGTAACGCGAACCTCCTCGTTTACGTCGTAATTTCAAGTAGATGTTATGATTACGACGTAACGTGTCATGCTAAATATAATCACGTCGTAAATGTGACGTCGTGATATATTTGAAGACGTTTAATAAGGACGACCTTCAAAGAACACTGGAGGATAATCGATTTCTCGCCGTAAAATAGACGTTGTTATATTTTACGACGTCACGATGCGAGTACAAGGTTTACGTCGTAAATTTTACGACGTGATACCTGACTGGGGAATTTGACCCCCTGGACGTGAAAAAGGTGTCAGAAAGTCAAAAATGTGCTCAAAGTGTTTTGAATAGAAATGAACGCCATATTGCCCGTCAGTGGTCATTTCAGTACAGGGTTCTAAATTTGTGGAACCAGAGAAAGAACTCAAACTAAATAAGAATCCTTCTGAGGTTTAAAACGGAAACTTTGACAAATATTATTCACCGAAATCTCTTGATTCGTGAGTGACTAGATAGATATTAGACATTTAGCTTTGTTTTGTTTGTGTTTTCGATTATATAATGCATTGTAGGTTTTAACATCGTATTGTATCACTGAAAAGTCCATCAGAGGGGAGTTCAATAACGTTCAAGTTCAAGCGTAATAAGGCATCAAAAGTATCATGTTACTTGTTATTTAGCAGAAACAATCTCAGATTCGGCTTCATTAAATTCACCAATGAGTTTTCAAAACGATAAGTGAACCATATCAATGAGAACTGGCACTTCAAGTTTGCTGACTGTTTCCCAGAAGTTGCAGGAGTGTATTTGGGACGCTATCACTTCTTTCATAAGTTACTGCTTAAAGGAGCAGTGTCATGAGAGTTATCAAACTTCAAACAGTGGAAACTGTCACCAAATTGAGTGAGCAGCATATACAAAACAAGACACGGATGGACAAATTTGAAGAAGATTAAAAGGGATTGCAATAGGGGTTTTTGAAACCTTGTTAACCTGACAGTTTTTCAAAGTCCGTTTTTGCTGTTTGTAACATTTAAATATAATGATTGGGAGACATATTTGTTTGAAATGAAGCTGTGATTTTGTCATTTGCCAGTGATTTTGTCGCTAATGTTATGTCTGACTGCGAAAAAAGACGTGTTGTTTAATAAAATGAACCAGACAGCAGTGATGTCACAGACACTCAGTTTCCCCACCTCAAAATCGCCAATTGTTTTAGTACTTTCCAATCAGATTTTCTTTCAAAAATAGCGTTATCCAAAATAGACTTTTAAGTTAAAGATGTATTTTGCAATTAATTTTCGCAGCTAAATATAAATATTCAATCTCTTTATCGTGCTCTTTTCAAGTGGAATGCAAGTCTACTTACGTTAACAGGAAGTTCTTGACAAGATGGGACTTCGTCCAATGATCTTGAACAGTATAAAAACGATTTTTATCGTCCTGTGTTTACAGTCAGAAAGATCAAAGGCAGATGCGACACATACTAGGAATTGTTTTATTCTCCGCGGAACGTAACTACAATGCTTAAATTACGACCAATCTCTTCCCTTGTAGACAGTATGACTAAAATTATAGTGGCAGGGCTTAAGCCGTTACAAAAGATTACACTTGGAGCCAGCATAATCGGCGACGGCGGAGAAATCTTCCAATCTCACGCCCACTACATCGCTGATAAACACGGTGGAGTTGATGTTTATCGTGACTTGTCCCTGGGAGGATCTTACAGGGGTGTTGAACCCATGGGATTGTTATGGAGCATGAAACAGGCTCCAGAACAGAAAAAGGGTCTTCGCCTTTTCAAAAGAGATGTTACCAAACCGTATAACGGCGTCTTAAGCTGCTTTGATGGTCATATAACTCCGCACCAAGAACAACCTGAGTTGCAGCCACTATCAAGCACCACATTTCAGAGGTGGTACATGGCAGATGGAGTGAAAAGAATTCCTGTAAGAGAAGGACGAATCCGAGGAACGCTCTTTCTTCCTCCTGGTGAAGGACCTTTTCCTGGTAGGTATTCATTTATTATCCACAGTTTCGTAATCGCAGTACTAGTGTGCCCGACTGGCTTTCTAGAAGCAAGTAGCCATTAGACAGCTTTAAGGGGGGCCATACTTTGGGGGCCTTAAATCTTATGTTCAATATTAATTTAAAATAATTAATAATTTGTTCTTACTTTAGTTAAATTATACGATTAAGTAATAATGAAAAAAAATTAGGGATGATTCAAGAAGAAGTTGCTAGTTAGAAATCCAAATGTCCAATTCCCCTTGCTGTCTCGTTTCTCGATGACACAACCGCTAATACTTGTTTTTTCTTACTTCTGTAAAGTTTAAAAGAATTACTTATGGTTTAAAAATATAAAAAGATATAAGGCGTTAATTTCAGAGATGACAGATTTGGTTGATCTTTGCTCATTTCTTTCTGGCAAACATGAAATTGTAAAATCTGCTCTATACATGACGCACTAGAGGTTTTGGCCGATCATTTACTAATAAAAGCACATGGTGCTGTCTTCTGTTCTTTCCGCACGCTTGGACACAAAGTCACGATTTCGCAATTTGTTATAACTGTGGCTTAAAGCATTACCGTAAAGCTCGAGCTACCAACTAAAAACCACCCTTCTAAACTTCCATCTTTTTACGATCTCTTTAAAATTTCAGTCTAAATCGCCTTTAAAACAGGCGAAATATAACCGCTTTAAAAGATGTAGCACAAGCAAAATTTTGCTTTGTGTCTCCCGCGGACTCAAGTACGCGCATTCGCCCGTATTCGTCGAGCATTTGCCTTCTGGTTCCTCCGGTGACCTTATTACAGTTTTTACCATTTCTTGCATACCTATAGTCAATGCCATGGCTTTTTCTAACAATAATTTAAGCTAGTAGCGTCCTTTTCCGTTGCAGAGAATGTATCAATTATGGTGGTATGTAGCATAACGTCAAAACAATATAATGATTATCCCAAGGCAGATATTTTGTCCTGTTCTTGACCTAGGTTCAGCTTGGAATTTGAAGGTGCTGCAGTGAATCAATGTTAATGAAAGTTTGACACATTATTACAAACATCACGAAGATTACATTATGAGTTTTTTTTACTGAAAGACTTGTATAGAGCCGTTGATATATTTGGAAAAGCGTTGAAAATCAAGATTTTGCATAAAGTTGCACTTGGAATGGCGTTAAGAGAAAAGGTATGCAAGTTAACAAGATGGCAAAAATGGAAAAACACCAAAAGTTCCCAGCGTGGGAATAATATATTGAGCAGCACCGTGATGCTACTTTAGAGTAATATGGGTTGTTTGGAATTTGCTATTCGTTCATTTATCATGACTATTGAATATATAAGGTTTGAAATTTATTTGCGTTTAATTTGAATCCAGACGTACAGAATTTTTTAATTCTCACTGAGTGTGTTTCCCAAACACCACTGTATAAGTTCCTGATGCTGGATTTTCCATGGCAGGTCTAGATGTCGCAAAATTCATCTTTAACTGATTTCAAAGATTTTTGTTTATCGTTGTCATGGTAAGATCGATTTTAACCTTGCAATTACATTTTGACAAACTTCAATCTAGGTTAGATAGTGGTGCAAATTTTGTGGCGACCGGAAAAGGATGAAATCACTTTTAAGGCGATTGAGAAATATCGGTATGGTCTCCAAAAATATGTATCGAGACTAGGGCTTTCCACAAATTGCTCGAGATTTTTCAAAAAGCTTCCCGGAATTTGCCATAAAGTTGCTAAAAAGTTGCTTTTTGTAAGGAAAGTTGCTCAACAGTTGCACAAATGAACAAAAGTTTTTTTTGGTCTGATGCTAAAATATACAAATTGTACAACAAAGTAAGATTTCTAACCATTTTTGTGCAATTTTGGGGCGTAACCAGCGTTGCTAAATAACTTTGTCCTCCATTAAAACCAACAAATGTAATGAGCCAATGAAGTTGTTGAATGAGCTTCTTCACCCGAGACACTCAAGCAGTCGAGTGCGAATCTTCGTCCACCATTTTGAATTTTCTCTAAAACCCGCTGACAGAGCAGCCCAACTACTTTTTTCTTGCGCCCATTATCTGCCCCAGGGGGGAGGATTTGGCTCCTTTTTTACAGGAAATTCATAAACTGTCTACTAAAACATTGGAAATATGGAAGAAAGTTCAACTGAAGTACTAAACGCTGCTCCGATATCTCAGAATTAGAAGATAACTAGAAAAATTGTTCAGAATGCAAAACGTTGCTCGAAATACGAGAAGTTGCCGAAAAGGTACCGAGCAACTTGTGGAAAGCCCTAATCCCATCGAGACACTTTAACTTTTTGATAATGCAACAGCGAAGGCATAAAAAAATATCATATTTCGTTTATTTTCTAGGTGTGATAGACTTGCTTGGAGACATGGGCGGATTAGTGGAATTCAAAGCTGCCCTACTGGCGTCTCATGGATTTGCTGCTCTCGCATTGGCTTATATCGATTATGATGACCTACCAGCCTTTCCACCTTACCACGAGATGGAGTACTTTGAAGATGCAGCTAATTGGCTGAGCAGTCACCCAAAGGTTTTACCGGATGGGATTGGTATTCACGCTATCTGCTATGGAGCAATGATTGCTCTATTGATGGCAAACCTTCAAATGAAACCTGTCAAAGCCATTGCTGCCATTTCTCCTCTCACACATGTCTACCCCACAGCCTGTAAGTACAAAGGAAGTTTCATTTCAGAGGTAACCCACTTTGATCATATTAAAAAAGTACAGGTGAAAGATGGAAGCATCTGGCGCTATGGTTTTCCAACAGCCACTAATTCAAATATACCAGAGTCAAAGTACCCCTACCTTGTACCAGTTGAAAATCTTTCCTGTCCGCTCCTCCTTGTTTATGGAACTCACGACCTGAATGTTAATGCCACTTTTTCGGTAAATCTGATAAGAGATCGTTTAAGGAAGCAGGGCAAAGAAAACCTGTATTCCGTCTTACGCTATCCTGGTGCCGGGCATCTCATTGAGCCACCTTACACACCCCACTCTTATGCCACCTACGCAAAACGTGCAGAAGCATGGTCAGGCGACCACCACATAGTGTGGGGAGGGGAGACAAAGTGTCACGCTAGAGCACAAGAGGGCGCCTGGCCAGAGATAATTAGATTCCTGAGAAATAATATCAGTTTGGAAAAACCGGAAACGGGCTTTGAGGAAGTCTACACTTCCGGGAGCCTTCGTTAGTGTTTGAAACTGCACGTACTTTGTTCTTTTTGGTTTTCCTCGATCTGCCATTTCCTATTCACAAATTTTGGGTGGCGACCTTTTTCTGAAAAAACGATCCACTTGCAAGGATCTCCGCATTTAATCAGTATAATAAGAAGGTTGCACAAACCAGCCACTTCCGAAAGCGAAAACAAAGCAAACGCAGAATATGAAGGTTTATTTCGGTTCTGTCCAGACCTCCTCATACAACAAAAGCCTGGTTACCTTGAGTTCTTGAAATGCGTGTTTTTCGTGTTGTTCGATTTTGCTGTAAGCACATCTTTTAGAACAACAAATTGTTCGCGATAGAAAACAATTTTATGCCAAAAAGAAACACATCATCAGCCTTTCGTGAAAATTAAAGGAGCTGTGTCACGAAATCCAGCCAGATTAGGAAATTACAAAATGTCCGTTAAATTAAGAGAAACATAAAAATAACCGCTTAAAACTTTAAAGGAAGGTTAAAATAACATGACAGAAACAACAGATGTCACGGATGGGCAAAACTGAAGAAGGTTGAAACGGATTGAAATTAGGACTTTTTGAAAACTGTTCAGACTAACAGTTTTTCAAAGTTGATCCCCGCTGCTTGCAACTTTAAAAATAATGCTCAGGAGACATATCTGTTTGTCTCGGATCTCTGATTTTGTCATTTACATGTAATGTCTTGCTTTTCTTTTCTTTACTTTAAGTTCCATTGCGATTGAGGGCGAGTAATTGGCAAAATTAAACAAAATGAAGTGGACATGCCGTGACACAGCCCCTCTAATATTTGTTTGTGAGAAGATCTTCTGTTTCTAACCATGTCGGGTTACTTGCTTCGGCACAGTTTTAGTAACCAAACGTTGCGGAAACTACTAATCGGTTGCTGCCTTTGGTTAACGAGTTACCGTTAATTTTGAACCCTTTCGACGGTGCACGCACAGATCATGAACGAACTACATCTAAATTTTAGATCTAGTTCGTTCATGATCTGTGCAGACACCGTTGATGTAAAGGGAAGAGAAACAAGTTTCATTCTTGATCAGATTAAACACGTTTCATGAAAGTATAAACTAAGTATAAAGGCATTAGTTAAGAGGACAGAGGCTTTATTTGACGGTTTGCAAACAGAATGAAAGAGAGTTAGACACCAACGATGTTTTTTAGGCGTTACTTATGCTAATCCGTGAGATTAGCCGAGGGGGTACGTAGTCCCTATAATGGTCTATACGGGGAAACTCTGCCGGAAAGGGGTTACGTACCTTTGTCTTTGCGGTCTTGGAAAGGGCCTAACAAAGGTCTAAGAGGTTCATTTTATGGCGCAAAAGACGGTGCATTTACACTGCAGGTATAAGGCTTGCAGCGTTCTAAACTAGTTATGCGAAAGGGGTACCATCTGTCAATAGAAGGTATATAAAAGGGGTACCTTTTTCTGTAAAAAGATGGGGTTGGAATTCGAGGCGGAGCTCCCCCGTATTAGTTTTTCTAATTCTAATCAAGCTTCGTTGGCCTAATAAGACGAAAATTATAATTAATAACTTATTAGCCATATATGCTTAGAATTTTTGTTGTTTGTAATTTTAGTTATTTGGTAACAGTTGATATACTACTCCAAATAAAAAACATGTACGTATGTGTATGTATGTTCTTCATTTCCCAGACAATCAACCTTTAACAGGAAAGCACTCTGGCTCAGCTCAGCAGTCACAATGGCGGCCTGACCGTTAAGACTACTGATAGATGTTAAGATATCACGAAGAAGATATCATGATAAGATATCATGAACAAACTATGATATGTGGGACCAAATAAACGAATAGATGAACACAACTTTTAATTCACAAGAGTAACAAGATGGCGGGCCCCAAAGACAAGAAACTTGGTCCCAGTCCCTGGCATAAAGCAAACTATAACATCCCTCCTATTGTACAAAAAAATTAAACAAAAGTCCTTAAAAAATCTACTATTCCGCAAAGTGGAGGGTCCTTAATTGGTAAAGTCTCAATAAATCTTGGCAAAAAAAGTCATTGCACTAGATCCTAGATTGATAACAAATGAGTACGAGTGGTAAGTGTGAACTTGAACAATTGAACAGGCATAAGTACTCAAACTCCTAAAACAAAAGGTTCTATTCAATAAAACGAGCAGGTCTTATCACTGCACGCCCACTCCTGGTCCGATAGGTCCCAGAGTTCTGACTGGCGCAAGGGGATCCAGAAGTGAGACCAGCATCTCTTGTAGGACTAGACACAACGGTGTGCGATGCCTTAGTAGACTTCGGAACATCATGAGAGAGTTCAACAACAGGGTCATCAGACTTGGCGATCGCAGACTAATCTTCGGAGCTAATCACAACTTGACCTGTGTTTGCCGGGCGAAGGTGGCGCCTCTTACGGCGAAAGATTGAACCAGATTAAGTTTTCATTTCATATGACCGGGGCTCAGGTCTTGCACAACTCACAATTCCTGTTAACCACTTCTTTGTAGCTTGGTCCTCTATGCGTACAGGTTGCCCTGGTGTCAGGGGACTTAGATCATGCGCATTCCAGTCATAGTAATGTCTCATGGACTCCTGACGTTCTGTCTGGCGCTGGGCAATTTTGTCTCTATCAGGTATTCGATTGTCCACCCTGACAGGACGATGTGCTTAAAGTTTACGCTTATACAGTAATTCAGCAGGGTACGGAAGCTGTGAATCAATCGGAGTAGATCTAAGACAGAGCATTGACATGTGAGGGTCCTCTCCAGATTTCACAGCCTTGTCTAAAGTGTTTTTTAACAGTCTGGACTTGCCACTCAAAAAAACCTGTTGGACTGTTAGTATCTTGGGCTGGACTTTGTATGTTGGAAGCCCATTCCTTAGAGAACTGTTTGTAGCTTTGACAATCATATTGTGGACCATTGTCCGAAATTATGACTTCCGGTACACCTTGTTCTGACATCACGCACTTTGTAAGCCTTACAACTGTTTGTCCAGTGGACTGTCCATTATGTATTTTCTTGATGATGGGAAACTTAGAGTAATAATCAAGCAAATTCCATGTGAATAGATCAGTACCAACAACTTGCCATGGTCTAGTGGGTACTAGCTGGGTACTTCATGTGGTTCCAGTGTTTCTTTGGTTTGTGTGTTTTGGCTTTCTTGACAAATTTCACACTTCTGCACTTTAGCTTTAACGTCATTGTTAATATTAGGCCAAAATACACAAGATTTTGCTCGTAACTAACATTTCGCAACAACTTGGTGAGCCTGATTTATCTTCTCTAAGATATCATCTCTTCGTGATTCTGGAATAATCACTCTTTCTCCCTCGAGTACCATACCGTTTTCAATAGATAACTCGTCATGGTAGGCCCAGTACTTCCTCAATGGCACTGGAACGTGTTTCTGTTTTTCAGGCCAGCCAGAGTAAATGATTTCTTGTGGAGCTGAAAGTTCAGGATCAGAGGAGGTGTCTCGCCTCAAAGCATTCAACTTTTCATCAGAGGATCGCACTAGGCATACTTTCTGAAGGTCCAACAACTCTTCATTTGGTAGAGGGTTTAGTCTTGACATTGGGTCAGCGAGAAGCATTTCTGTGCTAGGTTTGTAATATCCTTTTCTTTTCTGGAGTCCTGGAGAAGCAGCTTTAAGATTCTTCTACTGAATCACCTCAAACGTTTTGTGATCTGACTCTACCATGAACCTCTTGCCAAACAAGTAGGAGTGAAATTTCTCACGTGCAACAACAACAGAAGCATCTCACGCTCAATATTTGCAGATCGTTTCTCAGTGTCCGTGAGTAATCTAGATGCGAAAGCAACAACTTTGCCTTCTTGCACTAATGCACTCCCAAGTCCTCTAAGGGAGATGTCAACCTGGAGGATTTTCCTTCTTAGATCAAAATACGTAAGTGAGACTTGACGGCAGATAGACTGCTTGAATTTCTCGAGAGCTGTATTGTGGGAAGGAGACCAGTAGAAGTTAGCGTCCTTCTTAAGCAAGTTCCTCAGAGGCTCAGACAAAGCAGACAGATTTGGAATGAAAGGAGCCATGTATGTTGCTATACCAAGGAAGAACTGGAGTTCTTGGGCATCCTGTGGGACCTGGATGGCTCGAATAGCTTCCGCCAGCATCGAATAACATTCCAAAGAATGTTATCATTCTTTCTTTAATAACACATTTGTCTAGGTTGAAGACTAGTCCGTGCTCCTGCGCGACTAGCATCAGGTTGTGCAAATTGGCATTTACATGTATGTTCTTTCCCAGTAGGACCATGAACTGCAATGTCGGCAGCAATACCAACTGTTCCCGGGCATTTCTCAAGGATAAAATCCATCTTCTGTTGGAAAATATCCTGTCTAACACAGGGTCCAAAGGGAAGACGAGTAAATCTAAACCTGCCAGACGAGCTGTTGAAGGTGCTGGTAAGGTAAGAAGATTCTTCATCAAGCACTACGGACCAATAACCATGGCAGGCATCCAGTTTTGAAAATACCGTCCTTCCTTTGAACTTGTGGGTGATTTCCTTTAGGGTAGGTGTATGATGATGGCTTCTCTTGACAGCTTGGTTAAGATCTTCAGGGTCAAGGCATACAATTTGAGTTTTAATAAGGTCTACGAGTCCACAGCTTCTACGTTCGTAATAAGAATGATGAGTGGTAGGATTTAAAAAGGCCTGGGAATATAATGACTCAGTTCTCAGTTGTACTGCAATAAACGCATGGATGCGTGATTGCCGTTTTAGGGAGTCAGTTGAAGTGATCATATGCAAATTCCCTTCTAGTTTGCTTTTAACCGCCTCGTTGATGTTGTGATTGTTGCGAGGTTGAAGGAATTTTCGCGCAGGCTAGAAGGTCCTTGAGAGATTTTTCCTTCCTGTAGGAGATAATCGGTGGTTGGTTAAAGATTTGCGTAAGCTTAGGTTGCTGTTGAATGACGAGCCAGCGTTTTATAAGAATCTTTTTGAGATTTGGTGTGGCCGGATTGAGGGGGGCGTAGGGGTCTGCGGTATTGTGTTATTTTTGGTGCGATGTTGCAGTAATTTTTATTTCAAAGTACTGTATTGCGGTTTTCAGAGTCCAAGCAGTGTGCGGTGAGTTTAAATTTTATATCGCGGTAGTCGGTGAAAAAAATCGTTGTGTCGCGGTGATCTGCTTCTTTTTCATGACAAGAGGATACAAATCCTAAAAGGTCTCCCTAGCTAGCCTGCGTGTCTTCCTATAGTTGCAGTTGATGTCATGGTTTGGAGTAATGGTGTTAAAAGGTCTTAGCGTGGTTTTGCGTGTGTGATTTCGCTGAGCTAGACAAAAGGTCGCGCGTAAACCCAAAAGTTGAGCCTCCTTACTCAAAAAGACAAAAGGACGCTCTGCTCCTGCGCAGAGGGCGCCCTTAGAGCTAGAGGTCAAATAAACAATTCCAACAGTGAGCGAACGACCTTAGCATACGTTTTTTTTGCGTCCGAAGAAGAACTAAACGTAGTGATTCATTATTAGAGAGCTTAAGCAAAGACATTTTTGAAGGTTCACGTCAACCGGAAGTGAGCCTTTCTCCCTTTTTATGTCTTGACGCTAACAAATTTGTATTGCTAAGTTTCTTTTCTCTTATGAAGAGGATTTATCAGAGAGTTTCAAACAAACCACTGCCCAATGATGCAAAAGGTCCACTTCCGGTTGCCGTCCGTCGCTCAACAACGCTGTTGCTTAAGCTCTCACCAATACAGTAACCCCTCAAAGAGAGGATTATCAGCCGGTGTGGTCAGCGAAAAAATAAGCATATTGGGACAGTTCCTGCAAGAGGTATCTGTTGGTCTCATCCTATTCATTGGTTCTTTGGTCAGTGCCCTTTAAATCGCCATTATGAATTTATTAAGATCACTCATGGTCAACCAGATGGTGCAACCGATAAAGTAAAACACAAGGAGTTATTTGAGTTCGGAGAGGGAAAGGAATTTGCCTATCTGTTACTACACCGTACGATCAAGTAATGTTATTTATTATATACATACTGAGAAATACTCACCAAAAAGCTATGTCGTAAATTTTCGTACGCAAATTAGTTCTAGCCAATCAGAGGAGCGAACGATGGTTTTCACACGTGAAAAAAACGATACGTCCAATCAGAATCGCGAACGATGTTTTTTCACGTGTGAGAAAAATGATACGTCCAATCAGAAGCCACAGAGGTGTGCGAGTTTCGCGCCAAAATTCCCGCCTTTTATTGCAGCTTGCAGCGCCGCTTCGCACACATTCAACGAGAAAGTTTTACTCAAGGAGTTTTTCTCGCTAAAAAAGTGAAAAACATTTCCGAAATGGAGTGGAATAGTTTCGTTTGTTTCACTGTCGATAAAAAAATACGGTAGAGAGCCGGCGAAACAACAGCGGAAAGGGATAAACAGAATGAGACGTAAGCTTTTGTTGTGCTTTTTGTCGGAGCTACTTTGCCTTTCATTTAAGCTTAAGCTTATATTGAAACCGGCCATTTTACTTAAATTCACACATTTTCAATTGTGCATTGAGAACAAACAGTTAAGATTACTTATAGTTCTTGGATTACCTCATATCCTCACCGTCATTTATGTTTTTAACAAACGTTTTTACTAAAAAGCTGATACTTCGTTTTCGTTGTCATTTTGCGGTAAGTGTGTAGCGGCAAATTTTAGCATTTTTGAAAGATTTAAAATAAAAAGGCCCGCAAAATGAGGAATGACTCAGTATGTATATAATAAACACAATACCACATGGAAAGTGCTTTGTACGGTATTTACGCACTCGTTGTTTTTGTATTAGAAATCTTACTCGTTCGCTGCGCTCACTCGTTCGATTTCTGATACGTCAACAACTCGTGCGTAAATACCGTACGCCAGCACTTTCCATGAAGTATTCTCTATATACCGGTCAAATCGAGTTTAATCGAGTTTCCTAGAAAGATGGAAATATACACCAGGTAACATTTTTGGAAAGGAGGTGCGAAATTTATTGTTAGAAAGTTTGATTGCTGCCTTTTTCCAGAAAGTAAAGCTTATGATTCTCATTTTTATCGACTACACTTGAGGGCGAATATATGGACAATAGAGAGTTTTAGATCCGAGATTACCGCGAACCTCTAACCGCGGTTTGCGGTTACCCGTTTGCGGTTCGACGTTCAAACATAATTCGATTTAGATTGGCGGTGGATTAAAGAAGTGGATTCTGAATTTATTTTTCCATTTAGAAATGGAAGAAATATCAATCAGTGAAAATAAAAGAAATTTACGGTAACACTGGGTTATCTAGCAGTAAAGAGCTGTAAATTCTTACATTAGTTCTTCTTATAAATTTTCGGCCGCCATTTTGAATCAGCAGCCATGAATGGCACTTGTTTTCAAGATCCAATAGGATTTATCAAATTTAGCATTTCGCCCGAATTTGTGCCTCTGTTAATAGATAAAGACTTGCTGCACAAGATTTTTGTATCATTACGTGGGATAAAACAAGAATTATAAGCTAAAAGCTTTCAGGTAAAAGGCATACGTGAAAACCTACCTCCCCACGTTGAAAACGCACGTCGTAAACCTCAAACGTGACGCGAAAGACTTGTCACGTGACTCCCAGCGGTTAGAGGTTCGCGGTAAACTCGGATCTAAAACTCTCTATTTTAAAATTTGAAACCGTCTACGCGTAGAGGAAAGTTTTTTTTATTTGAAATGTTTTCACAATCTTTCCTTGATTTCTAAATAATGTAAGCTGAGAAGGTCGACACTACCCATGCTAAAGTAAAAATAAATTATTTTAATCAATTTGGTTCGGCACACAGCCCTATTAAACGTGAAATGGCTTCGTGAGTGTCTTTGGAGACTGCCAGTCGACTGCACTCTGACACGCCATTGGTCAACAGAGTAGATCCCATGTGTGGAAAACTCATAATGATCCTGCCCTGATGATCTTGAACAAGCCGTTGACATTGTTGTTCTTGATTGCTTGACGGCAGCCAGCAATAACTTGAGATTTTCCCTTTCCAACTAAAGCAGGAAGAAAATTTGGTCTTAGCACACTAAATTGTTAACAACGTTTAGGTAATTTACTTACAAAATGAATGCAACATCGTAAAACCTTCAACATTACACAATCTTTTTGTTTCTTTCCCTGTCGACAAAGTGCTATAATTTGCTTTATTATTCATTCAAAATATTTCTCCGTTTCTGATTGGCTAAAATCACACGCATAATTCATCATAACCAGCTACCAAATTTGGAAGAATTTTGCCATATTGAACCGATGACGTCAAAAGTGCAGCAAAGTCGCAGGTTATTGAACCGTTAACCAAGAAAACCTGGGGACGAGTTTGAGTTGCTGTTGAAGTGAGTAATGGAAGGACATTTAACTTGTTTCACGGCGAACTATTGTCCAAAAGCATGACAAGTACAGCAAGAAGACAACTCGACGGACGACATCTACTATTTGGAGTGTATTTGCAGACTTGAACGGCCCCTTATTCTGCAGATCTCGGAGGGTGCTATCCTCCTCGGCCTTCGGCCTCGGTGGATAACACCCTCCGCGATCTGCAGAATTCTTCATATTCTACTCAGCCTCATTCAATGATTGCTAAACAAAGAAAACCAGCCTGTGTGGCAGGCGTTAATAGGGGAAGGACAAACTCGGGCGCGCGACAGCGCGAGGAGGGGTGCGTGCCAGACTTCTGAGCAGTAAACCTCTGCTCACGTATTAGAGATTACAGCCTACCTCTGAGCTTTCCCGCTCGTTGAATCGCCTGATTGACAATTTTCAAACACGACAGCAACTCAGTATGATTATTACATCTAATTTTGTAGCCATTTATGAGATCTCTGTTCAGGTCGTACAGTTCCATGTAGCCTTTCCTCATATTTTTCCTAGCAATGTAAAAATTGGCACCTGTGAGTACATGTGCCCTAATGACAATTTGATACAATACATACATCTGAACTCCATCACGGTCGATCAGTTTTTGCCAAAATCATAACGAAAAAAGATGGCTAATGCATTTCCTCTATTTCACGCTTGGTCCGGTGGACTCGGCCACATCCGTGTATCCTGCCCTTATAAACGCTCGAGGGCCTAATTTGGAGCTTTTACACCCAGCATTTATTCGGGACCCAATATTCAATCGATAAAATACGGTGCTACATCTATTGGCTGCCTGTCAGTCAACTGTGTTGTACTTTAATAGGGGGGTTCGCTTCTGATCTATGGTACTGCGCCGGTGAGGGAATGAAACACACACTCTAAAAGATTAAAAAAACTACAAGAAGTGCCAGCTTTCAAAAGGTTAGTTCGAAGCCCTCTATGGATCGCAATTAACTGAAAAGCAGGGGAGAATTGGCCGAGTTTGTCAGTGGGTGGCTCTCTGTGCGAGAGGTTCCAAGCTCGATTTCCAGGTATGAACTCATCCCTTCCGTTAAGATTAAAGCAGCTTTAAAATACCCGTTAAACGGAGCACTGATGGAGAGAGGGGTAAAGCGAGCTCACCATCGACCTCACGTTTTTCTAGTCAGGTGATGACTATTTCGGGCTTCCAGAACAAAAGGACTCTTTTAACTTTACCTTTTAACTTAACTTGTCAGTTGATCAAGATCAAACTAATTTCTTTGTTACAGTTTATTACAATCTAAGCAATCTGCGGGTCGACTGATGAACCACTCATGGACTAAGAATAACGTTCATGGGTCAAAACGGAGGAAGATTTTGTGAAGAATTACAAAAGAAACAACAACTTACATATCTCCCATTAATCTAGCATCCTCGGCTCTTACAACTAAACTTCTGATCAAGTTGGAGTGATCTGCCATCTCGGCTGTAAGCTTCTGTCTTACAGCATGCAACTCATCCACCTAAAAAAATAATATGAATTTGCATGTAGTCTTTCTTTCTACAAACGGATTCTTCCAAGGCTTTTTGAACTTCTGATTATAAGAACAATAATCATTATTATTGTAATTTTGGTATAACCAATTAGCGAAGATCCATGGACACGGCTGCAAAAAGCGCCTTAAAATAAGTAAAGGTACCAAGTTCATAAGGGTGATATATGGAAAACTAGCGAAAATATTGCGAAGAAAACTCGCTCCCTCGCGAAATTGCGAAACCCCAACCGTATGACGTCCGTAAAATTTTGCGACGCTGAAGATCTGTTTTCGCTCGTTTATGACTGATATCACTTTCAAACTTTGGATTAAGGAAGATTACAAAATAATTTCAGGTAGTTCTTCCCAGCACTATCCCTGGATGTTTCCTAAATCACGCCTCCACGTTAATCAATTACAAACAACAACAACAACAAAAAAATGAAAACAGAAATATAATAACGATGGAAGGTCTATAGAAGTTAATAAACAGTACTAATTAACAAAATTGACGAAAATCAATTAAATAGGTAACCTAAATATGACTTCTTTAAGGGACGAACGTCTACTGAGTAACAGATTTAATAACTAAGGCAGGACTTGTTTAAGCCATGCATTATGACTATGAGTCCTTTTTTACTAACTGTTCTCGCTGTTTTGATGTCATTTACATGCATGTAAAACTATATTCCGTGCCACATAAAGACACTTTTTTTCTCGTCAGTTATGCATCTGATACCTTTAGCAAAACTGCACGAAGTTCCTCTAATTGATCGGGGAATTCTGCTGTCGACTGCAGATCCTGAAATGATAAGCATAATAGCACGAATTGTGAGGGGTAGGACCGGAAAGTGACAGTAGAAGTTTCAGTCTATTTTAGCTTAGGGTAAGGCTAAAAGCTAGACCCTGTAACACGTGATCTGGACCAAGATGGACGCAAATTTTAGCTTTAGACTTGACCATATTTACAGAGGGTCATCAAGTGTTCAGCTTGCGATTATTGTGCTGGTAAAAAATCCGCCTACTGGCCAAGGGATAATCCATTCTACAAGGTCAACGACCTTTAAATACCACTGAATTAAGGCCCAGTTCGTAGGCTGTACCTCGGTCATGCCAAACTCAATTGTAATTGGCCGTATTCACACTAGAGACGGATTATCCGCCTGAGACGGGTTATCCGTTGGATAATTCGCCACAGACGTAATAATACGTCTTGATTTGAAAATGGAACGATCTTAATTTTGGATGGACAATCCGCCTGACTTTTATCCATCTGTTTTTCCGTCAATTTTGACGGAATTTGGAGATGCGTTATCCGTCTCTGGTGTGAAAACGGCCATTGGGTTCAAAAGAAACACGACAAAAGCGCGACTTTAATTCAGAAGTCGTGCCAGATATCGAAAATAATTACGAACGCAGTATCAAGTTAGGGATACATGAAGCAAAAACATCTCGCCGATTTTTTAAAAACCAGCCTCGCAATGATTTGAGTGAAAGGCGTCAAAAGGCAGGTTTTCTGGGCCCGATAAGCTTCAAAATTACAGTAACGAAGAAAAAGAACAGCATAAAAAGAAAAAGCGAGGTGGAAGAAGGAGGAAAAAAGAAAAAAGCAATTGTTACTCTCTTAGTTTTTATAATGGCTTCTTTGGAGATAGTTTTTGGCCGAAAAAGAATGTTGGACGGAAAAGGTCAATTTGCCGGTAACGTTTTCAAAAATCCGGCTACATACTGTATACCTAAGTTTCCCAAAGTACATTTCCAAAATTTATGAATTTGGTTTGACACGGCATAAAAACGACGTTTGAATCACTGCCGTGCGAGAACCGTGTGACATAACGGTACTTTAATTGCTCCGCCAAACCATATTAAAAAAAACGTTGATTCAGACGTCGTGCTTCTGTCGTGCTTTTGAATTAAGTTCGGCACGGCAGACGCACGACGTAGGAACTGCTCTTAAGACGCTTATTTACCTCAATGCCCAAGAAGGACGCCAGAGCTTGGATGATGTCTCCTGCTAAATCCATGTCATCGCTCTTGATCGTCACCTGAGTTACAGAAAGTCAATAAGAAACCGTCATTGCTGAATGAATTTTAACTTAGCTGCAAGCCGCATTAAGCGACAGTATCTTTCACTGTAATGTTATCAAATAACATCTGAAATGTTTATGATTTTAATACACCGTATGTTTACGACCTAGGCTGGATAACCAACCGCTGTTCGGAAAATGAGGCCGTGCTCCTCCCCCTAGACTCTTCTCGGGGAGGACCCAAGAGAGCGGCGGAAATCGCGCCTATTCACAGCCTGCGAGCAAGCACGCGAGGGCAAGCCATGAGAGAACGCGCGAGCGAGCGGCGCAACCCAGCTCCTCGCACACGCGTCTCCTAGCTTTCGTGTGCGGCTCTCGCGTGACCTCTCGCGTCTCCCCCCAAATGGAGAGCTTTCTCGCAGGCTAGCCTATTTACAACCTTACCTCTCAAATGCGTTGTAAACAACGAAAAAAAGTAGGAACAGTGGTCAAATGCGGATTCGCTCCCACAACCATGATGACAAAGCAACACATACATTTTCCAGAAACTAACCCTTGTGCTCATACAAAAAAATGAATGGCACGCGAAACAATGATGACAATAGGCCCTTTGCACGATGGCATCATTTTACTACTACGACCAGAATCCTTTTCGTTTACCCTTTCATATTTAAATTTGATAGTCCTAGCGAGGTTTAAAGAACAAAAGCCCTAATTTGCACAAGAAAGCAAAACCCTGAACGATTCTAGTTGTAGTAGTAAAATTACGTCATCGTGCAAATGGCCCATTAGGGGGAGTAGGCCAACTCTTACATTTCCACTGGGATCCATTTTGATTGCCAGAGGGTTTCCTGTTCTGAGGGATAAAAACATTATATCCAGGTCTGTGTCTTTTCCTTCAATCTCATCAGGAAGAAGGAAGTTCTGATTCAACCACATTACCACCTATATAAAAGAAGAGAGCCTGATATAAAACTATTGTTTCAAAGCAAAGTCGGCACATCCAAATAGTTTACATTATAATTTGCAACTTACCCTGTTGATTCTTTCATTTATATGAAAAGAACAGTACGACTTCGGTTCAGCATAACCTTCAGGGCATGGAATGTACAAAGTGAACCTACACAATGAAACAATGGAGGTTGTAAGTGAATCCTCAGTTCTCTGATCTACATCAAAAATATTCAAAAAAGCAAAAGGGTTAGTTACAATATAAAACAAGATTTTATTCTTCATACACACCTCGGAAGCTGTCTTGTTAGTTCAAACACATGGAAGTGGGAACTAAAAAAGGGAAAAATGTTGAACAAGTAAATAAGTGAAATTTCAATGATGTGCGCTAAAGAAGCCATACATTGCTGTGTTGCAGAGATGTTGTTGTGTGGACAGGTCGAAACAAGAGTGAATAAACAAACAGAGATTCCCACTGGTCAAAACAATGGTGGTTCTGGAGAATTGCCTGCTGTAAAGAGCTGGCTGTTAGAGACTCACTTGTAAATCCTACATAGCAAGCGCGCCAAACCGCTGTGACCATTTTGGTTGCCAAGGCAAGTTTGAAAAAAAAACAACAACAAGTTTAGTCCAAAATTGTAGGAAATTGTGCTCAGACATAATGTGTCAACCGTACTGTTTTAGTTCGTGTTTATAGTCTTCCTAAAGTTAAAATAAGTCTATTTATGCTCCATTTTCATTATAATTCACCACTTTCACCCAGGCTACTTGGATGCTAAACCAAGAGATGTCGCATGCGCCGTCAAATTTGATTGCAATATATAGTGGCAACCACTATTTCTGTTCTATTAGTCAAATAATATTGCACAAAGTATTCTGCTTTGCTTTGTCTGCTTTTTTTTCTCGCAACCAATATTATTTTGTGTCCGACGAACATTCCATAAAATTAGGTTGCCAAGAAAAAGTTGAACTTCGAGGACTGATACCTGGATTTGTAGCCAACGAAAGCTTTGATGTGAAGATCCACAGGAACATCTTTGGGAGGAAAAACTGGAACTTGCAGATGCGAGTTTAAATTTTGTTGTGAAGGATGAACCACATGGCTTTCTCCTTCAAATACCCCCTCAGCAAAAATCATGACTGTGCGTATGATTGTATCATTGGTGGTGGAGATGGAGAGTTCAACATGAGGCTGCACCTGTTCACTGCCAGGGTTCACCAATAATGATGTCTGTAGCTGGGTGTTGGCTGGTATGATCCCCAACTGGGATGGATCCACATCCTGGCCTCCTGCTTTTCCAACCTTAAATTTGAACAAGGAAAAAGCAAGGATGGCGAGGTCCCCGGAGATGTCACACGCTTGTTTCGACTTTTCTCTTTTCTGTGTAGCTTTGACTAGATTTAAATACCTTTAAAACGGAGCATTGATGGAGGGTAGAAAATGGGCACACCATTGACCTCCAGTTTATCAGTTGAATTACTGACACGAGTTATCGACGTAAAATATGGTTGCTTTACCTTTTAGCACAAAATTGAACACTGCATTTTATTGTTCTTCTAGTGTTTGACATAAAGGCATAATTCAGTGAAACATTTAATGTAAAAAATACAATAGTTACATTTAAGGGCCCTAAGAAACTCTAGAAATTATTTGTTTTAGAAGAAGGAAATACAAGGCAATTTGCAGGTAGAATAGAGAACTTGGTGCCTTTCACATAGTTTTGCTAATTTGTACAGTCAGCGAAAAATAAGTCAGTTTGTGTAAAACATAACAAACAAAGAGAGAGATAGAGTGAGAAGTCACTTAAACCTTATTCTTGATCAAAATGTAGTGATATGTATGTTTGTGTGACATAAGCGATGTAGTCTGTCAGCTCATTTATTGCACAATTAATATTAGAAAACATTTTTCAGAGTAACATGTGTAACAGATATAATGCTTAATATGCTCACCCTGGCATTTTCTTCATAGTTTTTCAGTTCAAGCAGCAAATTTTGCTTTCTTTGTGCCAATTCTCTGACCGCATCTTGCTCTACATTCACATCCATAAGGTTTCCTTTCATCTCAGGAGAAGCGGGTAAATAGCCACGCACTAAAGAATAACAAGTAAAAAGTATAATAAGCTGTGTCACAAAAATTTAACAAAATTCAAACAGTGCGAGCTGCAACCAAACTGAGTGAAAAATAGAAATAACCACTCAAAACATTAAAAGAAGGTTTAAATAACAAAGAAAATACAAAAAGAGGCAAGGATAGACAAACTTGAAGAAGACTGAAACAACTTTTTAAAGGTCATTTTCTCTGTTTGTAACGTTCAAGACATAATGCTTGGAGGACATGTTTTGTTCGACATGCAGCTGTGTTGTCATTCACAAGTAATTTCTCAAGTTCCATGGAAATAATAAGGATGCGCAATTAGCATTATTAAGAAAATGAAAAATGTGCCACAGCCCCGCTGACACATCCCCTTTAATTACAACACAAACTAATTTAGGACCCCTTGCACTCAGCAACTGGTGATTGGTAGGTGCTACCTTTGTACAAGACAGGCATGAAGGATTAATGCTCAAAGGCAGCTTCCAGCGCAAAATGAATTACTGCTATACAATGTGTGAAAAATGACAGCTGACAAGTATTGACTGAGAAAACAGCCAACATTTTGCCATGCCATCACTGGTTTCCCTGTGAAATGTAACTGAGGAACAAACTGATGACGTGTCCCTACACAGATCTGGGTAGTGTGTCTAATTGGTCATGAAGTTTACTTCAACAAATTAGAAGCACTACCAAGATCTGGTTAGTGATATTCAGTATGGAATTTCTACAAATATTTTTTGTTTCTCAGACATCTTTCCTAGAGAACCTAGTGGAGGCATCACAAAATGTTGGATCATTATATGCTTCTGGGAAACTGCCCACCTACTAAGCTAACATTTTGCCCTAAGTGAGAAGTAAGTGTTAATGTTGAATTAGGGGAGGGGTAGGTGGGCAGTTTCCAAAATGTCTTGGCTGTTTTCTCAGGCCAGTATTGACTTTATGATCAGATATTTTGTTATTGATATTTCAGAAGGAAATTAATGGCCACGGGTAGAACATTGACAAATGGAACTTGAATGTTAAGAATGTCCAGATTTGTACTTCTAGTACATGAAAGATACATACCCTCTCCTTCCACAGAGCAACATATAAGCTCTAGTTTGCCATCCATGCGATAGTCTCCTTCCAAGACACCAGCAACAGCCACTGGGAAATTATCTTTGAAGATCACTTCACCTGTTCTGTCACTACGTGCATCAATCTGGAAAAAAAAATTGGGTAAAGATGTTAAAATTCTCATCAGATTATTAAAACAATGTAAGAAACTTAATCTATGGAGTTTACAATTATTGGAGATGAAAATGACATTATATGAAAATAATATATACAGATATGGATCATATTTACATGGAAAAGGCACATTAATTTTTTTTATTGTTATCATTATTATTATTATATTAACTTCCTGGGATGGTGCTTGTCTTCTTTAATAGCAGACCATGGCATTGCAGCATTGCCGCACTTTTTTGGGCAATGACATACTATGATTAGCCCAAGGGGTCCCAAGGGCACAAAGAAGGAAATAAACCTATTACAAAATGTACATAAACATACATTGTACATTTCCTTAGAATATAAGCCAAAATTTAATGGTATCTAAAAATTGTGATCCGCTTTTCTCCCTAATGACCCCCTTTTAGCTTCTCTATGGGTCCTGTGGACCCTAGTGCAAAAAATCCTGGTAAGAACACTGTGGTGCCCTTTGGCATATTTTATACATGGACTTAATATCCTACATTGAAGCTAGGGCCATGTTACAGCTGTACAGAAATGTTCACTTTCAGGACTGGTGTTTTCAAGTACATTTACCTTTCCATTTGACCAGCCTGTTATCAGCTCTGGTACTCCATCAGAATCAAGATCAAAACTGTGAATGGAGATTGCTTGGTTTTTAGACTGCAAAAGAAAGAAACCATTTACAATTAGGGTAAACTATTCACAAAAGACTTATGATTTCTCCAACTGCTACCTCAATATCACCCTGCATGCAGACTACTCCTACTTCCGTTGTTGCTCGCAGAAAAGTGACATAGGAGACAACTACACGCAGGGTACCTCAGCAAATTCATGCATACATCACCATCATCATCTGATGACTTTGCCATGCTGATGATGTTCTTTTTTAAAGAAATAATCTCCAAAGAAATCACCTTTATCCTCCAGTATCTTGCAGTCTTGTCATACACTCCAACGGTTCCATTTGCCAGCGCATAGCCAAATCTTGATCCATGGAGTGGATAAAGACAGGTCACAGACTGTAAATAAATTAAAAATTGCTCAGCCCAAAGGAATGAATTTTATTCACCTGGAGGGTAGCTACTGATGGCATTTTCCTCTTACAGTATAGTCTAGCTTAATAGAGACCTTAAGCATCAGGTTTTGGCTGGGAAACGGCAAACCTGAGAATGTCAAGTGACCACGTACCGTCTTGCGGTCGCATTTGCAGTTTGATAGGCTGAGGAAGAGCTTCCAGTGGTAAGTGACTTAAGACCAGGTTTTTTGCCACTAAAAATTGTACAGCCTCACATTTAAATGCACGAAGTAGCTTTCTATATCTGCCTGCCGTGCTAGTTAGATTTTTGAACTTGAATTATTCATGTTTTTTGGGAGATAAAAGTTATGCACTTCAACTTGATGAAAAACAACATGGCGGCACTAAACAATGAATGCCTAGCTAAAATTTAAATTCTGGCCAGGTGAAACTGCAAATACGTAACTGCAAACTACAGTTTGCGATTCCCATGAAAAACCTGATGCTAAAGGTCTCTAATTACACCTAAAAACTGGAACACATTGATGATTTAAATGAAAGAACCAGAAGGAGTTTTAAATTTTTATACTTGTTGTTCAATTTTATTATTTTCTTTTGAAAAAGAAGAAAAATACTAAATAAAGCTAAAAATTGAAACACAATATACTCACTTCAGTTTCTGTCATCTCTGCAATAATCTCATCTTCTTTAAAAACCCTGATGTCAAAGTCTTCTGACCCAACAAGTAACTGTGAAAAATACCATATTGTACAATGCAATGTACGTACCATTACTATTAATTAAATAATTAACAATTATTCCACGAGGGCGCGTTGGATATGAGATGATAGATAGCCAACAAGGCGCGTAGCGCCCAGTTGGCTATAATCATCTCATATCCAACAAGCGCGAGTGGAATAATTGTTTTATAAAAAATGCCCACAAAAACTCGTTGAATCTCCCCTACTAGAACAAACCGGAAAAGACAAGGGACTATTCACATGTCACACGTCTATCAAAACTGTCAACGCGCGAACGGACTCGCCTGGACTGCATGAATGAAAAATCAAAACATTGCAGCAATGAACATTAATTTTTTAAAAACTCATCGGGATTCTAGGATTTTACACAGCAGGACAGCTAAAAAAACCTGGCAGATAATGTGAAGGAAAAGAATTTTTAAGTGATAGCCGTCGAAATTACTGTGAATTTCATTGGATTTTTGGTGCAGTTACAAAAGTAAGAACAACGGAGAAAAACTACTACCTCGCTCGCTTGTTATGAAGTTGTTTGAAGCCACAAGTGGTTTTGCTGAACGAGAAAAGAAGCTATACTGCCACCTCGATTGCTCTAGTGAATGGCTGCATAGCCTGTGTTTGTAGCTGGTTACTTGTGATTTATATTCTTGATGTCGGATAAACAAGCCACAGTTATCTATCGACGAGTTCCTCGATTGGCGAATGGCTTCCCGATCATGAAGAAACAACACCTGTCTTCTTTCGTAGCTGGTCAAGGTACTTTAGTTTCATGTATTTTCATGTGTTTTTCGACAAACTTTCAAACAAGCTCTTGTGGCTTTTTTGTTTGTTTTTGTCTTTTTTCTTTCAATGAAATTGCATTTGTAGTACTCTAAGAAATGAATTAAAACAATTTGCTTCGGGCACCGTTCTATCCTTCGCGAGAAAAAATCTCAGTTAGCTTCCTTCTGACGCGTACATTGACCATATAATTATGGAGAGCATGGTATAATAGCTCATATACTATAACGGCTAAGCCAATCAAAATGCTAGAATTGCATTATCCAAAGATTCAGTTTTTAATAATAATCATTATTAAAAAATATTAACAATGTCTGACTGAGTGCCGAAGAAATATTACAATCAAGGGAAGGTTGGTAAGTTATACCAGTAATATTAAACTGGTTTGTTTATGACAAAGGTCATCAAAAGCGAAACTACACGTGAAATCTGATTCTCAGATTCAAGATGAATTGCCTAAACTGGTTACTGGTGGTTGAGATTTCTTTCTAGGACTTAAACAGAACAGAGTAAATTTATTACACTACAACTCTGACTAAAACAAAGCAAACTGTTCCTCTGGTTCAAGGCTGTTATTAAGAGGCAGGGGCCGGGGATTTCCCCCAGTTACTAAGATCATGGCCCCTGGCTACTTTCAAAGGAAAATAGAAGAAAAATAGAACCAAAAGAAATCCCAAGCTGTTTTATTCCTCACCTGCTTGTTGTATTTACCCAGCTACCTGACATCTTAGTAACATCCCTGTTGGTTATAACATGTCTATGGTGGTGATTGAGAGGCAGGGAGAGGGTGGGGACAAGAAAAACACTTCTTGCATTTCAACTAATGTTATTAAAAGGGGCTGTACATGTGTCATGAAATTTTCTCAAAATTCAAATCGGGGGAACAGCCAACAAATTGGATGAAACAATTAATTAGTATATAATACAAAAGGAGACACGGATGGAAAAACTTGAAGAAGACTGAAGCAGATTGCAAGTGTGGTTTTTGATTTAACTTTTTAGCCTAACAAAGTTCAATTTTGTTGTTTGTAACATTTGATATAATGTTGGGATCGACATATTTTTCGACACAAAGTTAATATGTCATTCACAAGTAATTTTTTGTTATGTTTCATAACAAAAAAGGTCATATAACTGCCATACAGCCCTTTTAAGGCTGAATATATTGTAGTGTTAAAATAATAAGCTGACTAACAGCAATATTATAAACATAATAATTATTTTACCTCAAGATTTCCATCACCACTAAAATCACACATTGCCAAGGAACACACATTGTCACCTGTGACCTTGAAAAGTATGAAAAGTTCAGTTTATCATTAATTTTACTAAGCACTATAGAATTTTTGAGTACTTGCAACTAATTGTTTTTACATAATGTTATGGCAATCATATTGCTGTTTCATTTTAACATATTATAAACGGTGGCCATGACCATGTTCAGGGCTGGCGCTGGTCAAGTTGTCCGGTCAAACCTATTTTTCGCTCAGACACAACCCGTTTTTGGACAGACAAATAATGTCTTTCATCTAGGATTATCTGATTGCAATTTACAGTAAAATACATGCGGACTATTATAAAAATATTTTACAACACTACACACGCTTCTCCTGAATTTGCGGTGACGACTTTATAGAGGACAAAGCAATAAGTTTTTAACTCGGAGTCGCAACTCCCAGAAAAAAAAAAAAAAACCACTGTTACCGCCCCACCGCGCAGGGCTTCTGAAATTTCGCACAGTCGCAGAGCCGCGAAATTCAGGTAAATCCACGAAATCCCTCGAAATTTGGTAGAAATCTTTATACCAAATACACGTCAGTTCAACATATTCAGGGTTGTCAAAAGTGGCCGGCTACAGGCTGCTGTCTCCGGCTACTCTGCTTGGCATTTCTTTACGGACGGCATTTTTTAAAAAAAATATCCCTGGACTGGCCACTTACTTTGACAACTCAGCCATCTACTTCAAAACTTTCTGACAACCCTGCATATTTGAGACTTATCTCAGCTAATGGGGCTGTTTTTGCAATAGACCTGCAAATTTATCTTGAGACTTCACCACTGCAATGAGAAAACGTCCCAAAACTAGGTATACCTATCGATCGATGTTTTGCTTAGGAATAAAATTCCTTATTTTTTCCCATTTGACCGTTTCTTGGTCCCTTCCTGTTGCAAGGATTATTTTCTTGAAAAGTTCTCAGATTCAGTCTGGTGGCTTTACAAACCTGCTATGTAAAAGTGTGAAGTGTCTTGAAAGAATAAAGTCAGCTTTGCAGGGGAAGCGATCGGGATTATTATTAAGTTCAGCTACAACTCTACTGTCGGTTCGGTTTCACATTGTACATAAACATTTGCACAGTTTAATCATTTAAACCTCCTTTCAAATTTCCCGAGGCTTTTTGTTACCGGATTGAAACTTAGAATGATTCGCTGGGCCATCTAAAATGTTTCCAAGGACATGCGACTGTACGGCACGTCGGTATTTAATTTTAGTTCATTATTTTTATACTGAACTCGGCCAGGTTTCGAAAAAATGGCGTTGTTTTCTTTTCCTTTGTCGTTCGCTTTAGGCTTGTAATTCGTTTTTGTTCTCATATTTTTTGTTTGCTGGTTAGATTTTTTCCCCAACACCAGATTTTCCAACAGAAGCGACTGTATTCTTCGTGTCAAGCTTTCCTTATCTCCTCGTGTAATCTGATCCTTTTTAGTGGTGAGAATATTGCTTGTTGCACATAGAACACTTTTGCTGTTTTACAAACTTCTCTTCGTTAAAACTTAACATTATGGCCCCTAAAATTAATAGAATATATCAAGTGCTCATGTTTCTTGACTGCAGTGGCCGGGTTTGACGAAAAAATTTAGGTAAATAAACACCGGAAGTCGCGACGGCGGGAATTGTGTGAAATTTTGTATTTTATTCAAGTTGAGCCCGTGCCCCAGGTACTGCCTTTTGATTGGTTCACAACTCACCACTTGGTCTCAGGGGAATCTACATTACATTAGGTTACACTTTTTACAGCTCAATCGAGAATTTTTCTGCCTACTGCCCAGTCTTGCGCGGCTCTATTCTGCTGCCGCCTCGCCATCTGAGCGTCTTCGCTCGGATGGCTCGTTGGCAATTACCAGGTGTTCTTGGATTATTATTGCGAAAAACTGGGCACCGGCCATTGCATGATATAAAAAGCTTCGACATTGGTGCTTTTCTGAGCTCATTGTTGTTAAAAGAGCAAATGATGATATCTGATAAAAAAATAAAAAAAACCTTGTGCTATACTATACCAACTCCAGACGACATCGCAAAGCACGTGGGAGTTTTGAGGACAAAAATCGCCAGTTTTAAAAAGGCGACATTTATAAGTAGTCAATGTTTCTGTTGTTGTTGTTATTGCACAGGCTAACGCTCATTATCCCAGTCCACCCCTCCCCCCCAAAAAAAAATTGGCAAAATTGCCGTTTTGTTTCATTAAAAATGTTCGTGAAATCACAGGCGGCCCAGACGTAGTATGTGTCACTGAATGAATATATTAATATGGACAAATTAATGCGATGAGTCGTCGAAACTCCCATGGACTAAAATAGTCTAAAAGTCAAAATATAACAAAACAAAGCTAAGATACCTTCAACTGAACGTATCCTTGTCTTTCCTGGCCGGTTTAAGTGGCATTTTGTTGAGTTTTGAAATTGTAGGTACTATCCACTAAAGAAGAATTAAAGGCTGGCTACAAGACAAACAGACCATCTCCACGCGCCTTCACACGAAGCGCTATAAATTCGAGAATAATCGACGAATCCGCTCTAAATAACCATCGGCTAATCTGCAGGTAACGTGTGCTCCTGCTTCTGGCTCGCTTGCTCCACAAAACCCATTGCAACTGCACAATAATTGCTCGCTCATCAACAACCACTGTTGACCTTTACGCTTCGATATGACCGCAAACGACCAGGTTTAATACGCGACGTGAATATTCAAGATTAGCGACCGCGTTCGCGCAAAAATGCAGTACTTGCTATGGGAGGGATGGTACTATTGCTTCTAGGTCAATCAATCGGGAAAATAATATTGAAGCCCTTGTAATTTTTAAAAAGATCCAATTTGCCCTAGGAGCACCGAACAGATACGAATCTTATAGCGGAGCTAAAAAAGAAATGAGCGGCAGTGGAAAAAGTGAACAAGAACATGTACCACATTTTCTCCATAAAAAGTGAAAACCAGGAAGTTTTCTGGACGTTTCACGTTGCAGTCATGCGAATCAACGGCAAGGAAATGTACAAGAAAGTGTGCTGCAATTAGACCTATTGTTGTTTTTCACAGTTCTGGTCAAGGGCATCCAACTTTTAATTTTTCACATTTCACTCACCCGGTTAGGCTATTTTTCGTAGAGAGTAAAATGGAATCCTAAAATTTTCGGATTCAAAAATGTGGTGAAAGAAGGTATCTGAAAAATTATCTCCTTTGTAATACGTTAAATTGCATCTAAAATTTTCGGGAAAATAATTCTGAATTCCTCGTAATTTCGAAAAGACTCAAGTTCCTCTAGAATGGCCGAACACTGAGATGCAAATTTTATAGCGCCACTTAGAATGCATTTCTATAGAGCTAAAAGTACTTTATGAATAGCTACAAAAGTGTTTTCAATTGAAAGTATTTGAGGAAACAGTCGTTGGGTGGCCCTGTCTCGTTGCCTTCTCCGCTTAGCATCACACGATACAGCTATTTCGAGAAAGGTTGTTGGAAAACATGTGCACGCGACAATCCCGAAAGGTAATATGGGATATGATCAATACACTGTTCCTGACACTGTAGCTGTCGAACCTACTTTTGTTGCTTTCCTTTAGCACTCGCAAACATATGTCCATGGCCTTTCGTGCCCTTAGTTTTGAACAACAGTGAACTCAAAACCACCCACAATACCTTTCGGGTTTGTCGCGTGCACTTTTTCCGACAACCTTTCCCGAAATAGCTGTATATTTTATATTTAGTATGAGCAAACTATAAATAATTAGCTTTGCTTTTAGCCCTCCTGACTAAATTTATGTAAGCGCTGTTTAGAATGCATTTTTCGGTCAAAAGTACTCTGGAGAGCCTTAAATGTGTTTTCAATGCATTCAGGGGGAAATCATCGCTGGGTGCCCCTGAGTTTTGAGAATAATAATAATAATAATAATAAAAGATATCGCGCACATAAATTTTACTTTACGATATCTTCAGCTGTATCTTCTATTCAGCTGCATAGCGGGGGCCAGATTTTGCCTTTTTCCTAGGCGGAAAATTCTCGTCCTCCTTCACCAGTTTGGACAACATATTATGGAGTAAGACGTTGTTAATCTAAGCAAATAAGTCTGGTAGAGTCAAGAACCTATGCAAGCGGCTGGACAAACAATGTGACAGCAGCTGAGACAGTGAACGTTAGAAGAATTCAAACTTGAAAACCAGGGCTGCCTTGTTGAAAACTTACGGACGGTCCCGCGATCGCCTTTTGTTTTCTGGTCAAAACTAACGCAGCGAACCTTCGGTCAGTCGATTGACCTAGAAGCAATAGTACCATCCCTCCCATAGCAAGTGCTGCATAATTTGTAGCGCGAACGCGGTCGCTAAGCTTGAATATTCACGTCGCGTATTAAACCTGGTCGTTTGCGGTCATATCGAAGCGTAAAGGTCAACAGTGGTTGTTGATGAGCGAGCAATTATTGTGCAGTTGCGATGGGTTTTGTGGAGCAAGCGAGCCAGAAGCAGGAGCACACATTACCTGCAGATTAGCCGATGGTTATTTGGAGCGGATTCGTTGATTATTCTCGAATTTATAGCGCTTCGTGTGAAGGTGCGTGGAGATGGTCTGTTTGTTTTGTAGCCAGCCTTTAATTCTTCTTTAGTGGATAGTACCTACAATTTCAAAACTCAACAAAATGCCACTTAAACCGGCCAGGAAAGACAAGGATACGTTCAGTTGAAGGTATCTTAGCTTTGTTTTGTTATATTTTGACTTTTAGACTATTTTAGTCCATGGGAGTTTCGACGACTCATCGCGTTAATTTGTCCATGTGGATATTAATATATTCATTCAGTGACACATACTACGTCTGGGCCGCCTGTGGTGAAATCAGTGCAAAACCAATTACTTTCTAGCAAAATTTGCCCGGAAAATTTCCGCGCAATTGGCTTTTTTTAACCATTGTTTTTCAGTGAAATTTGTCCTGAATTTTCCCATGAAATCACCCGTTTTTTCTTCAAATTTGTCTCTGAAAATCCCACGAAATTTGACCTTTTTTCTGCGACCTATCAGAGGCCCTGTGTTATGAACGGTTTATGGGTCAAGTTCTTGATCTGGTCACCTTTTTCTCTCTCTCTCGCCCCACTTTTTTCCTTCACGAACACCAGTAATGTCCAATCTTGACCAATCATATTTTAAAAGAAGTGAACGTCTGCATTACATTAGAAGCGTGAAAGAGTGGACTAAATGTCCGGCGTTCCTTTTGACCGGACAAATCCTATTTTTGACTGGACATTATTACAAGCCCTGATGTTGGTGTGCCAAGTTGGTCCTATGGCAGATGAGCTCTTTACTGGGTACCCTGGGTTTTACAGGTTCACAGCACTAGACTGGGCCCCCTTCAATTTTTGTTAGAGCACAGCCTTGGATTCACTACAATTTATAGTCTGAAATGTCAGCTGTCTCCACCCCCTAACCCACGCCCTTAACAGCTTAGGGGGGTGGAAACGGCTAAGATTTCTGAATATATAATTCACAAACTTGCTGGCAGGTTTAGAATGGCTCAAAATTCTTCGTACTGTATATAATTTGTAACTATAGTATTCTGATTTACTCACTGGTTTCATTGGAAGCCAGCACATGCATTGATATTATTTCTCCTAAAGAAGTTTAAGACATCACTTACCGTCCAAAATTCGTCATTTCCTTCAAAGTCAAATCCTTGAATTGAACAGTTTCCTCCAACTATCGCTAGAGGATTCTCAAATGAGCCAAGCTTGCCTGTTACTATAGCATTTGCTCCGTCTGCAATCTTACAAGGGATCAAAGCACAAAACTAAACAAGATGTACAAGTAGGAGTTGTTCATGCAACGGAGAGTAAACAACAAATATTAGCGAAGAAAGACATACTTAATCTTGTCAGAATGATATTTAAAGTGTTTTTTGGAAAAATTCCCAAGAGCTAATGGCTTAAAGGAGACTTTCAAAATTACTTACCCATTTTATAACCTTGGACATCTTTTTGGCCTGGTTCTCAACTCATTAATCTTTTTAACATTCTTACAGTCAAACCCCATTAATATGGACACTGGGGAAGCCAAACAAAGTGTCCGTATTAATGGGGTGTCCGCATAGCCTCCCACACAAAGGTTCTTAGGGGTTCGTCATGGGTTCCTGCCCCATGAATGTCTGCTGAAACAAGCAGTTAAATTCCCTTCCCATTGTTTGCAAATATCAGCTGGAGCTCACATGCAGATTATCGGATAACCAATCGGTGCTGATGAAGTCAAAGTGTTGACAGGCCAAAAAAACATCTAAGCTTGATAGAGTGTAATCAGAGTTTTTCTCCAGACAAGAATGTAGGAAACGTAAAGTGTTGAGGAGGATTGTGTAACAAGCCCAAAGAACATCTTATTCTGCATGGGAAGCTAGTGTCCATATTTAGCCGGTTGAATTTAGAGATGAAAATGTTAGAGGGCTTTATTTCCCCAGGGACAAAGCAAACTGTCAAGAATAATGAGTTAACTGTAGTGGGTGTCTGTAAAGCAAGGTTTGACCATATTTTGTTTGTTTTCAGTACATGTTTAAAGTAGCTTATTAATTTTTTTGAGAGATATATACTTTAAAAAGTTCTCTTCAGTACTAAGGCTTACCACTTAGTAATATACATCCAGTAACTACCAAAAGAAAATTTTACTTACAGACCCCAAGAGCAGTCAAACTAAACTAACAAGAAACTCACATCCTTGTAGAAAAGATCAGAGTTGTTCTCTACATCATAAGCTAGAAAGTTAGTGGGTGTTCCAACAAGCAGTGTGTCACATCCTGAACTATTTAACGGACCAGCAGCAACAGCAGACACTTGTTGATTAATGTTTAAAATGCTGATGTCAGTGTTGTGACTCGCTATCGCTCTACCACCTTGCAGTGCTGAAGTATGGGGGTTGTGGATAAAAACCTGTAAAAAAGACAGCAAAACAGGGTAACTGGACTGACTCTGGCTAACAATAATAATATTATTATCAGTTAGAATCAACCAACAGAGGTGAAGATTGAATGCAATGTAAGAAGCTGGTATAAACTGCTGACTTTGATTCAGTTCCATTTGCTCTAAATTAGTATTAAATGCAGCTTTCTGAAGTGATTCTGAAGTGTTTTAGGTCAATTCTGTGATTAAAATACCCATGCCCAAACATAATATACAACTATCCCCCCGAAGGGGAGGTGAATAGTGGTGGATATAATACCGAGGTATAATATCTACAGTGTTCTCCCTAGGTATTTAAGGCTAGCTGGACCACCTGGTTTAATTCACTGGAACATTGTTGCCGCCTGGCTTCAGTACCAAAGATTAAACCGAATGGACACTTACGTTGACATCTAGAGCTAGGTATTTTAAAGGCAAAATCACTCAATAAAGTTGATGTAACATTGTCTGGTGTATTTATTTCTGTGTTTTCTCCTGAGTTATTGATTATAAAATACGAATATGTTCAAATCTATGATGCCTTCATTTCGTTAAATGGCAGCCATCTTGAAAAATACAACGGACATTCAAGGAGCTTACGTGCAAGGAGTACTAAAGTAACTCCTGCACTCACTTGTGCTTGCAGTCAACCCAAGATACGTGTAACAAAAACTAAAAGCTTGTCAAAGCAACTTGTGTTCTTTTTTTCCCAATTTAAAGTAAGTTCCCAAGTGTAAAAATTTTTATTCGGTGTACAGCAGGCTTCGTCTAAACACCGTTGATAATCACAGCCAAAATCCTAGGGAGAGCACTGATCTAGCTCTGTTCACCGACCCTGAGGGGGATAGTTGTTTTAGTATTTACCAAATCAGTTGGATAAAAATGAAAAAAAAGTAACTTTGTGTAAATTCAAAACGTCACTTAGTAGGAACTTTGTTTTTAATACAATTTACACAGTATTTTCAGAGATTTTGTCAATTGCATTTTTACGATTTTGTTGCAAATCGAGCATGAAAATAATTTTATACCTACCAGTAAACACTGACAAGCCAAAGTTCATGGCTTTTTCGGTATTTGATTATACAACTGCTTCATTTATTGCTCAAATTTCTTCTTCCGAAAATTTCTGAGCCATCTTGGCTCAGGTCACAAAACAGTGAATAGCCAAGGAAGGATATTCTGAGTTATGGGAGCCAATTAAAATGCGCAAAAATTGCTATTTGTTGTAGTTAATGTTTTATCTCAGGTAATGTTTATTTTCCCTTTGTTTCAACTTCATTAGCAGACATTGCCATACCCAAAAACAAAAGAAAATGATAAGTAACCTAAGATAAAAAAAATCATTATTGCAACATTTTCATCACTGGCCGCAGTGGCTTTCTTTTTTTCTTGAGGAGATCGATCTTCCACGCATCCACTTGGATATTAAATCAACTGATTTCGTTGTGGAGAAACTTTAAACACAACAAATGGGGTGAGATGGGTTCCTGGCAACCCAGTCTCAGGCCTCTGATCTGCTGGTTTATACATTCTGTGAGGTTGAGATTCAAACTGAACGGTTAAAAATACAGCCACATAGTCCTCAAAAATTGTTCACCAATCACAAAAGGAGAGAGTGATCATGTTTCTCACCGGAAAAAGGAGTAATCATAATTTTCCTGATTTCCTTAAGCATCATGTTTCTAAATGTATGGCAAACATTTATGGCGGGTCGGGAAGGAATACCATCAATCAAAATTAATTGGCAGTGCGTCATTTTTCAGCCAATGGTATTTCGCCTCGTCTGGGCATAGCAGAAATGAAAATTTATAAGAGACCATTGCAAGCTTTTTTTCTGTCCGTCCCTCCTCACTCACGTGTTTTCTCATGGCTCGCTACACTCGCCATAAAGGAAGAGCTTTGTGGCAGGCTATAGACTTACACAACAAAACTGGACCATTATTTTTGGACTTCAATAATAATTTACAAAGACATGGGAATTCTAGATGCTGTCAGAACATTTCTAAAGAAAACGGGAAACTTGGGCCTTTGCTACAGGTGCCTCCTCTTCCCTTTGGGTGTTCTCCTTGCGTGCTCATAATGACCAAACAAGCCACATAGGCCTGAAATTATTGACAAAATAAACATTGTGTATTTCAGTGGAGAGATTGATCAATGATTTACAGACCTATTCCAAAATGTACACAATTTCCAATTAAGTAGATTAAGACTTTCTTACAACTCTTACCTTATAGGCAGAAGATTTACAACTAGCTCTCGCTGTTTTCTTGGAGTATAAAAATTAAAACAATTTAATGTAAAGACTCAGCTGAAAGACTACGGCCAAGAGTAAAGTACGATCTGGCGGTTTCTCCCTTAAATTCATTTCCTTTTTCAGTGCTCGAACTTAACGGTCGTCCACTCGTCAAAAACGAGTAAAAAATTCCGAAAACGAGTAGTTTTCTTTCCCACTTGTCCCCTGGAGGAGTAGGGTTACCACTCTCTGAGGTTATTATTGTACCAAAAAGTGCTAAAAGCCTTGAAACAAACGTTTCAAAAACGAACAGGCAAAAAGCGCTAGTCATTAAAGTCTACTATGGTTGCGTTTATTTGATTGCAATAATTTTTTCATGTATTAACTTTCAGACACAAATTCACGGCATACATTAAAAAAAAATTGAAAATGATAAGAGTGATTAGTAGTTTTGCTGATGGACCAGTAAATTTTCATTCTACTGGTCCTGCGGAAGACCAGATCCAAAAGTTAATTTCGAGCACTGTTTTTTCCGCCGATTTTTCGTGTTCTTCTCACCAAAGTAAGACGCCTGATCGCAAGTTAGTTCAAAGGCGGTCCTTGGGGGTTAAAACTATTGATAACGAAATTTACAACTATCTGAACCAACCTTTCCAGCCGTCGTACCGCCTGTCAAACAAGGATGCCTACCATCGTACCGCCCCAGTGCTGCAGTTCGAGCGTGGATTTTGTGACCCAACTTCAGTGTGAAAATCGGCACGAGCATGGCGAAAGATCCTGAAGATCCAGGGGAAAGTTAGCACGTCACATCATAACAGAAGCGCAGCCACACTCTGCCACCTTGGAAACTATAGCAAACTTGAAGTTTTTAGTAATTTTGTTATTGCGCATAACATTTGGCGCATTGTTTTGCACGACCAAACGCTGTTCTTTAGACAGCTTAGGGCTCACCTCGATCAATACAAGGTCTTTCATATTTGGTTAAAATTCCGCTAAGGTACCATTGGCATGGCCTTGAAACAGCGATGTTTTTAAGACAGATGAAATGGCAACAAACCACACAGAACTGGGTTCAACCTGCGACAGCGACGGATGAAAAAGCGCAATTACAATTGTAAAATATCGATCGACAGGGACATGGCCCCCTCCTCAATAAGTTTTGAAGTTCAGAAGCTTTATCTTTTTACCACCTGTTTACTAAAAAACTAAATAATCTCGGAAGATTACAAAAAGTGCAACACGGCTGATCAACTGGTTTTTTTATGACCACAAAGGCTAGAATTATACACCACGTGCTCACCCCGTGGCCTTCAAAAAACAATTGGCAATTTCTTTATTTTTGTACAAGAAAATGAAGTGCCTTCTACCGCACTCGAAAGGCTTAATATACTGCGCATATGTGAACCGAATCATTACAAAGCAAGATTGGACCTAACATGTGAATGTGCTTCGTGGCTAAATAACAATTTTTGGCAATCGAAGGTACGAAAGAGAAGCGAAGACATTTCACACTGCAATGTTGCGAATTTCGGACCCGCCGGAAGCCCCAGAGGTATTGACGTACATTTGAACTTTTCCTGACCAATGGGGATGAAGCCAGCCATTGAGTTTAACCAATCAGAGCAGGGTTTGCGTGGCGGTCTATTTGAAGCGTGAGCTACTCAAACCGCATCTCGGTTTACATCAATAAAGGAGGTTTGTGAATTTCGGGGTTCTTTCTGAATTTCTGGCTCAGGATTTCTACGGATTTCCTCAAGGATGACCGATGCCTACTTTTTTCGGTAAGGATTTATTGCTTCTGTTGATATGCCGTCATAAACTTCACTTTGTTGCTCTCTTTCCCTACAAATACTTGCAATCAATCACGTCGCAGTTTCCGCGCCATTTTTGAAGATAAAAATGAAGTCGACTTGAAAAACAAAGGAACACCTTAATTAGACTCCAAGCAAAACACGATCATTACTTCTTCTCATTGATTTAATGCTATGAGATGTTTCTTGTTACAAATCTACGTAAAATGTTATCATCATGATTTGTAATCCTCGATGTCTCCTCCGATCTTTGTGTTTACTCGAGATCTTTCCGATCGCTCCCGGAGGGAATGATTTCGTGCAAATGCGGCAGAAAACAACCTCTTGTGTCATTTCTATCGCTATTTCCAAGAGAATCAAAACTCCTAAGCAACTTTATCCCTGTTTTTGCGAGCAGATTTTAAATGATAAATTTAACTAAGTTTTGCGAAGACGCGAATGCCAGATCGATTTGCTTGCGCGATCGATGTCGCCTCGTTTCGAATGTGCTGTTGCATGCGGATTTTCGCAAAGTTGTAGTTAAGCTTTGAAATCGTTCTTCCTTCTTTTGTTGCTCTCATTACAACCAGTTACACGCATTTTCACACTTTTTACGATAAAACTGCCTTTGAGAGGTGAAATTAGGTTTTTTCATTTTATGTCTTGAAGTGAACATCCGGGCTTTACGCGTGCTGTAACACGTGCATATTCTCTTTGATTCGCTCTGCGTCTCTCATAGCGTCCAAAGCCGCTCGTCTTTCTGGGCTATATTTTGTCAAACCCCAGTGGAAATTGTCGAAGAATGCCTAAAAGCTTCTTATGCAAGAATGTTGCTTCTTCTTAAGGCAGCAGAATCAGTTGCACGGTGCGTAAAGCAACGAAAGAAATCGTTGCGTGTATTGGAAATTTTTAGCGGTGCGCAAATTGCGATACCCCCGATCAGGGGTCATGTTGTTTGTGCAATCGAAAGACGTAATGCGAAGAAGACTGGTTATAATTTCATGATTTTTCGCTCATTTTGTTTTGTTTCTGATGAGTTAGGGGTTATAGTGTTCCAGTGGAGGAGGAACCAACGCAGAGAACTCATCGTCGAAAGAAGAAAGTTAACAAGGGACGATGGACGAAAGAAGAGGTTTGTGTATAAGCTTACGTATCTGCCATTAGTACACACGTAAATATTCTCCTGTTTCCGGGATTCTCTTGTTTTTCAAGTAGAAATGTTAAAGCAATTTCAGGAACCTAACGTTTTTAACGCGAAAGATTTCGCGTAGGATTGTCTTAGCCCTCGCGTCGAGTCTCGGCTCTGAATAAAGTTGTCAGGGGCTATGTATGCAAAAATTGGCCAACGTTTTCTTTAATTCATTCATAACAGTTTGTTTTGGTGACGATTGTTTTTCCCAAATTTCGTCGTATTTGGCTTTTTGAAAAGGCAAATGCATCCTTAAGCGGCTTCTTAAACGTTTAGACTTTTAAAGGCGTGTTTGGTGTGCTCTTATCTAAAGTTTTGAACAAAGCTTCTGCTTTTGTGTAACCAAGCGTGTGGTGAGCTTCATTTTAAATCTCGAATGTCCGTTGAAAAGGATCGTATTACTGCATTGAATATTGGTTCTTATACCCTTGTCCTTTCTCAGCGAAATTTTTAAACAGTTCCATCGCTTATTTCTAAGCTTTATTCAGCTGTTTGAATTCGGGATTTTCCAAGATTGTTCGTTCTCGAAGTAAAAGCTGTAAATTCGGGAAAATGAAAGTTGTACACTATCCGTAATGAAGGCAAATTTATGTGTATGAAACGGACTAAAGCAAATGAGCTTTGTGCCGAAATCGGCAGTGAGGGCGTGTTATGCTACAAAATTTTACCCCAGCTTGCAGCCAGTGTAGCATTTGTAAAACACCTTGAAGATCATTCATATAAATTACAGTTTTTTGTCCTCGAGCAAGACATATTGGAGGGTCATGTTGTGGAACCTCTCAGCTATGTCAGCCGAGACTGCTATTTTGCATGTGTATGCCAATATTCTCATTTTATGCCAGTTTAAATAACCGGCGTGCCTTCTGGCGGCGTCTTTTTTGATTACCCCGTTATTTTGTCTTCGTTATCCTGCTATTAGATGTTTTTAATGCAGTGACTAGTTAACCTACGATGTGGCCCGGTGTTGTACATATTTCTTGTACTTAGGACGGCGTCTTAATTCTGGTGAATATTCTTTGTGCATTTGTGCTGCATACTGATGAAATGATAAGTCGTAATTTAATCTTTTACGTGCTGTACTCGGTTAAAATGTCAGTTTTTTATGTGCAGTTTTATTTGATTCCATATTTTAGCCTTTTTATTTCTCTATTTTTTATTTTTTATTTGTTGTTGTTACAAGTGAGATTATCCTTTGCTTATTTTCCAGAGTTTTCATTAAGCTCTAAAGTAGACAGCTATGATGTAAAAGTAGGCAGCTTGGTAACTGAGTGCTGCAGGCAATTTCAGGCTGTCATTCTCTCTATTTACCCTATTCCCCCGAAAAGTAGACGGCTCAAACCTCCAGGTGGCCAGTTTTTTAGCTGACTGCCGGCACTTAATGAGAACCCTGTTTTCTACCTCATGCACAAGTACATCATGCATACTTAGAAATCAGAAAACTGAAGGATTGCTCTTATTAGCATAATTTGCCATATTCAACTCCAAATTTATATGTTGCTGTTAGATGTCATTTACAAGGTGATTAGATGCTGATGCATAATTATCTTGGCAGGTATGACAGCTCTCGGAAACAGATCTGGCTACATGTTTTGTTAACCTGTACATGTATGTGTAACAATGAACAACTTTGCACTGCATACTACTGATCTTGCATTCTGCATTGCAAGCAGTACTTTTCATGCAGTTTCAACTAAATTCTTGCAATATGTGTTTTTATTTTATTCAAAATCAATGTTTATTTTTAAGCTTGATAAAGTATTACAGCAGGGTTGTGTTAATGCTGCAGAAGAATACAGTACCAGTTTAGACAGAAAACCTGCACGTGTTAATTCAGAGTTTTAAAATTTGTCGCATTTCCGAAAAACTGTCCAATAGCAAGACACAAATGCAAAATGACTTGACATCTGAAGCCAAGCTGTAAAAACATGTGAAGCCCCTGCGGGCATCCCCCAGCCTCCCTGCACACCAGCCCTGGGAAATACCGCTGGCCAGCATTGTTTTGTGTTTAACTTAGCCTAAATTCCATTTAGCCACATTCAAAATGTTAAAGCAGAGTTTCATTTCAATTCCGCTGAAACGACAACTTTGCTTCTACAAAATCTTGGTTTGCAGATTCTATAATTAGCTTTTCCATGAGACTACTTGTAATAGATTGATATTCTATTCCTTAACACTCTTTTCTCAGATGCATCAGCTATCAGCATAGCTGATTGCATTTTAGACCCTGTTTTGATTTGGCCCTGGGGCCTGTTTCTTGAAAGTCCCGGTAACTGTTTGGCCCCCGAAAGCTGTTTTGCATTTGCCATGCTTGCATTTAAGTTCAAAGATGCAATAATTTTGAAAACGATACGATGAAACTATCAGTTAAGGAAGCATAATTGACTGGTTTGTGCACTAGGAACTCAGTGTTCTCCCTAAATTTTAGCTCAGCAGGTAAGGGACCATTCATCGCCGGTAAGGCAAAAAATGTACCGGAGCTGCACTTTCCTGGGGGAGGGGAGAAGGGGAGTGAGGGACATGGCTTCAAACTTGCTGTGAAATTTAGGAGCCAAGCTCTCTGAAACGTAGTTCCCTCATTTTAAGACCTATTTTACGCAAATCAGTCGTTGTTATCTTTAGACAACAATTTAAAACGTTTGATTCCAATAATGTCTTCAATGCTCTCTCTCCAAAATGTGTGGCCCATAAAAAGAAAAGCTGTGTATACTTTAGTACAAGACAAGATGATTTATTAAACTCAGCTCAGTTTTACATGACATAAAGGTTAAATTTACGTAGGCAACTAAACACAGTACAACTAAGGAATAAAAGAAAAATTGCACCAAAAAAATAGAGAGTGAGTTGGGATCATCCAAATAGCAAGGGCTAATCTAGTGGATGACCCCTGCAATAAAATACAATTTACAGACAGAAGTAAGAATATATATATCTTTTTTTCATAAAAAGTATTTCTTCATGCACTAAGGCAGATAATTAATTAGAAAGATAATTGGGGATGGAGTTCTTAAGGGTTTTACGAAATATTTTAAGAGAATTTGAATTAGTTATACCTTTTAGGAAAGGAGTTCCAAAGGCGAGGACTAGTGAGTTTTAGGAAGCATAAGCCATATTAAGTGGTATTAACTGAGGCTACATAAAGATTTCTATTACATGATTTCCTCGTTGAATAGGAATGAACAGAAGAAGTAAATTTGAAATGTTCACTGAAACAGGGGGGTAACAGTCTGGGTGACCATAGCCTGCGAGCAAGCTCTTCTATCTGGGCAAGCGAAGCGAGCCTCGTGAGAACGCACGAGCGAGCGGCCGAGGAAAGGAGAGCTTGCAACGATGTCTCATAAATTTTCATTTCCACCCCGGAAACCCCGGGACTCCGCAAAGCGTGAAAACTGTCACTGCAAACGTGCCGCAGATTAGAAAAGTGACAACCGCGTGCCAAGTAAGTTTAGACAGTCGAGGGCGCGTAGAATTATTTATTTATAAATCGCTTTCGCAACAGCATCAAAGCAATGCTTTTAATCACTGATATGTTTTTTTTTCATTTGTACATCGAACTTCAACCTGTCCTCTCAGGGTTCTCAATAGATTTTTAAGTAGGAGGTGATCACTGATAAAGTAGGAGGCTCTTCGGCGAAGCCAGAGGTGTCAAAACAAAGCAAAGAAAAGCGACTTAAACACAAAGTAAGCGGCTATAAATCCCAAAGTAAGCGGCGATCAATCGCCGGGTGCCGCCTTCTATTGAGAACCCTGTCCTCTCGGATAAGAACTACTTTGATTCTCGTTCTGTTTACTTTTGAAAAGTCATCCATACTGCAGTGTGGAAGACTACTCCCCATCGCAATCACCAACAAAAACATCATATATTTGTCCTTCTGGAACTGGAGAATAGCGTTTTCCTGCACTTGGTTCTCTTAAGTTTTATTCCAGTTGCTTCCAACTCTTTCTCTTTTCCTTCTTTACGGTCAAGCTACACAGCTACACTGTCAAGTACATGTTTCTGAATTTTTCTACCTGGTAGAATTCAATCAGGCGAAGAAACCGATGTTGGAAGACAGTGCTTGAATCACTCTTCACTTTCACTCTCCCAGTTTTCAGAACTAAACAAGGCGCTTGACACAAATGAATACAACTGATGAAGGGTTTTCACAAGAACTTACAAAACTTACTCGGTGCGACTTATCCTCAGCTCGCCATATTCTCTTTGCGAGAATTACATCAAATGAGCCCGTCTGCATTGAGGGCTGAAACAAGTTCTTGGTACCAATCTGATCCCCCTGAGAACCAAATTTGACACACAGACGAAGCGGGTGCCAGCTTGGCCTATTATCAATCAACTTGAAGAAAACAACGTGAAGGGAAATGAAAATTGCTTTGAGTTAGTGGCAGGTTCGAGTTTTAGAGGGTTCAAGTTACCAGGAGTCAACTGTAGTTTGCACAATTTGATTTTTTGTTTTAAACAATCATTAAAATTAATGCAAACAATATGTTTTGAAAATGACTTTATTTATCCTTGAATGGAGATTGTACCAACCCAAAGGTGCTCTATGAACCACTGAGTTTTTAGGCAATGCCATTTAGGAAATGATTTACTTAGGGTTGCGTCTGTTAAGTAAGTCCCCCTGTCCAATAAGCCCTCCCTCCCTCAAAATTTTCCAAAAAAATGAGCCCCCCAACCTTGGAGAACAATCAATTAAAGCAAGTGGAATCTAAAATTTGTTTCAGGATGACAAGCTGAAGGAGCTGGTAGATGAAATTGGAACAGATAGCTGGAAAGAAGTAGCAAGCCATTTTTCTGATCGTACTGATGTACAGTGTCTGCACAGATGGCAAAAAGTACTCAATCCAGAGCTTGTGAAAGGACCCTGGACAAAAGAGGTGAGACGGGAAACATCAATGCTTGTTACTAACCAAGTTTGAAGTCCCCAAGTTGTATATTTTCGATCAAGAACTCCCCCCGCCCCCGCCCCCCTTAATTTATGGTCCAGGCACAAAGCATGTGGGCCATGAATAAGAGAAAACAAGAATCTGCAATTTACAGCATGTACTGAGAAGGCAAGGGTATGTTATTAGCTTATTGGCCATTTCAGATTTGCGTAGAGAAGTGGGACAAGTTTCAAATTTAAACTAATTGATAAACTGACACCACCATATAAAAGGTCATGTTGGTCAGTTAAAGTTTAAGATCCAACTAAAGAAGTATACTCACTTGAAATGTTCACTACAGATCTTGGGCGCGATCCATTCAACCAAACTTTCCGGAAATTTCGGTCCAACACTCAATGGATCGGTTCGGTCCAACCGGAAAAGTTTCGAAAAAACGGGTCCACCTTTTGAGGTGGTCCTCTTTTCCCGGTCGGACCGGTTGGAATTTTGGTTGAATGGATCGCGCCTCTTGTCTTTTCATTAAGAGATTCTGGCCTCATCATCAGTTTGAACAGTGAAATTGTCACTAAAAGACTACATTCTAATTGTATGTAAACTATTGGAGTCATACATTTTTTTCTTGGCACTGGAAGCCATAACAAGCCCTGTTGTTAACTGTAAAACATCTTTCACACGTGCTTCATCAGTAATGGCAGTGCAGTGCACTTTGGGAACGATTCAAGATGGTGGATGATAGAAAAACACGAATGTTTTATAATATTAATAATATTGCTCTACTAGTTAAGAATCTGAGTGGAAAAATACTATATTTGTTTATTTTGATCCCTCAGTCTGAATATATCAGGATATGACACTGAGAAACCATTTTTCAGTTCCGTTATTTTAAGATCACGGTAACGACACGGTACCGGAAACGAACGTTACCGTGTAATCCTAGGGCTTGTAAAGGGTCAATAAAGTTACTGATCATTTTAATTTGGCTCCTAGAAATGTGGCTTGGGCTCCTAACTTTTTATTTTAGGAGCCCGAAGGGCTCCCAAAAAATGTTCTTAATTAGGCAACAGCCTTGAAAAGCATCTTACCAGTGGGAGTGATAACTTCTAGATACAGAAACTGCAGGTTTTTTGACTTGTTATTTCATCTTCAGGAGGATGATAAAGTGGTTGAACTGGTGCACAAGTATGGTGCTAAAAGGTGGTCCCTCATTGCTCAGCACTTGAAAGGACGGATTGGTAAACAGTGTAGAGAAAGGTATATGTAATGCGTCTGCATACAGTATGATAATAGCCATCAGAGTATACTATAAAAATGAATTAGTCAGAACACCTTCCTTAAATTGAAGTAAATGTGAAATTTAAGGTTTGCATGGCTTGTGATTTTAGTTTTGGTGCTGGAGAGTAATTTTGTTTATTGATGTGTGTTTTGTGCATCTTCAGATGGCATAACCATTTAAATCCCCATATAAAGAAAACAGCTTGGACAGAAGATGAAGATAGGATTATTTATGAAGCCCACATTACTATGGGGAATAAGTGGGCTGAGATTGCAAAGCTCCTGCCAGGAAGGTGTGTAATAGTTTCTTATTTCTTATTATCACAAGATAGCTTTTTACTGAACAGTAGTAATGGGCTACTCATTTCTGGATAGATCTGTTTTGTTTTGTTAAATTCTAAGCCAGAGAATTGTGGGAATGTGAGCAGATAGCAGATGTCTCCATTTTACTCAACATTTCCAGTGAGGTCAAACTCTGGCAAGTAATTGGTGATCTTACTCTCACTCAAACCTTGAAGTGACGCCAACAGTAGACCACACCCTTTCCCCTGCTTCTTACAGACGAGTTTGCCTTGAGAATTGACATTGTGAAAAGATCTAAAATTAATAATTTTTTTGACACAAATGAAATCTAGAGTTCATTTGGGGATTAAAGAGTTATTAAAATACTTTCCTTTTGTAGAACTGACAATTCAATAAAGAACCACTGGAATTCCACAATGAGGAGAAAGGTTGAAAGTGCAGGCTATGATCATTACAGGAGAGTTAGATACCATGCAGTGAGTGTTTTGTTGTTCTAGCTGTACTGTTGTCACACTCTTAATAGAGACCTTTAGGTTCTAAGATGAGGAGGACTATAAGTATGACATTTTTTCGGTACTAAGTAGTGCCTGTACATGAACAAGCATCATTTTGGCGGAAAAACATGATAGCAGTCGTCATTCTACTACAAGTTTTAGTGAAAATGTAGTTGGCGGAAACAAGTTATCAAATGTTAGAAGTTTTATAACTCTGCGAACAGGAAAGGGCTTAACCTCATTTTATGAAGATTACAGTGCTAACGTTTCTGGTGAAAAAGATGTACAATAAAGCTTTCCATGGTGTCTTTTTTTTTAGAATATGCGAGAAAACTTTAAGGCAAATCTCATCCTCAGATCTAAAGGTCTAGCTAAGTTACCGCTAGTCATAATTTGTTGATTATAAGTTAGTTGAACATGAATTCCTGAAAGGCTCCACTCACCTTGGTACTGAAGCCTCTTATGAACAACAAAAAGAACTTGTAAACAGCAAGATTGTTGGTGTATTAACAATGACAATATACATGTATCGAGTAATAATTTAATTATACAAATGTACCGTAAAGCTCCCATAGTAGCGACCCCCCAAAAGTAAAGTCAAAAGTTTCTTTACTTGTAATAAATCCTGAAAATAGTGAGCCCTCGGAAAGAGCGATCCCCCCCAAAATAGCGACTCCCCAAAAGTATCGAGACTAAGTTTTTTTAATTACGTTATAAACATACCAAATGCCTTTATTGTTTTCCAGTTGCAATCCATAATCAGATTCTTAATGTACAATACTAATATGTACTAATATCTTGGTGTATTTACAAATCTATCATTATGAGGCACTTTAAAACAAGGGAAACATGGCGTGCCTGAAACTATGTCATCTGTTGTTGACGTCAGCTCATAGATTGCACAGTGTAAAAACTAAGCTGATATAAAGTTCATATCAACAACAGTAATGTTTCTTCAAGTTAAATTAAAAACTGAAACTTCTGTATACTGCACTATAATTTTGATTTCCTTTATATCAATCGGCTGATTCACCCATTCGGTTATCTGGCCGACCATTGATGTTGATTTTGCATGATTTTGTTTATGTTTCATTTCGGGAAAGAGCTTGGAAATAACGAACCCACGAGAGTAACGACACCCCAAAAGTAACGAGCCCCAAAGGCTGCTAATAGGCCACTTGCACTAAGAGGTCATCTGACCAATGCTTCCTCTAAACAATGAGTTGGAATCTTGCTGATGCCAAAACTCGACATAGCACATAAAAATTATCTTACACCCGAAATTTGAGATGGAACACATTTAAAGGAGATGTTTTATGGCACCTTGATGTTTCAACTAAGTAGTATGATTTGTGTTGGCCACCATGTTGGAGGGCATACTCTTGCCCTCCAACATGGCGGCCAAAACTACGTTTTGCTTATATCTTGCTAAACATTTGATATTTACGTTCAGACGTGCTGTAAACGTTACCACATCATCTTTTCAACATTTTTCTCAAAGTTTAAGTGCAAAATTTGTGTTCAGAAAAAAGAAAAAAGAGGCAATTCATTATTTTTAAAAATCACATTTTGGTCACATGACCATCTACGAACTTACTCATCTTAAGAAAATGGTGCGGGTTTGAAAAACCAAATCACTATTATTTTGTTTAAGATATGACCGACCAATCATTTTTCAAAGGCAAAATCATATAACTTTCATTTTCATAAAAACAATGTCACATGAACATCTCAGTGCAAATGGCCTCCCAAAGTAACAGGGGTTGCTACTATGGGAACTTAACTGTATATATAATGCATTTTAACAGTCTGTTAATGTATTATACTATGGTAGCTGGCTTGAAATTGTGCAACAACACTGTACAGACTGGAAGTTTTACTACAGCTCAAAGCCAATAAAAAAAATTATTGATGAAACTTTTTGTTGTGAAAGTTAGGAATTTCACAGCTCTGTCTCGTGTTTACATCTTGAAATTATCTTAGGTTGCAAAATGTAGTGTTAACTTAAGTCTTGCAACATTAATGGACAGTGGAATCTGTCTTTATCCCTGTTTATTTTATTTTCTTCCAGTCTGAGAAGAGATACAACAAGGGACACCTTCTTCCTGGAAAGAAAGGTAATGTAGATTACAATAGAGTGAAACCCTGTTCTACAGACAGTTTCCTTTGTCCTGATGAAAAGCTCATATGTGACCCTATTTGGGAAAAGCGGGCTTACCGAAAATTGCGTTGAGCCGTTTTTTATCGCAACGCATTTGGAAACGTTGGAATGCATTGGCGAACATTCTTAATGCATTTGAAAGCGTTGGCAATGTTCTCCAACGGAACTGAGAAACGTTCAGTATCGTTTCAAAATCATTTCAAAACATTTGGAAAACGTTTTCCAACGTTGAAAATGCATTAAATGGAACATCATTAATTCGTTGCAATGGGAAACATTCACCAAACATTCTAACATTGTCAACGACTGAGTTACAAAAGCTCTGAACTGTCAGGCATCTCCTCGCTCCATCATTTGACAATTTAAAGCCACGGTCATAAATAAAGTGATAAAACATTTAAAACTTCACGGCGTGAGAAATGTTCGATCCGAGGAATCAATAAATTGTTCCATTTTCAGTTTTTAAGTCTGTGTTATTAAAGAGGGCAAAAAAGAGGGGAATTAAATTTGAAAGCACGCGTTGTCGAAAGTGTTATAGGTCTGAATTTATTTTATGCTGTTCTTTCAGTGTTACGGCGGTGTGCATGCTTGTGACTACCTTGTTTGATAGCTCCCTGTAAAATTAACAGATATCAGATGCTTGATATGGGTCGCTGATTTTAAGACTAAAATATACCAAATTTCTACCGGGGGAGTTGTACTATTTACCGACTTTTCCTTCTTCCCGTGTTTACCGTTTTTTCGCTCGGGGACTCAACAAATTCAACCAGTTCAGTCACAGAACGCCCTGGCAAATGCTAGACATTGTATCCTTTAAAAGCGAAAACCTGAAAACGTGACATTCTTCACAAAAAATTCATGGTTTTTATCTGTACCAGTCAGCTGTTATGAAGATGTCAAAATTTATGATCACGAATATTTTCTGATCAAAGCTTGTTGCGTGACACTACTGTCATCACGGCTCAAGGGTTCGGAAAGGTCAACGCGGTAATGTTTTCCGTATTACTGTTTTGATTTTTATGGTGTTTTTTTTTTTCACTGATTCTTCAATGGACTGCATGGCTCGCATGAATCGCTGGCTCTCATTTTATACACGTACAGCACACTTTTTGGCAGATTTCTTTGCCATCATCGCTCGATTAACATTGTCAAGCAAGCGCGCAATGTGGTCGTCGCTTTTAATCTCTAAAATCTTCTGCTTGCGATCGTCGCGACTTCAATTTCGTCGGAATTACTGAAGTACTATTTTTCTCACCTTTGGTCTCGCTCTCTCCCAATTTTTTCGTCTTGTATCTTTTCCCCAAGGGATTTTGGAGCCGGAACGGATTAATTTTGAAAGGGATGTGAGAATAAACCGACTGCAAGCAGTCTAGCACACCGCTGACAAAGGTAGAAAAGGGCAAATAATTGGCAACCCCCAAATTCTGTCAGCTAGCTACATACAAAAAGAAATGCACGACCTCAACAGTCAGCCTTACAGTTTTAAGAAACTTCTCAAAAACTTCTCTCCTTTATTTCCAGATTTGAAAGTCCAAGAAAGTAATTTCATGCTTTTCTCAATTACCTCTTGACATGTTACAACCTGAAACAACATCAAACACACACAATGTCACAAAGATCAAAGTTCTATGCAAATTGATTTGAACTGATCGAGCTCAAAAAGTAAAAGCCTTTGTTTTCCATTGCGAGTTCATGTCGTTATTCCCGTTGATATTACTGTTATATGGAGGTATCATTACTGTTCCTGAAAAAAAGTTGTATTTTCAAAGAACGTTCTCAAACGTATCGATGTCTAATCATTATTAATGATAATTTTTCCCATCCTGGGTTGAACTTCAGGAGCTAATTTTATCGATAAAAAAAAAACGTTTGGAAGCATTGCCAATGCATTGAACAACATTGGAAAAGCATTTTAAAACGTTGAAAACAATTGCCTGTGTTTGAAGGAAAACGTTGTAAATGTGTTGAGAATCATTGGAATCCGTTTTAATGCATTGTAACGCATTCAAAATGCGTTGAAATGCTTTTCAACGCAAATTTCATTAAGCCCGGTTTTCCCAAATAGGGTCACATATATTTTCTCTAAAAATAACCTGTTTAATAGGGAAACCTATTAATATGGAGAAGGCACACTTTTCCGTGTCCCAAGCAACAAACTTTCATAAAATTTAATTGTCATTCTCTCTTTATGGACACTGGGTATCTGCACACTGTCGTGTGCTAATTGTCAACGTTGTACACAGTGGTGAAATAGCATGTGATATGTTTGATTTTGATCAGTCTGTCTTTATTTTGGTGTTTGACTCTACTTCTGTGGCCCTTTCATAAAGTTATCTACCCAATATTACATGTCTCACTTCCTTTGCTTTTTGCTTTAGTTATAGCTCCTATGTATATTTCTTTTATTCAATATCAAAAATAATGTGTCCATGACTGTTTTTTGTGAGAGCCAATTATTCAATACGGACACAATAGCATGTCTCCTATTGTCAGTTGTTTGATCTTATTGGTGTATCATTGAATATCTTGTATTAATTTTGTAGATAAGAGAAGAAGAGAAGATATTGACTCACCAGATATGTTTAGTGACCTTTACTCTTCCTCTGCTGATGATCTTCCCTCTATGGCTACCAGTCAGGCAGAAAGTACTTCAAGTTCTAGAAAATACAGAAGTAGTTCAGTCCTCACCAACATCAAATCGAAGCCAGCCAATCAGTCTGTAGTAAGAAAAACTGAAAGTGACGGGAAGTCATCCTCAACTCAGGGGCTGATGTCCCCCTTTAGAACATTTATTCTCTCTGAGGGAGACTCCCTTTTTGACTCAGATCCATCTGCTTGGGGTGATATAAGCTCATTTGATAAGAACACTGCTGCCGTAGTCAAATCTATACCTCTTTCCAAGCTGACATCTCCAGGCACTACAGGTAAGCCTTAGACTGCGCAGGTTTTGAGGGAGCAAATTATTTGCTCTTTTTGGTAAAACTGTAATTTTTATTGTACTATTTGTTATTCACAGGAGGATTAAAACCTTTTTTTTAAGATTCTAACTGTCAGAGTGCCTATTACATGGCCACTGAAGTGTTGCTATATTGTTTTAGTAGTGAACAAGTATGCAAGAGGACAGTAGAGGAGAGAAGACATCAAAACTTGTGTGACAAGCACAACAGCTATTGTTTGAAAAACATTTCTGCCAAACTTTATCTTCCTTTAAACAGATCTTACAGTAAAGACCAGAAAACACAATTGTCAAGTGAAGATCACAACAGAACAAGCATGACATAGCGTTGTTACTTTTGCTGTCCCCTTCTTTCTGCTATCCTGTCACATAAGCTCACTTTTTCTGTTCTGCAACACCACAGACAACTTTACTGCAGTGAACTGTACAATGATAGAGAATAATAATAAGGATAAGAATAGAACAGTGGTTGACGAGGCCTAAGAGAAACTAAAGCTCTACTGTTAATCAGTAGACTTTCAAAAAAGTCCTTTGTCTGATTTAATATGGTGTGGCACAAAGGACTTTTCATACTTGATTGGCACCTTCAGAGTAGCTCTTTTGGCTCCTTGGAGATAAAGTTGTCACTCACAAGTATTTAAGCACATTTAAACATCACTTTTGATTGAAATTGCGAAAGTGATAAAAGATGCTCTCACGGCCATGGGATATTCAGAATTGCGTGACTATCAGAGAAAAACATTCAAAACATATCTGTTGGGGAGAGATGTTTTTGTGTCTGCTCCAACCGAAGCTGGGAAAAGTCTGACTTTTTAGCTAGCTCCAAACACTTTCAATCATAATTTGGGGAGAATTGCAATGTCATCACCTTGGTGATTGTTCCGCTGATTTCTCTTGAAGTCTTAAGAAAGATGACACATTTTTAAGGTGCAAAACGATTGTTATAAACTGTCACTAGAGATCTGCTTTCCAAGTATCAACTCAAGGTTAAAACAAGCTTTGGTTTTTTTTTCCGCCTGCCTGACGACTCACAAATGTAACCTGAAACTCCAAATTAATGCAAGTCAAGCCACTCCTCATTTTTGGTGCAAAATGCAAATAGAAACCCTTCAAGTAAGACATGTAGACCTCTCACAACTTTGTCGCTTCCTCCCTTGCTTAGAAATTCATGAGGTTGACTTGTGGCAACTCTAGTTAATCAGGTGACCCTCTCAATTTCAACAGAACAAGTCGAAGTTATAGTCAAACCTGTATAATAACAACCCTGTATATAGCAGTCACCTTGTATATTACAGTCACAGGACAACTTCCCAAAATTTTCAGTTGCCTTATATTTTCTACTAACTTGACCTGTATAGCAGTCACCTCACCATTTCTCAAGGTATGACATGTCTAGCGGCAGATACAAAGATGTTTGTACCAAAGTACAATTTGAGGCAATTGTAAACGCATAAGGAAAGTTCATGGGTAGTTATTTCAAATTAATACCTTATATGATTAAGTGCAAATCACTCCAACAATCTCAGAAGGAGAACCTGGAATAGAACTTTAGTATCCAGGCCCCTACCCACTACAGCTGTGGGACATAATGCCAAAATTCTGCAGATGTTCTGTTATTGTACTGTTGCTGCCCTTAAAAGGCGTTGCTTTTACACTTATTTCTGTGGTGTTAGAGTGTCAAAGAGGGCATAAACTGACACTTCCTCTGTGTAAACCTGTACAGTGTTCTCTTGAAGATGTTGTACTTTTGCATGGAGAGGAACATCATTTATGCTCGTTTAAAACTGTTGAAATGAGTTTTAGTTGCAGTGTAATACTAGCCATTATCATTAATTTGTTCTGTCCTACCTGGTTAAGCCATAATGCTGAACAATGACACTTGCAATTGTTTCTTTTAGGGTACAGATTTGATGGCAATTCTATAGCAAGTCTTCAGACTGATGGAGGGTGAGTGAATTTTTAACATTCATTTCCAACACTTCATTCACTTTCAAATTGAAAACACACCAGGTTTTTTAAGCCTGGAAGTTTCAAGCGCACATCTCAAGCCTTAACAGACACTAAGATAGGGTATTTTTCCATGAGAATGCACTTCAGAGTGAAGAATATAATAATTTTTATTATTTCATTGACACTGTTGTACCAAGATTATTGTACATGCATGACAAAATGTATCAGTTATTATAAAATACTTTGTGCTTATTCCATCTTCAGGTCTTTAATTCCCATAACATCCCCAGTTATGCAAACAAGGTTTAGCACACCTCCAACAATACTGAGAAGAGGAAGAAAAAGAAAAGTATCCTTTTGCTGAGTGATACCATTAATTATTTTCTTTAATAATTTTTGTCAGGAATGCAGAGTATGAGGTCACAAAATTTTGCTATGTTATTAACACCCCCTCTGCCCCAAGCAGCCTGAAGTTCAGGGTTATCATTAAGAGCCGGGGGCGGGGGATTTTCCCCAGCTACTAAGAGAGTGGCCCCCTGCTACTTTTATTGGAAAATAGAAGAAAAATAGAACAGAAAGAAATCCCTAGCCATTTGATTCCCTGCCTACTTGTTGTATTTACCCAGCAACTTGAAATCTTAGTGACAACCCTGTGAAGTTACATGAAAGAAGTTACTTAACTCAGCAAATTTCTGTATTAGAAGATGGTATCAGGCTTTTACCAAGAAACTGAAAACTGGCCATCCGAAAGGCATGTTTTCCCATAAAATTAAAAGAGATTAAGTGAATTTTCCTTGTATTTCTTCCAAAAATGGGTGTCCATAGGTCTGACATCCCTGTTAGATTGAATACTTAAGACAGATTTTTTCAGATTTTTTTCCAACCAATGATTCATACTATTGGCAGGCTACTCTACTTAAGAGAGCTGCCTTCTTCAAATGTCATGATAACCCCTGCAAAGAAAAATGCATTGAGAAAAGAATTGCTAGTTTGTTGCATGCAGGTCAAGTACATTCGAGGTGTAATTTTGCCTCTCTGTTACTGTCAAGCTTTCAAACTCTGTTTCAACTTTTACAGCAACAATGTGACACGTTGAACAAAATGAATGGGTGCCTGGCATCAAAACCCAAAGTGACTCTTGATGTTTTGGTCAGTGGTTTTGTTTCACAAACTAACACGAAGCCATCTGGAAGTTGTCAATGCCTTATTATTTAAAAAAAAACATCTTGTTGGGTTGTACGGAACAATTGGATGATAGATTTTTGTGATGAGTAAGTATTGTGAGAGTTACTGTTGAAAGAACAAGCTAAAATTCAAGTTTTTCTTTACTTCTATTTTTGTGTAAGGGGAAACAGTGGTAGTTAGTACGTATGCGCAGTTAAACTCATCGACAAGATGAGCTTGGGAGCGGGTGCCTTAAAGGTGAAAGGACCTGTAGCGCAAAAGGGGAGCCTTGCGTTGGAGGTAGCCACCCAGCACAGTCACACTGAAGAAAAATTCAGTGGAATACTTACCACAACCCATACTTACCTCTCCAGGGGGAGGGAGGAGTGGGAGCAAAACTGGCAGCTATCACAATTAGTTAATACTAATGATCTGCAATGATCACAAAGCAAAGCAAAGCAAAGCTGAAATATGTCAACACATGTTAGCCCTTGAAGAATGCAAGGCCACCCCGCACAGGCCTGCATGCCTGGGGCTCAACCGCTGACCTGCAAGCATTGTCTCAAGGTTAACCTTGCCCAAATTACAATTTAGCCACATTACTTCTTCTATTCTCTGTTTAAAACTATAACATGAATGTTACTCCTGTTGTATAAGAGTACTGGTTGCTTGATCTTAACACTATTGCCTTCAGTCTGGTGACGTAGATCCCAGTTGCTATGCCAACACAGAAGCCTCTTTCGGCAGTCCAAAGGGCGCCACACCTATCAAGTCTCTGCCGTTTTCACCTTCACAGTTTCTAAACTCTCCAGTACATAACAGCAAAATTCAGACCTCAACTCCAGCTAATGGAAAAAGCCAAAGCAGTATGGTTGACACGACTCTGCACACACCAGGTGTCTTAGAAACCAGCACCAATGAGGACCCTTTCCGCACACCACGCATCAGAAGGACATTGTTGAGTGTGTCACCACGGACTCCAACACCATTTAAGAATGCCTTGAAGGTGTTAAATGAAACAAAACTGGCCCATGTAAGTTGTCTCAAGTATCATCTGTTTGTTAATTCTCCCTACAGTAAGTGCCATATTTTATCAGGTTAGGTTTCATGAACTATGGAAGTATTAGATGGTAGTCGGCATACAGACTTCACCTGTGTACCTTAAGTTAGATTTTAAACTTTCAATAACAGTTGGGTATCACACTGTATATTACACAAGCGGTGAGCACTGAGGCTGTGGGATGTGAGAAATGATATTGTCAGTTAGGAAAATAACATACTGCACTGGTTTAAACTGTAATTCTGCATCATTCACAGCTAGTTTATTGGATTCCATAAAACCTTTCAGTACTACTAATTAAAATAGCCCTGATTAGTTATCTTTTAGTTTTGTATTTTTTCTTCTCATATTTTGCAAGTCGCATGTTCCATCCCTCAAACTGTGAAGAAAAATAAAAGAAGCTGCTTACAGTCTGTTTCTGCAATTTTATGAGTGTAATTTTAATGCTTCTATTTCCTTCTCAGACACCTGGCAATTTTGAAGCAGATTTTAATGAAATTATCAAGAAAGAGGAGGAAGAAAGTGGACTGCACTTATCCTCAAGTACAGAAAAAACCCCTCGTAGAGTAAGAACCTCACTGGAGGAAAAATATGCCAGGTTAAGTAAGACTGCCACAGAAGTCTCTTCAGTGCCTGTATCCATAAAAGAAGAGCAGTCAGATGTAAATGAGCAGCAAAATTCCATAATAACTGTGGTAGGTGCATTAATTTGATAAGGATAATGATCACGGTGGAAAAATTTTTTATACATCAAAATCTCAAGGATCTGGAATCTTTAAACAGAAACGGTGGTTGTAATCAGAGCACTTGGCATAGTCAAAAAGGTCCATCAATATTGAGGACCTACAGAAGATCAGCCTAGCACATGTAGGTACTGCCCACATAAAAAATTTTAAGAAAAGTGCTCTCTAAGTTTTAAGTAGACAACAACGCCCCCTAGCAGCTCCTAAGGAAACTGGTAGCTTCCCGGTGCTCTAGGTTGTTACTTTCGTTCTTTGCGACTGGTTGAAACATAGAGGGCGATGGGAAGAAAACTGACCCCATAAGCTTAAAGCTCTATCTTATATACAACTATCTAGATCCTTAACGTTCTCCAGACCAGTATCCCTCAGTAGTGTGTTAATATAATGTAGTTGTTGCTCTTCCTGTTTAAGCTCTCCCATGTGTAGGCACCCATGTTATCAGCTGGAGAGTTCTCATAACATGTCCAGAAATTGCAATTATTCGTTTCATTCGTTTCATGACTGGCAGGGCTGTTGCTAAAACTTCGAGTTGCCAGGTATATGCAAATAGTGGGAGACTGAGTGGACAGGACTTTTTTCAAGCTCTTATAAGGCACATCATGCACAACTAATTTTGGGCGGTAATCAATTTTCTTCCCTTATTCAAACTTTGTTTTCAGCTGTTTTAACTGTGTTAAAGTCCAAATTTTAGAAAAAAATTTTTTGCTACTAATGAAGGTTACATCCTCATGCATAATCTGATGTGCAATTTTGTTTTCAGGAGGACTCTGGCATTGTGCAGACATCACTCTCAAGATCACCATCCCAGGATTCTTCTCACATCAAGCCTTCTGAAATCTTTGGGAAGCATGATCCCTTTGCCACACCCAGTACCGTGCCAACTGAAACTGTAGTAAGTGGAAATAATGCAGCACAAACAACACGCATTGAACCTTTCTTGTGCCCTAATGCTGTGGATAACATGCAGGTGACTTGTGGCTCGAGTGTTTGCTTAAGACTATAACATGTCCCAAAGTAACGCTTTAATGCCGTACATACATGTAGTTTGTTTGTTCTTGTAACCTCCAAAGTGGTGCAGTAACTTGTTACATCTTAAAATGTTATTTCATTGCCTTTGAGCAATGCTTATCACTAAAATAGTTGTTTCAAAACAATAACGAATATAGTAAATTGCCGTGATGTTCTATACAGTATAAATATTGCTGTAACTACCGGAGCCATTTGAGATATGGAAAGTGGGGTGTTCATTCTTGAAAACAGTATTGGGAATCAACTGAGATTTCATGATTGATCATCGAAAATAATCAAATTGACCCACCTGATTGATCTTTGATTATTATTGGGGAAAATCATGTGTATGATTGGCCTGGAACACAGATTTTTTCAGGGGGGGCTCAAATTCTCTTTCTTCTTTAATTTTGAGACCGTTGAAAGGACATCATAAAAGTTTTTTAAATATGCCTATTTGCCATTAAGATTTTTTTCCCATAATTATCACTTGAACATTTTTGGTAATTTATTGATTATGATGTCGTTTAAAGGTTTTGATGGGTCTTGATTATCATCAGTGATTGATCCACCACTACAACCTACTTAAAAATAACCATTTTTTGGTACCTCGTCCTTTCTGGCATCATTTGTGGTCCAATATAACCAGGCGTGCCCCTCCCCTCCCCTAGATCGGCCAAGAGACATGAATGCTATGTATACGTAAGAGTGCTTTCCATTTGTCAGAACTGGTTGGCCAGGCCATTGCTTCTGTAATGAGAATTTCACTTTTCATCGAGTGTCCAGTCAGATCAGTCAATTCCTTAAAAATATCCATGGGGTTAATGGCTGATACTCTTAAAAAGAAAAGCCTATTTCATTTTCAAAATCAAAGAGAGCCCCTAGTACAAATCATTCAATCAGTTCCTTTTAACTGACACCTAAGAAAGCAGGCATTTCTACCTAAATGATTAAGCACACATTTCTATGTTGGAAAATTACAGTTAGCTGTCTTGACATATTGGTTTCATTGAAAACAAAAGTCTTTTCTGGAAGCTAACAAGGGATTAACACATGGTTTGTTGCTGATAAGTTTCTTTGATGATTTCTCTTTAGCGACACCGAAGAAAAGGACATCCCATGCGTCTGCTCCGATTTCAGGAAACTCCACAGAAATCAGCACCAAAGGTAATAAATATTTATTAACCCTCTCTCTCTCCCAGACAGAGTCATGGTATGAGTTGAGCTTAGGGTTGTCAGTAAGGGTGGCCAGGGGTCATGGATTTCCCCTGCTATTAAAAGCATAACTAACCCCTGGCTACTTTTAATGGAGAGAAAGGAAACTTCTAATTTGCTCAATTCCCTACCTACCTATCGCTCATGACTGACATCTTCAAGTTTTAGTGACAGCCCCATGAGTTGACACTCTAACTTTTGACTCTGTGGACAAAACCCTATGGTGTTTCCATTCGAATGAAACCTCTTTAGTAGTACTTTCACATGGTTCGGATGTAGGATATAGTTCTAACTTTTTGACTCTGTGGACAAAACCCTATGGTGTTACGACCACCTCTCATAACTGACCTCAACCCCTTTGGATAAGGCCTTAGAATTTTCCATTGTTTTATCCTGCTGTAAGGGACCACTTACCTTAATGCATTGTTTGATCTCTATTTTTGTTGTATGTACTACACTTCTAAGAGAAGGTGATGTACTTTGGGTGGCAGCATATCATAAACTGCATGTAATGAATTTTCTCCCAAAATGAAAATGTGCCTAGGTCTGTATGAAGAGACCCTCTGTAGGTCGATTCTCATAAGCGACCACTGTTTATTTCTAGGAATTTTACATAGAGAAATTTGAATTTTGGCCACTATTTAGTATTAGAAGTAAATAGGGTTGCCGAGTGGGCAAGGGCCCAGGCAAGTCCTCTTGTAACTAAATTTTCATTAACTAACAGAAGTAGGCAATGATCACCGGAAGGCAAAATCCAGGAGGAGCCTGTCCAAAGGATAGTGATCCATCTACAGGGTTGTCATCACCGGGGATTTTCCCCAGCTACTAAGAGAGTGGCCCCCGGCTACTTTTATTGGAAAATGGAAGAGAAGTAGAACTAAAAGAAATCCCTAGCCGTTTGATTCCCCGCCTACCTATTGTATTTACCCAGCAACTTGAAATCTTAGTGACAACCCTGCATCTACCTTCTCGTTCTGCGTTTCCGATGCATAAAATGTTTCAAAAGCCGCATCAGTGAGTTCCAGGTGTGTCCATCTGGACAAGCAAAATTCAAGTGTTTTTTTTTTTAAGCTTCATTAAATTTTACACAAACTTAAATTCCAGTCTTAACGGTTTATATGATTTCATTTTTTTGATGGCACTAAGCTTTTTGCTTTACTTTTTGTGAGCTCTTACTTACACATACATGTATCACTTTTATGTCAGCAGCTTGACTCAAAATGGGAACAAGTAGCTTGCGGCAAGACTCCAGATCAGCAGCTGCTTACACGGCAAGCACATCAGTTCCTTGCCAGCTACAGACCTGCAGCCCGTACTCTTCACTTCAGCACCACCACAACAGTCGCTTAAACACATCAAGGGTTGCCAAGAAAATCTTGTAATTGTGTTCTTTTTAGCACATGATCTAGCGTGTTAATGTACAGGTGCCCTTTTCTACCAAAAAAAATACAGATAATTTAATATAAAAAGTAGAAATAACTATAATTATTAATGGTAAAACCGGAGCAATTAATGTTTTTTTTTTTTTACTCGTAGTGAATTGTTAGGAAGAAGGTTGAAGTTATTTGCCACTAAGTGAAGTGACTTCGATTTTGCAAAGTTTTTAAACTATTCAAAACAATCCAGGGTTCGTACAGTCTTGTATTTTCTAGAAAAGTTTTAAAATCTGCTAGCCAATTTTCCAGACCTGGAAAATGTGTGCAAAATAAAGATGATGAAGTTAGGGAAAATGGCCTGGAGACTGTAGTTGATATTGCTTAGTGAATTTTTTCCATAGAATGAAGATTGCGCTTGTCGAATGTTACTAACTCGCATCTTTAGCCGAAACAGTCAATGATGCAGAATGAGAAGTTTCACTCCACGTTGCACCGTGGATGTACGTCTACAGTGCATTATGGGAAAGCCTCGTTTCTGTGTTTGTCGAGGTCTCTATTGATCGCTTATTTTGATAAAAATTGAGGCGGGACATAGAAATTATTGCTTTAGAAAAGTTTGAAAGAAGTCTTGCATTCGCATCCAAACATCTGTACGAACCGTGAATTGCATTACAATGAACTTTGAAGGATGCCAGTCGCACGGCAGAATTGTCGTTGTCATTGATTACAAGTTTTTGCCGTTCTGTTGGCAAGGCTTGCCATTGTAAACTTCTAGTTTGAATAACGTGATGGTAGTAGCACTATCCAAATTTTATAATGTTGCACAGATTTTGACTGTGTGGTTGGTTTACATGTGGGTTTAAAGAATCAGAGGTTTAGTTTAGTATAACTGTACAATAATTAGGACAACCACTAATTGGTTAAACTTTGATTTGCACCCTATATAAAACATATGACAAGTTGGCAGAATTTAGCAATCCATCTTGAATCCTCTCTAGCTTAGAGTACTGATTTTTATTTTGTTAATTTGATGACGTTTTTAAGTTAAAGTTGCCCTGAAGCATATTTTTTTGTTATAAAGTAAAAAGTAATTCTTGCAGTGCAAGATAGCTTAGACTTGTTATTAATATCTGATTTGTGAGAGAGTAATTGAAATATCAAATATTTTGCTTTAAGTACTTGTATACTTACTAAAAGGTAAGTATTCTGTTTTGTATTCAGTTGATAAATTTGTGTATTTGTTTCTGCATAATTATTCATTTCAAAATCTTTCAAGACTAGTTTTATCTTCCGTTCTGACATACCAGAATCAGAGTTAGTGAAAAATTATATATAAGTATCTAATTATCCTGTTTATAAGTAAGAAAAAGACCTAGCAATTTTTAGACTGTCTGATATTTTTTTATTATTGAACAGTAGTTTCAGACTTGAGACATCGATTTTTTGAAAATGATTGGAGGGCGGGCTTTGGGTTTGAAATGATTCGCCCAATATCAAATTATTAAGCTATCAATAATACTTGATTGTAAATTTGAACTGATAGTAAGTCGAGTCAAGTGAATGTTCCTGGCATTCAGATAGTGGGACAGCGCAAAAAAAAAGTGAGAGGAAAACAGCGAAGGGGGTGGGGGTTACCGTTTTTCCGCCTCTTTCCCCTTCGCTCTCGATTTCCCACCACTCTCCACTCTCTGAGCGCCTAGAACACGCTAGTCTGTGATCCTTTTTGATAGGTATTTAGGTTTTTGGTGACGTGTGAATAGGTTAAAACCACTGACTCCAAAATAACAAGTCAGTTGTTTGGAGTATACAGAAGGACCAAGAGCCATTATGGCCTTTAGTATATCCATGACTCAATTTTCTCTAACGTTAAAATAGTTAAGTCATTCTTGATGGGGTTAAATTAGAATCATTGGTTTTCCTGTATAATGTAGTGTGCTTTACATATGAAATCATACGTAATTATTTGAGTACCTTTACACAATTACAAGACAGAAGAAATCATTTAGGTATTGAAGTGGATAGTGAGTGTTGCATATCTATAGTCAAATATTCACTCCTAACCAGTGTTAAAATCATCGTCTTTATATTCGTAGCGTAGAACAAATTTTACCGTTCTTAAAAGAGCAATAACACATATGCGAATGATAATTATTATTTCGCCATTTGTGTTATTGCTTAACGTACATTGAATAGAATACTGTATTGGTTGTGTTATTTTCCAAAGTGTGTAGAAGTACCGAGGTAGAATTCTAGCCTACGAGAGCACAGGTATTTCGGGTCTTTTCTTCAAAAACATCTGTTCTCGAGGACTATCTACGCTCCAGCAGTGGCTTTTTTCGTTTGCAGTAGTTCCACTGCCTTGTTTGTTTGTTTTTTTTTTTTACAAACGATTTGTTTTGTATGTAAATACACTTTTTTACTTTGTACAGAATTAAAGAATTTTTAAATTCGTTTTTCTGTAGCAGTTTTATTCTGAAGCACTCCATGTAGGATTTTTTGCTGTGATAAAATTTGGGTATTTGGCTGGCTTGCTATGGCATGGGTTGAGGGGGCGGATCTAAAAAGCGGAAGTGTACTGTATGACCTGGACTCCTTGAGCTGGGTAATAGTGGTGAAAATGAAAAGTCGTTCAAAAATAAGAAAACGCGCGGGGGCCACCGCCCCCCTTGGCCAAGTCGTGCGCGTCTTATTGTCGCTTTGCCCCGCTATACCATCTGAGAGCCTGGCACAGGCTAAGGCCTGGGACTCGAGAGAGAAGTTACAGGATATGCGAGTGCTCACTGCGGCCAGATTTTGGCCGCAACGCTAATTGGCTGTTAGAACAATACCACAGGATCTGATTGGCTGTTGAAATCAACGGAAGTTGAAGGCGCTTATTCGTAATCTTAGTTTCGTGAATGATCCGACGTCAGCCGAGAGAAGGAGCGTTACCATTTGTACGAAAATTTTGGTTATTAAATTTTCGCTTCCTCTCGATATGAAGCCTGGCGCTGGTAATGCAGACAAATAGTACAGAAAACCGTTCGTTCGTTTCGGTAAAAACGGGGAAAAGGTAATACTTCGAAATGTTTTACTTTTTTTCCGGGAAATTTCCACCGAGATGAACCGTTCCTTTTGCCCGGAATTTCCGGGCTTTCCATACAAATAGAAAGCGCTCAAGGATTTTGCTGTGTTTTTTATTTTTATTTTTTTACGGTCTTGTGGTAGGAAAATATTCCTTAATATGTGCCAGGGAAATTCAGAAAATTCCAATGGTTGTCCATATCTTCTCAGGATTTGCACTATTCACTGAACTAATGAATCGCTCTGCAGAACAAGATGCCTTTTGATTTACCAACAAACGAGTCACCATCACCATCTTAAAGCTGGTTTCATTTGAACTTTAGCCGGGAAAGACTTCTTTGAACGGGGTACGCAAGCGGAGGCTCACTGCGAAAGAAACCTCAATCGCCAGCTGTGAAGTATTAAACGAAAAATATCGCATCGCTGTTCAAGGATTTTTTTTAGGCATTATTATAAAAGCTAGTGCTGCTAGTCTTAAGGCATAACGACTTGTTGTTTGCCTTCGCTTTTCGTAAAAAATAAGGAAAACTGGTGTCCTCGCTCGTTGGCTGTTTGCTGTTTGTTAATCCCTTTTGATTAAATCCAATTATTTAGCGAGCTTTTCAGACCTGCAGTGAAACAGCATGTTTGTAATATTGTTTTCCATTTTATTTATAGGTCGGTTGAGTATGGCAAGCCAAACATGACAAAAGTAGTATGAGTTTTAAATCATATATCGAGTTTCAGTAATCTATGTATGAGGTTGGGAAATCACTATACGAGAATTAGAAATCATAATTCGAGAATGAAAAGGCACTATACGAGAATGAGAAATCACCATTCGAGAATGTAATCGATTTGTGAGATCAGGAAATTACTATACGAGAATGAGAAATCACCATTCGAAAAAGAGCGATGCAGCAACATGAAAGCCAAACATGACAAAAATGGTATGAGTTCCAACCAACCTTTCGAGCTTCTGTAATCAATGTGTGAGAATTTTAATCACCGTTCGAGATTATCGATTAGGTTTTCTCGAGCCAGCGCGTAAGTACCGCTCAGCGGTTCAAGTTCTGCGTTTGGTCGGTACTTCATATCGGTACACTATAATAATCTATATCCCGGTACACTACAGCAGTCATAAATGAAGTACCTACCCTGCATTGGTCAAACAAAATGGCCGAGCAGAATTCGAGACAAACGACTGACATTGTTCGCCAGCTTATCACCAGCGTAAAACAGCTGTCCGATCAAATGGCATCCGGAAGTCAGCCACGATCTGTTGATAACGAAATATCATAGGTTTTTGGTAGGTCCAGGGCAACAAATGCTGGGCCAAGCTCAACTATATCAACTTCCAGTGGGATTGGCGTTGGCGGGAATTCCTCGTGCGCCTCGCAAGCAGGTGGTTTGTCGCACTTCAGAAGGTTGTCAAACCAGAGACGAATTGGCAGCAATGTAACTAAAAGAACAAAGAAGGCTAGACTGCCAGACAGCAGCCCGTTTCTATGTGACCTGGTTTTGCTGAACAGTCCAACAACAAACGTGGTCCCCAGGCAGGGGGCCAGAGTTACCCTTATGGAGCATGGCCACGTGCTCTCTGCCTGTCGGTTTACCAAGGCAATGACCGAGATAGATGTGGAACTTACAATCATTGAGGCCTTTGGAGATAAAATCCCCCGTCTTGTGGATGTGGAGATCTTGACGTCTGTCCACAGTAAACTTGTAAAGCCAACTCTGGCTCCCGGGCAGGAAGGCATCAATGGAGTCATTCTTCATCGACTTTTCAAGACCAAGCCGATTTACGTCAGACCGAGCCAGCAGTTATTGCCCAGTTTCATGCAGGTGAGAACTCAAAATTCCTCAATAAATGTTGCATGGATATAAACAGCACCCTCTCCCCGCCCCCCCCCCCCCCCCCCCACATACCCCGCCTCCATTCCCCTCTCCCACATTCAGATGTGAAAAATGAGTTTGCCTTATTATTAAAATTACTCTTTCACTATGTTTAGGAAGATGAAGAGGCAGAAGATGAAGAGAGAGAGCAAGAACAATCAGGTACATGTAAAAATAGATTGACTTATTTTACTGTAGGTTTGGTGAGCAGATTTTGAGGCTGGTTGCCCTGGGCAAAAGGGTGAAAGTGTGTGGTGTGACGACAGCTATTGATCATTGTCTAGCATACTTTTAACTCATTTACTGGTACTTATTTTATGGTAGGAAATCAATCAGCACAGCATCGGGCAAGTCATTCGTGCCCCACCCAGCTGCAGCAATCCCAACCAATTATTGAAAGCTATCTTTTGCAGCCAAATAATGATCAAGGTAACTCTTTCCATAAAATAGCCCAATTTCAATACCTTAAAATTCTGACTTGTCTCCAAGGCTCAGTAAAGTGTAAAAATTCAAAAGGAAATGAATATCATGTATTTCCACAAGCCTCATAGTCAAGTGAGAATTTTAATACATGTACGTTGAAATAGGCCTATTTAAATTGCATCTTGTTTGCAATAAGAAAAATTAGAATTTGTTTATCTTTCTTCAAAGCATCTGTCTGTGGAAATTATATTTACTATCGTTTACTATCATTCATGGATGATTCTTATTATTTCTTATTATAAGAATAAAATATATTATATATCAATTTATTATTATCATCATTTATTGCATTTAACAAAGAGATGCACTTTCAGGGAAATTTTTGATTCTGGTAGTCATGTTATAAGCAAATGTAAAGAAACCTTAAAAATCTAGGTGATACACGAGATTTGAACCCATATCCACTGGTCAACCCAACAGTCCACCTATCTGTAGCTATTTACCTACAAATATTCTTGAACTCCATCAAATGCTTATTTACTGAAATGTGATTCTAATATTTGTTTGTGTATGTTCTCAGATGCAGATGCACTGTTAGAAAAACCAGTGTTTTCCTCATCTGATCAAATGCCTGGGCCATCTATCGTGGACCTTGCCACCAATGATGCTGAAGACACTCAAATAAAGAATGACGAACAAGTTGCAAGGTCATTACAGGAAGCATTCAACAGAGACTTTGACAGGGAAACCAGCCATTTGCTCGGATCTGTTGATTGTTCAACTATACATGATCAGGCTGGCGTACTTAAAGTGCTAGAAGAGAAGGTGATAAGGGAAAAAGAGTCCTTGTTCCTTGTAGTAAGAAGAGGCGCACCATTAGAGAGAGTTCTTAACCTCTGGCGTAGAGAATCCCGCAAAATTTCTCCGGAACATGAACTTAGAATCAAGTTCCTTGGAGAGCAAGGAATTGATTCCGGTGCATTGACTAAGGAATTCCTCACCTTGACAATTGCAGATATTGGAAAAAAGTTCTTTCCCAATGGCAGCCCAGTACACTCCACAAATGACGTCCAAAATGGAAATTTTAAAGCATGTGGAGAAATAGCAGCAACAAGCTTAGCCCAAGGTGGGCCACTACCATGCTTTTTAGCAGAATGTGTCTATAATACTTTGGTTCTGGAAAGTGACATTGACTTCACAAGTGTCAGTCCTGAACAACACCTGACTTCAACTGAACAAGAACTACTGCACCACATACAAAGCAATGTCATGGGTCATCAAGATACCATTATTGAACATGGGTACACAGGGGTGATCGAGAAAGAGCACTTGCACTCCATAACTGCCTCAATTGTTGTCAGTATGCTGAGCAGGAGGACACTTTGCCTCAAGGAGTTCAAAAAGGGGTTGCAACTTTATGGGTTGTCAGGTCTTATTTCCAGATATTCATAAGTTACTCGAGGTCTATTTGTTATGGGACAGCAGCAGAAAGTGGATGCTAACTACCTCGTTTCCTTGATGGCACCTGAATTCTCTCCAGAAGGGTCCTCGCGACGACTGAAAGAAGAGGAAATTATGGATAATTTTCAAGACTTCCTAATCAGCCTTGAGGACGAGGTTATTACAGGCTATACAGAAGCTATAGCCTGTGATACAGATGATGATGCAGACCAATGCACCAATGATGATCAGGAGACTGAAACCTTTAGCATCCCAGACCTGACACCAGCAGGAATACTTGGTTGGCTGACGGGACAGAAACATAGGGACATTGGGAAAACAGACCGTGCAATCACTGTCAAGTTTGACCATGAATGTTTGATTCGCAACCCAGAACACAGGCTGTGCTTCCCTTATGTGGGGGCCTGTGGACAAACAATCACTTTTCCTGTTTGCCACATGGCAGGTTTCGACAAATTTAAAGAAATCTTCCTATTAGCTTTCTGTAAAGGCCAAACATTTGCCATGCGCTAAAGGTTAGCTGAAAGTAACCCTTCAAGTCTTACTGTTTAAAGTTATGACCATGAGTAGTTGTGATTGTTTATGACTGTGAACTGTTCATCAGATGAGATTAATAAGGACTCCCTTTATGTTAAAAATTTTGTGATTAATTAATAATCACATTAAGTAACTTCTGTTTTAAGGTTATGGAAAACCACTTTAGTGTTCCAGTTTTCTATTCACTTGTCATTCCTATTCTAGTCTGTGAAACATAAGTTACATGTTCACATGCATGATTAATAAGTATCGTCCTGATGATGTATCAAGAAAAATGTGAGCTGTTAACCAGATGAGATTAAGGACTCCCTTGATGTTAAAATATTTATGATCTGTTAATACTTATGTTGTACAGGTTATGAAAAACTACCTTAGTGTTCCTGTTTTTTTACTGCCATTCATTTATTAGTACTATAAAGGAAATAAAGGGAGATGTAAAGACTCGAACCCACGACCCTCTGTGTTGTAGGTCGGCTGCTCTAACCTCTGAGCTACTGAGGACTCGTTGGTGAGCAAGGGTCATTTTTGTGGGTTGGACTTGTGAACTGCATCATGCAGTCACGCTGTGCTCAGAGGTTAGAGCATCTGATCTAGAACACGGAGGGTAGTGGGTTTGAATCCCATCTGGGGCTCAGATTTTTTCTGTCCTCTTATGGTTGATTCTCTACATCTCCCTTTATTTCCTTTATAATAATATCAGTGGCATAGGTTGGTTGGTTGGACATTCATTTGTTGTTGTTCTATTTCTAGTCTTGGAAGTACTAAGTTATATGACTGTGTTCATATGGATGATTTTGCAACTTCCTACATGATTGTAAAGTGATTAATTTATAATGAATCACAAAGAATTTTTTGTAACTACAGATTTTGTAAGAACTGCATAACAATAATTATGTTGCAATAAAAATTTTATATTATTGCCATGTATTGATTGTAGTTTGTTTTATAAGGCCTTTGTCAATAGCATGGTGACTACCATAATGCACATGTATGAATTCCCTTGAAATTATTTCCTTTGGCTTTTTCATTTCTCGAGGGACTGGTTATAAAACCGTGCAAACTTAAAAGCTAGAAAGGTGCTGCAATTTATTATGATATTACCACAACCGTGCACAATCTTTATTTGTTTTACCATCACATGCTATGGCACAAACGTTTCTATTGATAGTTTCAAAACACATCTTAAAATCTATTGTGGTTTGTGCGTGGTGTAATGAAAAAAATAACACCAACAAAAACATGAGAAATACATTTTGGGCTGCATACCTATCACCCTCTATTAAACCAATATTGACCATGTCACCAACAAGCAGAGAAGGGGATAGTTCAAAAAGGGTTGCCTGGAAAAAGCCCCAAGTGACTTCTGATAAATTGCTAGATTCTCCTTCCAAATTGCCTTATATTCTGTTGAAACACAGCGAGAATTTGGCATTGCATCAAGTAACTGAGGACCTTATTCCACGCACCCCTTCCACCTGCACACTTGATCATACAACAAAATAACAAAAAATGTGAACTGAGAACTTGTACTGGTGGTATAACTTAAATTGTAAGTCTGTTTCTTTCTCCAACTAATATGTGCTGCTTCAAAGGCCACAGGGCAAGAAATTGGGATGACATCTCCTCAGGAAGGTTGGGGGAGTTTCAAGAAGTGAAGCTTTCGATAATCCTCACAGTATTAACAAAATGATCAAGGCCATTGTTTCCATCATCAGAAATGGGATCCACATTACGCTCGAATTCCTGACGTTGCTGTTCAGAAAGCTGGAGGTGTGATTCTGACACAACAACATTATTGTTGGTTTCAATGTCAGAGATAGTGCCATCATTGTCAATACCATATGTCTGCCAATTTATGACGCTGGATTCATCTGGAGCAGTAAGCATTGCACTGTACCACAGTGCCAAAGGTGATTGATGACCTGCTGTCCTGATCCCATGATGATTCCATTGCCTTGTGAATTCTTCTGGAGATGCATTGATCCTCGGTAAGTATACATATTGCAAAGCCAACAAGTGCAGTTCATCAAGTGAATCCAAGGTACCAGTGTTCTCAAGGAACTGGAATAAATCCTTGTAAAGTGCGGAGCTAACTCTGTTAACTTCTGCCCACAACCTCTCAATGCGTTGGTTATGCACACTGCGGCCAGCAATAACACTGCCTCTATCTGACCCCCTGTTGGTAATCATGTATCTTGCTACATCAACGTTTTCCATCCCCTGATCACCTCGAACCCTGGAAGGGAGACCAAACGCTTGTACTCCCTGCTCAAAATATTGGAGAACGGTATTTGCTTTGTTATTTCTGCAGCACTTTAGATAAACAATGGCTCTACTGTATCCATCAATGCACCCATGGATAATAAATCTCCATGAAATAAGTTTATGGTTCGAGTCAATGTGCCACAAATGATTTGGACCAGACACGTTGTAGGTCCTTCGACAGATTGCGTACGTTCTCCTCACAGCTCTCCCAATACCATCTATCCGTTTCAAACTTTCTCTGATTCTGGACCTTTGAACATTTATTCCCCTCCCTTTCAGACTGCCTCTAACATAGGATTCCCCACTATATGGTGTTAAATTTAGGGTTTGTTGTATTTGCCTGTCTAATTCCTCGTCAGCGATTTCTGTGAAACTGTTATCGATTCCGAATTGTACCCTTCGTCGGTAAAGTGTTTGCTCAGAGACTCCTAAACACGTTGCTATGCTTCGCCAGTTCATTCCAGTCTCACGTAGCTGCTCTATCAACTCCTTCGTAATGTTATAGGCTGGTCTTCCTCCTGTACTTGTGCAATATGTCACAGACCTCTCCTCTCTTTCACGGGAGCTTGACGTAATCAGAATGTTAGAGAGATGTCTCAATAATACAGCTAAGGAATCTACCAAAACTCCAAACAAATCTCCCAATGATGAATCACCTGCAACACTTTGTGACAGCGATATAGCGACAAGTACCCTTGTATGTTCATCAAGCCTTCTTTCACAGATTTCTAATCCTACTAGGTCAGAAGCATTATAAACTGTAACAGTTCTACCGATGGTGTTGCTTAGAGAAATCAGAAACTCTCTTACATCGTCCAAGCTTAACTGATCGGCCATCCTGTCGGCCATTTTGTTTGATCAACGCAGAACTTGAACCGCTGAGCGGTACTTACTCGCTGGCTCGAGAAAACCTAATCGATAATCTCGAACGGTGATTAAAATTCTCACATATTGATTACAGAAGCTCGAAAGGTTGGTTGGAACTCATACCACTTTTGTCATGTTTGGCTTTCATGTTGCTGCATCGCTCTTTTTCGAATGGTGATTTCTCATTCTCGTATAGTAATTTCCTGATCTCACAAATCGATTACATTCTCGAATGGTGATTTCTCATTCTCGTATAGTGCCTTTTCATTCTCGAATTATGATTTCTAATTCTCGTATAGTGATTTCCCAACCTCATACATAGATTACTGAAACTCGATATATGATTTAAAACTCATACTACTTTTGTCATGTTTGGCTTGCCATAGTTGAGCATGCAGTTTTCGTACTGTCGTTTCTTCTTTCCAAAGTGACAGATGATATTTACCTAGATTTAAAAAAATATATATGTTTTTAGACGGTTGTTTCCGGTAAATTCGCAAATTGCAAAGTGTACTAGCCCACGGGACTAAAGTAAAATGCACTTGAGAACTCGTTTGGTTTCTTCAGAGAAACCGTAAAATTCCGAAAATATGCCCCTCTATGTATAAGCCCCTCAAGCTCGTAACGTTAAAGACCCTCCGTTAAATCGCCCCTCCAAATATATGCCTCCGGGGGCTTGTACTTGGAAATTGCCCTCAAATTCAAAATAAAACAAAGCAAAAACTGTAGAGTAACACACAAATTTTTGCATTTGCCAAAGAGGTACTACGTGAGAAAATAATTGCAGTCGCGTCACAGTATATTGTTGTTTGCGTAGTTCACTCATTCTTGGCTTGAATAGCTGAGTTTTAGAAAGATCTACTTCCTCAAGGCGAGTTTCAGTAAGAACTTTCTGCAAACTATTGGCATAAATTTCCTTCCAACTTTTAACTAGCCCAATCGATTTTGAAACGCAAATAAGGGCGTTTGAAAAATATAAGCACCGGGGCTTTTTTCGGAATTTTACGGTAAGTTATATATACTTTTAAAAAGTTCGCGATATTTCTCCAAGAGTTTTAAAGATTTATGCACTGAAAATCGGGGAAAATTGCTGAGGAAAATACAAAGGCAGCAGTAAAATATAGAAATTTCAGTATTTTAAAAATCGATCGCTCGCCGTCTTTTCGAAAACGTTTTATCTTCTACGGCAATTAACAGAAATAACCTTTAAAGATCTCCTTTAATCTCATAAGAAGTTAAATACGATTGTGGTGACTGTTTTATTGTTAGCTGAAAAAAGGAAAAGAGAAAGATAAGATTTGTCGGCTTGGAGAGCGGACCCGGTCAAGAGAGGTTTGCCAACCAGCTCCCTTCTCTTCTCTCTACTGTCATCTGGATGAAAAACTGTCGTCGCTCAAAACTGAAGGCATTAAACAGTGCCTAGGAGGTCTGAAATGCAGTCAGTACAAAGAAAAACAACTGAAAGGCTAAAAATATGCTTCAAAGCGATATTCAACGCACATTTTATTAATTTAGCGAGCAAATACTACTTCTCATACGACGTCTTATAATTTTCTTGCTGTATGAATAATTAATTAATTGGCCTAGTGTTGGGTAGTGCTGTTCTCGGGTTCTTGGTATCCTATGAGACGCAGTCTCAACACACAAATAAAATAAGAAAATACTAAATGCAAGCTTAAAAGGAAAAATTTTATTTATCTTTTGCTCAATTATGGCGAAGTAGGATATAATTGTTTCCGTATTTGAGTGAAACGACGGTGAAACATTGATTCGTTCCTAGGGTCCTCTCTCTTCTCCTTCCAGAGGATGCCCTGGGAACGAGGTTGAATGAATTCCGCGATCTACTCGCACGCACTTCGTTCCTTTCTATGGCTGAAAACCTGAAACCGTCGAATGATCGCGGCCTTTTCGATACCTTTTTCCCAGGACTGGTTGATGACATTGTGAAAGAATGTGAAAATGACAGAGAAATAGGGGATGCCCTGCGTCATATTCGAGAGGTAATTTTAAACCTGGCTAATGAACTGCCGTTTGAGCTTCCCACGAGCGCTTCCCACAGCTTGTAAGCATAAATCAGTGTAAAGATAGCTTTTCTTACTGCTGTAGTCACTGTCAGTTTATTTTGTGCTCAGTTTAAAACGTATCATCTCCTATCGTGGTGGTGAGTAAGGCTTACTATCTAGATGAGAAAAGAGAAGATAAATTATGTTTATATTCCTGATATATGGGCCGGCCGGCATATGATAAACAAGTCTGGACGAACACAGGCAGCCCAACTGCGCAAAGCGCCGCTAGGGACCTTCTAAGTTATAATAATTTATTATCTGTAGAATTTGGAACGATTTCCATTCAGATTTCCATACAGTCCCATAGATTTATTATGCATAAATATTGCTGCATGCATGTTATAATAAATTTATGGGGTTGTACGGAAATCTTACCTTTAAGGTTTTATTTACCCTAAATCCTCTATTAAGCTGCCCAGGGCGCTTATTTATTTCAAGCCCATTTGAGGGAGGGGCTTATTTGAGAGGGGGGGGGGGCCAAAAATTTAGAAACAAGGATGGTGTTAGTTTTCCCTAAATAACTAGAATACAAAGTGAAAAAGCTCAAGTACAAGAAGGTTGGAGGTTGTGCAGCCGAGGATCGGAATCGAATCCGAACTTCCAGTTGGTAAATAAACCATCCCGGATCATTCCACATGAAGTTTTACAGTTGTGATTGATTAGTAGAGTCTATCATTAATTAGTGAACAATAATTAGGGGAGGGAAGGGGGAGCTTACTTTAGAGGCAGGGGGGGTTATTAATAAGACAATTTTTATAGCAGCTAAAAACTCATATTTGTACAAGTTATCACTCTGAAAAGGCCGTTCATTTGTGATGCAGTATGCTTGAATTTCTAAGCTTTTGTATCACATAGCATTTATGTGGCGGCCAAGAGAGCTGTCATGCATGTAAAGAAAGTGACTTATTTTGGGCTATTTTTGCTATCTGAACAATCATTGTTTCAGAAAAGGCATCATTTTAATGTTCATGATTTCTTTGAGAGATGAATTCACATTTAACTAATAGTAAAACTCACCATATTGTTTTCCATCCAGTTGGTCACCGATCTAGCATCTCCATATAAAGCTCTACAAATTAGGGGGAATCGATAAGAAACATTAATCTGTGAATTTGTTTTTCATTTACCAATTTTCCCTGAAATGTGTATCACTCGATGTTTACATGAACTTGAACAAATTTTTGGAATATTCTTGACATGTTAAAAGTTTCAATATATTTTTTGAAGTGAAATCATTTTGCTAAGGAATATACATGTAAAAGACCCACTCTTTAGGCTACTGCCCAAACGGCAAGTCAGAACTTGATTTATTTTGAATCAATACAACTGCCAAAACACCCACAGCCTTGCCCTCCTAGCAGTTTTCTTCTTTTTTGGCACAGTGTTTGTAGTGTTTAGGAAGTCTTTCATGTAGTTAGTATTTGCTGCTAAAATCTATGCGGGAAACAAACCTTTCTGAGCAGGGTATCACATCCTTTCTCTTGGAAAAACAAACATGTTACTCATTTTTTTTCTGTCCGACCCTCCCCCCCCTATGATGGAACAAACACAATACTGGCCTTTGACTTCTGTTCATATTTCAGGTGCTAGAGTACAATGTCCCTGGAGGTATGTAGAAACTATGGGTTTTAACTTTCTCAAACATCTTGTACATTAGGATCTGTGATGAGAAAAAAAGGTTTTCTTACTGCTTTTACCCTTTAAGCCCCAATATCCACAAGCAAATTCTCCAAACTGATCTCTATACATTTCTTTAAGGAATAAGTTGAGAGAATTTGAGAAAAGATCAAAGCATTTTCTCTTTGGTGATCATTTAAGTAATTCTCATAACCTAATCTCTTGACATTGTACGGATATTGTTAGGAGAAAATTGATGTTGGTCACTATTGGGACTTAAAGGGTTAACAAGGGGCAAAAACATATGGGCTTGATGAGCAAATTGAATGGACGTGGAAGGTTTGGAAGCAAAACTGCAGACAATGTATTGCTTTAATTATTTGGGCTTCTCTGATCTCTTTACAGTGCTCTAAAGCAACAGTTCACCACTAACAGTTTTCGTTTGCAAAAGTTTTTTTGTATTCCTGTGTCATGTTTGAACATACTACCGGTACTTTGTAAACCATGTAAAGCAATGTATTGTAATGTGTATTCCTTTGGGATGATCTTTATCACTGACACTCTACTGGCATCATGATGGTACATCTGAACTGATAAATCCTTTCCCTGAATGGATTCATTGATTCCTTTGATGTGCTACGATCCAAGTGATCCTGATCCATATCATCTCAATGGAATGCACCCATTGTAAGTTTCTTTTAATGGGTAACATTCCACACATCACAAGTAGAGATTGTTTAATTGATACCTCTGCCTACATGTACACATAACTAAAGCCAAACCTCAATTTATACCTGCTCTGAAACAGCACTTTGGATAATGATCAGGACATTGGGACCAACTACAGAGATACCAAGCTCTGGAGCTCTAAAATCTAGACTTTTCTGTTTATTTTTTTCTACAGTCTCCTACTTTTATTTACCAACACAGCCTTGGCAGATCCAGTACACATGCCAGAAAAAGGCATGAATGTAAATTGCGAAAGAGGTGTTAAAAAATCCAAAATGCCAAAGCGTACGGGAAATTACTCCAGCCAAGTCAATTAACAGGTAGCACATTAATTTGGTATTCTATATATGGCCAGCCAATTGATAGGTATTTAACGAGGAGGGCCTTTTAGCACTTTTGACAAAGTTGAAGCTGTGAAATCCAGGGTGTCTAGCAAAGGATTTGTATAAAAAACTGGAAAGATTTGCTAGTCTGACCCAAGAGTCACTGGGAACTGCTAGAGCACAGTTCTGTTACATACTTGTACTAATTAATGTATTAAAGTCTTTTTCTAATAATTTTTTTCACATTATAGGGAAAAGGAATCGTGGTCTCTCTGTGGTTGCCTCCTTGCGTCAACTTATAAGCCCTGATAATCTGACCAAAGAGGATGTAAGAACTGCAGTTATACTTGGATGGTGTGTTGAGTGGGTAAGTAAAATGTCAAAACTCGTTGGCCTGATTTTTTTCATGAGTATAAACTACTTCATTGCCATCTGTTGAACATAAATCTTTAGTTAGTGACAACCCTGGATGTTGATGTTGGTTTTTTATTTCCAAAAACCATTTAAAATAGTTACAGACTCGACTCTCGGTCTTTAAAAATACACCTGGATTTAAAATTAACTCCAGCTGGTGCTTTTAAGTGGCCAATCAGGAAAGTTTCCTTGAAGTCTTAGCGGTCTGGGCAAGAATAAAGTGGCCCTTGATGTCTTGTTTAACATTTCAACACTGTTTTTGAAGTGATGCATGTGTAGAAAAAGTGCATTTTCATGGAACCAAAAAATTGGTACAGATGGTTTGCCATGACTTTGGGCACAGAATCAAGGAATTGTTTTCCATGGGATTTGAAATCCTAGGGCTTGATGGCACATTGTCTGCTCACATCATGTGCTCTGATGATTATAATAATTATATTAAAATGATGGTTATGGGTCTCAATCTGGAGGTCCAGGATAATTTCAAGCCTGGCCCATCAGGTTGTTTCCGTAGACAAGGAACTTTATTCCACTTTGTCTGTCTTCACCCAGGTGTATAAAAGGGTACTGCGACATACTACTGGGGGTGGGGGTGGGGGGGGGGAAGTAGCAATACTCTAGGCATGCTTTATAATTATGTTAAGGAATTTGGGATAAACTCCAGCTCATGAGGGGACACAGAGGCTTTTTACTGGAAGTACCATCCCACGCAGGGATGTTTCCTCTGCGGGCAGCTAATCCGACTTAATCCCATTTAATATGTCGCACTCCTCGAAAGTGCGAAAATTTTCTTGTTGTGTATTAGATTTCAGAAACATTTTCTCAATCTTCATTTCGCCCCAGAATAAATTAGTTTGTGCGCAAAGGGCTCCTAAAAAAATCACTTCGAGTCCACCTTCTGGAGATACGCCGGCTTGGTAGCTGGAATACATTGCCGAGGCGAAGATCTGGCATTTTTTCCTCCTCGTCGTATTTTCTTCCCGACAAATGTTTATATTTGTAGTGAGAATGCAGTGCATATCTGTGGATTTTACTTCAGGCGGCTTGCTACTTCTGAAAGAAGAGTGCCGGATTTCATCGTTTTGTTCATGTTTATTAGTGTTGGTAAATGTTAGGTAAATGAACCGACCACTGTAAGGTAAGAATTGAAGTTTTAAATTTGTTACTCGGCGAAAAATTGTGGAATTGGAATTTGTGAAACTCGTGAGTATTACCTCTGTTACCTAATGTAATGCGATGACTCCTCGCTTTTTTGATGCGTAACATGGATACAAGCGATAAATTTCTTTCGCAAAGTGAAGTATAATTTACTTAACGAGACCATTTGATGAATATTTCTCGTTATATGCTTTATTCATATTTGCTTGGCTTATTCAGGTTACATGCCAGGAGTTTGATGACAATGTTTGTGTGCTATAATCATGCTGATACGTTTTTGCCTTTATATTGAAACTCATGTAAGCCAAATGTTTGTTAACTCTAGCAAAACACTCTTCTATTATGTAGGAACTTTTAACGTCTTTCGGGGCCCTAATATGGTGTCAAATTTTTAGGGGAAACAAAGCTTGATTTTTGGCCAAACAGACTATAGCTTTTTTGTCTTTGAAGAGAGCGCGAGGCAAACGTCCGTGAGTACAGTGTAAGCCAGTGATTCTTTAGGTAGAGCTAACAAACATAGGCTGCACTTTAGGTGGCACACCCATGGGTGCAGTGTAACCCAGTGATTCTTTAGGTAGAGCTAACAAACATAGGCTGCACTTTAGGTGGCACACCCATGGGTGCAGTGTAACCCAGTGATTCTTTAGGTAGAGCTAACAAACATAGGCTGCACTTTAGGTGGCACACCCATGGGTGCAGTGTAACCCAAGTGATTCTTTAGGTAGCACTAACAAACATAGGCTGCACTTTAGGTGGCACACCCATGGGTGCAGTGTAACCCAGTGATTCTTTAGGCAGAGCTTACAAACATAGACTATACAGGTGTACATCAGATGGTAAAAGGTTTTCCAGTTAAAACTTTGTCATAAAGTGCTACACCATGGCACTTCGACTATTTCATTATCGCGCTTGTTTTGACGCACAATTGATAGTCAGGAGAAGTCGTATAGTCTAAAACCGTAGAAAAAGACAAATTTACACTCATCACAGCGTTAAGGTAATACACGGTATTTCCTTCAGGTACATTTACATTTTCTGTTAGGTTATAAGCAATTAAATCGCATGCAGCGACGAACAAAACGCGAAGCCGTCAGATATTCTAGAACCGTGTTATTTACAGTGCTGTGCATTATCATTGCTTAACTAACTAAGTACGCGCTGATGGAAATAAGTTTCGGCTGCTTTAAATTTTGAAACAATTCACTGGTACTGTATAGTCATAATTGGAGCGTAAAGTTAGCACGCGAGCAGGGCGATTCTGCTGTGGTTTCTGTAATGTAGAAGATATTACGGCAATGAGGCTCCTGAGGTCCGTTCTGGAAATCACAACTACATGTAGGATGAAATGTATTCTGCGTCTCCTTTTCCAGGTTAGGTTAAATAAACCGTACCAACGGTTTGTTTGACGAAGCTCCCGCGAGACGGTTTCTTGGTGATTTTATTAATTTTTCCGATCCATTTTTTTTTTTCAGCTCTATTTTCGCGGCTTTTGCAATACAAACTAAATTCATTTTTAGTTGTGATGGCGGCATTACACTGCTTAATCATGACAGCTTTGGAAGAAACTGAATATAGTGCTTCTTCGCGATTTCACAAAATCGCTGCGGGAATTAAAGAATATTTTCTTCCAAAAAAGCGTTTTCACGCTTCTTTCTCTAGTCAATTATCTCGTTTGTCTCGTTTTCTAAAGGTCCTTGAGAACAGAGTAAGACAATATTTTATTACCTACAACCTAAAAACCTGATTTTTGACCAGATCGAAACAAAACTGACCTCTGAAATGGAAGAAGAAAAGCCTTTTATTTTTGCCGGCTTCGGCCTGCCGCTGCGATCGTGTCCGTTTTGCTTTCATATGATGACATTTTCCTGACAGAAGGGTGTTGGGAAAAACACCTCGCGCTGATCATACGTGACAAAATCCGCCGCGCCTAAGCTAATTAAGAAAAGTCTCCTCGAAAGCTCCATACAATTCCTCATAACAAAATTATAAGGAATTGTATGGAGCTCTCCAGGATACTTACAGTGCAAGCCCTGTGTGTCTTCTCATGTTTGGGCCTTTGGCTTGTGTGCACCTAACTTTTTTTTTTACCTTATATTTTTTTAGTTACAAGCATTCTTTCTGGTTGCTGATGACATCATGGATGAATCACTGACAAGGAGAGGCAAGCCATGCTGGTACAGAAAGGTGACAGATTAGATTTTTAATTCATTAGAATCATTCTAAAATTATTACAATAAAATTATTATGCTATAATACAGCTGATAATATTATATTTTGCTTTATGTTAAAATTAAGGTGAAAACAAGATGAATCGCAAAACACTACTACCTTGATCCTGGATTGGACAGAGCAATGATTTAGTTGTTGTGTCCAAATTAGTGAGCTGGATGCGGCAGTAGGAAATTCAAATCATTTCAGCCATTCTGGAAAGCTTCAAAAATTGTGGGCTGTGATTAGAGGCAATGCAGTAGAATTTTTGCATCACCTCATTTACAAAAAATACATGTAGTTGTAGAAAATTATCAACTTTAATTTTCCTAGCTGTTTTTATTGTTATAGCAACATTTGAAATTATTCTGTATTTTCTGTTTACTAGACTGGAGTTGGCAGTATTGCTATAAATGACTCTTTTCTCATAGAAGCAACTATTTACAAACTGCTTAAGAAGCATTTGCATCAGAAACCGTACTATGTTGATGTGCTGGATTTGTTTCATGAGGTATGAGATCATGATTTACATCTCAGTGGCATTTGTTTACAAGCTTTGTTTAATTCATTTATAACTTTCATTAGTGAGGTCTTCCTAGGGATGTTTGAATACATAATTGTCCCTACTCTGAATTTCAAAACCTGTTGTTTCGCTTATTGAGGAGGAAGCCCTGTGGCTGTCGTTAGTGTCACTGAATTGCAGTTTCAACCTATCATTGTGTCATTTGTTGCTATTTCTGCTGTCCTCTGTCACTGTTTCAAATTGCCATGTTGCTTTCCAGGTTATTTATAATGATTGTGTAATGCTGTCATTATGTTGGCCCTCAAATGACCTCCTCATCACCAGAGTTCTCAGTAGCTCAGTGACGTGGTTAGAGCATCTGATTAGTGTCTGGAGGGCCATGGGTCCAATTCCCATCCTGAACTCAGAAATTTTTTCTGAGTTCTTTTCTCCACACATAGAATTCTTCCTATTTATTATTTATTGTTCAGAGAGTATTTACATGACTGTGCGATGCAGTTAAATCCATTTGTTCATTTTGTATAATGTGATTGTGCAAAGCGGTCATTCAGTCATTAACTTATAACCATTATAACCAGTGCTTCTTCCTAGAGTTTTTTAGCTCATTATTTTGTTATAGCATCTGACTAGTGTCTGGAAGGTGGTGGTTTCAATTCAGAAAACTCAGAAAAAGTTTCTGAGTTCTTTCGTCTATACATATTCTGTTTAGTATTACCGTTAGTCAGCACTCAATATATATATATTATAAAATGTATTATATTTTATAATAGATGCATTTATTTCCTAAATTATCTCCATGATATAAATGTAGGTTACGTATCAAACTGCGACAGGACAAACATTGGACTTAATGACTCAGCCTGGAAAAAATTTTGAGAACTTTACATTAGAGAGGTATGTACACACACTGGCTTTTAGTGTTTACAAAGTCATTCACGTGGCTTGTCTTTTGCGTGGTTAGTTTGTTTGTGCAGAGGTGCTAAGGAAAACTCAAATTACCATGAAGTACGTTTTGTACATGTATGAAAAATTAGTGGTAAAATAAGAGTAAGGGCTCAACATAGGGTTGGTAGAATGCAGGATTAGCCTTTTTTTTGCTACCACATGTGGGATGACAGAATGTTTGAGGGTGGGATGCAGAATGTTTGGGAAGAGGGGGGAAGCTGGAACTAGAAGCTTGTCACTCTCAGGCTAAGACGTGGGAATTCTTGGTTTTTTATTCTGGGCAGGAAATGGAATGGATGATGACAATTAATGCTCTCCAATATTTCACCATTCTGTGTCGAAATACTAGTCTGAAGGGCCTTTGTTGTGGTTTATAGGTTCTTCTCTGTTAAACGATTGTTTGGTTCCTCAGCACTACCCAACAGCTTTTTGCCATCAACAAAGACTGATTTGTAATGCTAACCTAACTCCTAAAAATTTCTGCATCACATGCTAAAAGAAAAAACTTTACAAAAAAAGATTTTTAGAAGCAGGATCAGGTTGAGATGTTATTATAAAGGCAAGCAAAAGGGCCGGACAATTAAACACTGGTAAGACATTAATAGTTTGGAGGCTATTGTCAGACCTATTAAATTGATTTTAGGTTTTTGTCTTGTCTGTTCACTGTTTTAGATACAAAGCAATTGTGAAATTCAAGACTGCATTTTATTCTTTTTATTTGCCAGTGGCCTTGGCAATGTATATGGTAAGTGTTTGTATGGTTACTTTTGCCTGTATAAAATTTTAAACCTCTTGCATTCTGGCCTGGGCATAGGATGTCGTCAGTAGACACAGTAAAATCTTAAGTCGAACCTTTTAATATTGACACCTCTTTGGTATAGACGTGTCTCTAGTACAGAGAGTTATTTCAGTCCCAAATATTGTAAACTTCAATCTCTACCTGATGGGCCAGGCTTGAATCCTGGACCTCTACCCGGAGTTTGAGGTGTTGACCGCTCAGCCACACATGCCTCCAACTAACAAATGTTTAAGCAATAGAAAACGTTTTCCGTGTTTGCATAGCCTGATATAAACACGAGAGGGGTTGGGAGAATTTGAGACTGTTATGCAAACCCTTCTACCCCTAAACTTGATGATCATAAATTGCGGTAAGAAACTAATGTTAAAGTGACATGCCGTAAAATTTCGAAAATAAGCCCCTCCAAATAAAAGCCCCTCTAACTCGTAATGCAAAAAACCCTCCGTTAAATCGCCCCTCCGAATATAAGCCCTCGGGGGCTTGTACTTGGAATTTGCGCTCAACTACAACTTAAAACAATGCAAAAACGGTACAGTAACACTTAATTTTTTTTTATTTGCCAAAGGACTATGGTCAACTATTACTTGTGCCAAATGATTGCACGCGTCAGAAAGTGTCACAGTTTATTGCTGTTGCGCCCATATAGATAAGGTACTTGCATGGCTGAGTTTTAAAAAGATCTACATCCTCAAGGCGAGTTTCAGTCTTTGTGCAAATCACTGAGTGACATAAATTTCCTTCCAGCTATAAGCTGGCCCAATCGAGTATGAGCCTAGCCGATTTTGAAACGCAAATTTCCCAAGCCCCTCAAAAAGGGCCTTTGAAAAATATAAGCCTCGGGGCTTGACTCGGAATTTTACGGTATCTGAATGCGATATTCAGTTTTAACTTTCACGAACCAATTTGTTGCACACATGTTTTTGTTTGTTTGAAATAACTGAACTTTTTATTACCTTAGCGTTAAAAAAATATGAATGTACATACTTGAATTATAATAATATAAAAGATCCTTGAAAGTTTATTAAAGCCCCTCGCTGCCTCCCATTTGCTCCCATTCCAGAACCACTGAAAATGTATGAGCTCCAAGATGGCTAAATACATGGCAATTGTTCATGATGTGTTCCACTTCCTCTTGTCGGAGCCATGAGTTTGAATCTTATAAATAAAGGACACAGTTTTTCTTTGCCTCATTTCCATAACATTGCAATTGAATGTATAACAGTCTTACTCAATTTTGCAATTTCGTACTTTTTTGTTACTTTTTGATTGTGTAGGCTGGTATAAAGGACGCACAGTCTCATGAGAATGCAAGGGAAATTTTACTGGTTATGGGGGAATTTTTTCAAATACAGGTATGAGGGCATTATTCATGACTTAATGTAATGTAGATTTTGTAGCGTTTTCTCGGTTTTTCCAGCTTTTTTGAGGCCAGTTTTTCTTTAATTCTGTGATGTGTAGATGTGCACTGCACATCGATGTCAATAGGCCACCCCCGAGTTCATACACCCTCACTTTCAGAATGAGGCCAAGTACTCAACCTTTCTTGTGAAAATGAGTTTTATTTGCATGAGAGTGAAAAATCATTTCCATATCAAAGGCTGAGCACTTAACCTAGTTTTGATACAGAGTCCCGGATGAACTCGAAAATGGCCTATTCTTTTCATTTTTTTCTGTGTGCACAGGATGACTACCTAGATTGCTATGGTGACCCTGTAGTAACAGGGAAAGTAGGAACAGATATTGAAGAGAACAAGTGTTCATGGCTTGTGGTGCAGGCAATTCAGAGAATTACCACAGAACAAATGGAAATGTTAAAGGTTTGAATAACGTTATTCTCCTGTAGTCTGTGAAAGCAGTTTCATTTTCCTGAAGCTGAAATGCTGAAGACATTCTGCTCGTATCCTCTACTGCATTGTAAAAGCCACGATTAGTAGTTAGCAAGCTTTACCAACAACGACGGCGAGGGCTACGAAAACGTCACTTTAAAAGCGAAGTTTCACTGCTTTAAACTTTATCGCGCTTATTCCATCAACTTGTGAAATGTCGGCATTTTTTTTTCTGGGGTTGCATGGATTCTAAAAGACTTCATCGCCGTTCAGGAAAAGAAAAAGAAAGTCGTTGTCATGTGTTCACGTCCTCCACAAAACGTGAAATTAGGCATGTTCACGTCGTAGTCGTGCAGTGACGGCAGAGAAATGTACAAAAAAGCGTGATGCACGTGCAAAGTCGTTGTTTTGCCGATCTTAACCGATTGCTTTTTTGCTGTTCTCGTTTGACGTTGCCTTTGTCAGTGCTTATTAGGGACCTTACGATCCGACAACGGCGACGTCTATGAAAACGTCACTGAGAAATAGACTCCGCATCCTTTCAAACCATTTCGCGATTTTCCCAAATCGTCCTGTTACTTAAAGGTGATGTTACACGGAACGATTCGCAACGACGATTGTTAGCGCAACATAGCGTTGCAATGTTGGAACAATGTTGTAACCATTCAAAACAATGCTGCAACAATGTTACAACGCTGTTTTGTGCTAAATTGCGAATCGTCTCGTGTAACATTACCTGAAAATAAGGGAATTTAGAGTGGAACTGAAGAGAGGGGGCCGCGCCCGAGTTCAGCCTGAGATGGTAGAATTTATTGCCTTGTCGTTCCCGTCCTCGAAAAAACTTAAATTTGGTCATTTCACGTCGTAGTTGTGCAGAGACGGCAAAGAAATGTACAAAAAAGCGTGATGCACGTGCCGAGTTTTTTTTTTTTTTGGCTTACTATTTTGGCTTGCGTTTGCGGTCGCCGTTGCCGTCGTAGTTTGGTAAGGTCCCTATTGCCCACTCCGCCCTCCCTTAACATGCATATTGATGAACACAATCAACTGGTGAAAAAGTGCAACATTATTGTGAAATGTGTCTTAAAACCGCTTCGTTGTGCCCTCATTACCAGGTTTGTACATGTAGTTACAATTTGATCAAGCAAAATTCTGGATTCGAACTTGAAAATATTGGGCTAACGTTTTCGATTTCTGATGCTATGCGTGGAAAAATCATCAAGAAATGGTTATGGTTTCTGCTCCGTGATAAAATTTGTTTGCTAACGTCTTCATAACTCTTCATTGGCAATTTTTTGTAAAGCAATGTCTTCGTGACATAGCGACTTAAAATTGCCCATTCCCAACTTGGCGTAGGTAATCACTGTCTAGTGGATATAATAAAAGGTTGTTGTCATTTTCCACAAAATTTCCTTTTGTTTTATCCGTATCTTTTTAGAACAACTATGGAGTTAAGAGTCCAGAGGCATCCGCAAGAGTTAAGGAATTATACAATGAACTGAACTTGAAGAAAGTTTATCAGGACTACGAAGAGGAAAGCTACAAAAGCATTCTTGAACTCATATCGCGAAAGTCTGGGAACCTCCCCAAAGAAGTGTTCTTGGAATTTGTGAAAAAAATATACAAGCGAGAAAAATGATAAATGACTTTGGAACATTGTTTAGGATTAGCAATCTAACACAACGATTTTGAACTAACTATTATCTGCCAAAACGCGTCGTTAAGATCGTTGTGTTATTATTTTTTTTAAATTACGACCGGCTTACGGCCATCTGTACACTGTGCAATATTGCGACAATATTTCTCGCAAAAAAAAGACGAAAAATCCTTTTTTTACTTGAACTCAGTGCGCATCAAATTTCATCTTACAACTACCATTTTCAACTTTGCGCACATTTTCAATCTTCGGTCAATCAAATTTTTTTCATATTCAAAAATTAGCCACTTGTTTAAAACGTCAATACTTCTGTTGTTCACATGGTAACCGCTCAGCAAATGTTACTAGCAACGTTGTGCGCAATATTGCAGGCAATGTTGCACTATGTGTCCGACCCTTTAATACGAGTCATTATGAGACGAATAATCATGATAATAAAAAGTATAACCTGGTAGTTCGAAAGGAAGAAAAAAGAAAACCTCAGAGACGACGGGTGAATAAAAATACATTACTATCGAAATCTTGTAACGTCTTAATAATTTTGTCAAGCATTTAACATGGTACTTAGTTCCAGTTGATTTTTTTTCTCGTGTCTTGCACTGGTGCCATTTACACCAAAGGTTAAATAATAATAAAGGACGAGAAAAAATCGAAAAATACGAAGACGTGAAAAAGAGGTGAGGCGTCTGTGGAAATGTAAAGAGGTTGTACTTGTACCTGTCGTCATTTGGCGCCCTCGGAACAGTCAGCAAAAGATTTGTACTTGCAGCCGTTACATAAAGTTTGTTAACTGGGAACAGCAAGAATCATAAGAAAGTGATGGATACCTAAGGGAACCGTCCAAGGTTACCTGGTATCAGGAAATGGACCGGTTTAAACTAGATCATCAAAAGCGTGTGACTGAAATAATGAAAATGAACTTTTTGGGGTTAAGTACTTAACATCTTGCGATAATCTAGAAGTGGTCCTCATTAAAAAGTCATGGCTTCAATTTTTAAAAACGAATTTTTGTTTTGTCGAATAGTTACGAGCAAACTATTAAATGAAGAACAATTCCTCTTTCCAGCGGGTACTCTGTTTCATAGTCTCGCCGTACTAATTATAAACAAGCGCTTTCCATGTCTCGCTTTTACTTTAAGTTAAATCAAATTTCTTGTGCAGTTTTGTCATAAGTGTGATTCAGTAGGAATCAGTCCTCATGGATTGTCTGTCAGAAAATTTCTAGTTATCTCCTAACGGATCATCTATACAGTAGCGTTAACTTTATGATCTACTAGAAAAATGAATATTGTTAAAATATTTTTATGCTTTGCCAGTCAAGTGGACAAACATTCAGTGTTATTTGCATTCTGGCTCTTTACTGTGCACAGTGTTGCGTGTCCAGTTCTGCTCAGTGTGTCGGTTGGCCGCTTAGTTTTTAACTTTGAGGAAACTTACGGAGAAGGTAAAGTCTTGGATTATTCTTAATAATTTATGGTATTGTGAAATATTTCTTTTCCTTACAATCATGGTTTTTCAGAAGTACAGTCTTAATATGGCTGGTGTTTATCACTTCTCCACGACTGATCTTCAGGGTGTAAATTAATAGTCGCAAAAACGACGCCCTTTCTATATTTCACTCTGCTTAGCGTCAGTCATAACAGTTTAGCCAAATCATGCCTTGCAAACTCTTGGTAGTGTTATTTTCTTAGCAATGAATGAAATCTTTAGATTCTCGGTATCTTTACTTAGTTTACTTTACTCAATTTTACAGCGGCAATAAAACTAAAAGCAGACCAATATCACGCGATGCATGCGTTTAAGTCGTTAAGGCGTTGGTGAGCGCCGGGAGGACCAACGAAATGTTAACACAAAATTTCTGCTTGTGCGCTCTGTTCTTTTAGCCCGGGCTCTTTTAGCAGTCTCTCCAGTGTCTATATAACATGTAATCGGTATTTTTCTCATTGAGTGGCTTTAAGCTCAGTGGAACCTTGCGGTAAGTAAACAACTCTTCCCCTCGTGGGCTCCAAGCCGCTGTGGTTCCGGTTCACCCAGTGCAGCGATAACTAGACATAACTCGACTGGGAGATACATTGAACTACAACAGCTATGAGATTAAACCTTCAGGTTTCAAAAATTAAGTTTAACTTAACGTTAGGTATTATGATGAATATACAATTTTAAAAATTATCGTAAGCTTCAAAAGAATAGGTCTGTTATGATATGATTTTAATGAATATTCAGCTACAAGAGCTGCCAAAATTCTTGACTGTAACTTGCAAACGACTTTGATAGTGTGCCTAAGCAGGTCAAAATGGACAAGCAGGATCAAGATTAGAGCCTGATCCAGACCTTAAGATAAGAAGCGGGGGGGGCAGTCTCGAAAAAAAATTTTTGGGCCCTTCGGGCCTCAGTTTGTCCAAAAATAAGGGGGCCCTGGGTCCCCAGGCCCCCCCCCACCTTAGATACGCCACTGAAGATGGACAAGCAAGTGAAGCCAGTAAGAAGCAAAAGAATGTAGTCGAGACAGCACTGTTGCCTTCGGTGATTAGAACTTTTCGTTGAATAAATAATTAATGTACAGTCAAGATGAATGTTATTTTGGGCAATAAGTCTTAAAATAATCTAGAATCGAATACTACGTGCTAGGAGTTTCAGTAGCTCGAAAACAGAATGTGCAGTAGTCAGAACTCGAACAAATCTCTGCAACTAAAAACATCTACTGTGCATATATAATTGAGTATGTCAACTAATCATCGGTCCGTAACCACGTCTCATTTGTATGATTTTGTTACCATTCTTTTTGTTTTTGTTTTGATGTCATCTTGTTTTACCTTGTCGTTTTAAACTGAGGTAACTAAAAAAGCACAACAGGCTCATAACGTAACATTTTTTTGTGAAACAAGCAGTTTCTTTATTAGTTGCCTGATGAAGAGGAGTTCAAACTTGCCCAGCCCCTTGATTTTGATTATTCATGGCTTGAATAAACCTAAACGAAAACCTCCATATTTCATGACTTTTCCTAAAATATATCAGGAATATGTTCAAAATCAATCTCTTATTTTTCAGGATTGAAGTTTCCATGGTAACAATTTTCACAATAGTCAGTTATGCTACTTTTCTTGTTATTATCTCCTGACCTTAACCCTAACTCCTCAAAAAGATTCTGTCAAATAAAGCTTCTTCTGATCTTTGAAAAGCGTTTTCGTTGGAGTGGTCTAATTACCGTTAAATACCGCTTACATTGCCCTGAGCTTGGTAGGGTTTTCGGGAGGTCTTATAACTAGAATAGAAAAAGCGCTTCAAAGCAAGCTATAGCTGTGCTGATCAAAAAACGTTTGGCATTTACTGTTTCTTCAATAATATCATAAAAAATTGAATTCATTTCAATACATTTGGAGGGAGCTTCGGGGCGGTAGGGGGAGGGTAATTTTGTCAGTACCTGTAACGGTAAATTTTCATCACTTCTGAGAATGTGTATATTGATTAGCACGCGAAACGTCAAGTTAATATAGAAATGCGAAAGTTCACGAAACAACACGCTGATTTAAAAACCAGGTGAAAGTTCACAATGTTTATTGCTGCTGCTTTTCAGTTTGTTTTTAATTTAGCTTTTAAACATCGGCCTTTGATTCGTTTACAGAAATGGCTCTAACCGCTGACCAAGTCTTTGATAAAATCGGAAGCTTTGGCCGCTTCCAGCTTTTGATGCTCTTGATGTGCAACATCCTCGAATGGTTTTGGTTTGGATGGCCTGTTTTACTGATGACATTTATTGCAGCTGAACCTAGTTGGCGGTGCGTCAACAGCGACATTAACCAAAGAAACAGTAGCCTTGGTAACAGTAGCTTTGGTAACAGTAGTCTTGGCAACACTGTCGAGTGCCCTCTTAAAGGAACCATGTCACCAGGAGGCAAAAACTACAACTTCCGTTGTAGTATTTCCAGAAAGTCGTGGGAATTTGATAATGATTATACCTCCGTTGTCACGCAGGTATTTTACGGAAGGCGATTTTAGTATAGGTAATAGCATGATTTGTAGTGATATTTGGCATAAATACCACAAGTGATATTTCAAAATGGTTATACATAATTTCACGAGCCGTTAAGCGAGTGAAATTTGAGACAATTTTGAAATGTCACGAATAGTATTTATGCCAAATATCACGTACAAATCATGGTATTATTTGTTTATACTACTACTCACAAAAGGGTTGTAATTTTCACGTGTAGGTATTTCATATTAAGCTGAAATACCACTGCTCTAAGCCAATAAAATTGCAGAAATTTCTCATGTAGTAGTATAATGATATTAAGATATAATGCTTAAGCAGTAATTAATACTGCGTGTGAGCCATAGCGCGTTGACCTCTACCCTTCGCCTTCTGGGGGTTTAATAGACCGTCTTTAGCTTGTGTGTATGTTTTGTTTTCCCAATACTCGCCAAGAGATACTCTTTCCTTCAAATTCAGCCTTATTCACCTGCATATCTGCGCACAATCAGTTACGCCGAAAAGAGAAAGTGTCAGGTTCCCCTAGGACATCTATTGGGAAAACCAAACATCTATTATGGCTCTATACATGCAGATGACTAAACGGAATTTAAAAGATTTCTTTGTAGCTTGGGTTGAAATGTTTGTTTTCCATTTGATGTCAGTCATTTCTTTCAAATTCACCTTATTGCGCGTATGAATGCATATAAAGCTCAGTGAAATGGTAAGAAATTATTATTTATTGTAAATTATTATTATTATTCGTTTTCAGTTTGATCTAGTATGCGATAAAGCCATTTATGGAACAGTATCGTCGTCTTTAATCTTTGTTGGCTGGATCGTGGGTGCTCTCATTGCTGGAGTATTGGCTGACAAATTTGGACGAAAGATCATTGTCTTCTTCTTTGGATTCTTTATTGGTGTCTTTAGTCTGCTGTCCGCGTTCCCAAATGTCTACTGGCTGTTTGCACTGTTTCGCTTCTTGGTCGGCCTTGCTATAGGTGAGTATTTATTCTCCATTTTCGCATTGGGAACTCTAACGCAGTATTAGCTATATCATAATCCGCTACTATTTGCCTGTGTTCCTGAGTCTTTACGAGCCTTTTTGGAAGAGATTTGAATACCAAAGACGATTTACCTTGCCGGTTTCAAATGTTTCGTGTTTCGAAATCACTTGGATCCTGGTGAAACTTAGAAACCGCTCTGTATACTCGAATGAATCTTCTGCAGTGACTGATGAGTGTTAACGCGAATACGAATGCCCTAAATATGTTTATCAAATCCGGAAACATTTATTGAACCAGGAAAATCTCTTCAGGCAAGAGAGTTCGGTTGTAGCGTAAAGCCTGGCTTCCTTAAACTAGCTTGAAAAAAATGTTGCTTCCTCCTATGTATTTTTACATTCCCGTAAGCGGCTAGCTGCATTTACGGACACCTTTTTCCGCTTCCCGAGAGTGTCCGCTCACAAAAGCTTCCACTGCGAGTACATTACTTTTTCTATCTTTATATGTTTTTCCTTGTTTGTTTTGTCAGGTGGTGGGGGAATGAGTTTATTTGTTATTCTCGCTGAATCAGCGGGTCCTCGTCACCGAAGTCTTATTGGGACATCCCTCTGGTACTGTTGGACTTTGGCTCTCATTGCCTTGGCTGGAGTCGCTTATCTCATAAGAGACTGGAGAAAACTCTGCATAACTTCAGGGATACCAGCCATAGTAGTGGCTGCCTTCTGGTTGTAAGTTGCCTCAATGTGTTTTTCAATTCAATTTGATGATACTAGAAACAGACAGACTGGATAGTAAACGTTATTGGTTAGCCTGTGACGTGATCGATAACGGTGCCCCACGGGGCGGGGGACTATTTAATATGTGCCACCCTAAAGTGTTTGGTTTTTGCCCTATTGAGGTCTGAAAACGGGTATAGACTTTGCCCATTTTGGTTTGGAATCTGGTATGGTATTCGAGGGAACTACGGGAGTGTATGAACGTGTTTGTCGTTTCAATTCCAAATGAATGAGAAAGAAGGAGTAATATGCGAAAATAGCCATCGGCGTTTGTTTTACTGTTACGGTTGCTTACTACGGTGGCCCACAGGAGACATGCTGCAAATAAAAAAGGTGCTGTAAAATAACTGGAAAGTATGCACACGTACCGTTTTGAAATAAAGCGGTGTTGACAGGCTAAACACCACCAGAAGCGTATGGAATTTCCGGCGTTTGAGTGGATACAATTAGCCGGAAATGAAATATTTCTGCGGCACGGAAGCAGTGGGGAATGGGGCGGTTTCAGTTGAAGTGTAGTATGGGTAGAATGGAGTGCTAGCGAGTTATTTATTTATTTATTTATTTATCTATTTTTATATACTTGATTTACTTAGTGACCGATCAAGTTTCGCGAGGGTTTAAGCTCGTTTTCGTTATTTTTCGTTTGTTTTAGAACAATTATTTTGAATTTACCGTGCTATGTTGGAATACGTGCTTGGTAAATGTAGGTCGAGACCTTCGAGCCGTAAAGCCTTCAAGCCTTCGTAGGAAAGGCTTTTCAGAGAATGAGCCGTAGATCCTTCCCAGATTTCCTGCCGAGTTTTTTCCCTACTGGTATTTTTTTCTGGCCCCCGTTCTGATACGTGAACCGCATATTTGGCAATGTCCATGCTCACTCGCTAACATTCTACGCTAACATTCAATCATATTTCTTTATGCTTATAAAATCACCGTGCAATACGCTCTCGACATTTATTAGGGTGATGTTACGCGGAACGATTCACAACGACGATTTTTAGCGCAACACATCGTTGTCATGTTAAAACAATGTTGTAACTATTCGAAACAATGTCGCAACAATGTTGCAACGCTATAGCCTCCCACGCAGGCGTTTTTAGGGGAGCTAGTTTTTCATCCCTTAAAAATGCCTGCGTGGGAGGCTAGCACCGCTGTGTTGCGCTAAAAATCGTCGTTGCGAATCGTCTCGTGTAACATCACCATTAGGGAGCTTAAGAAACAACGACGGCGACGGCTACGAAAACTTCACTTAAAAAGTGAAGTCGCGCTGCTTCAAACTTTATCGCACTTATTCTATCTTATTCAACTCGCCAAATCTTGGCAATTTTTTTCTAGGGTTAAGTTCTAAAAGACTGTATCGAAAGTTCAGAAAAAGAAGAAGGAAGTCGTTTTTTTATTTTTACGTTCTCCACAAAACGTGAAAGTCGTAGTCATGCAGTGACGGCAAATAAATGTACAAAAATGCGTGATGCACGTGCAAAGTCGTTGTGCAGTGACGGCAAATAAATGTACAAAAATGCGTGATGCACGTGCAAAGTCGTTGTGCAGTGACGGCAAATAAATGTACAAAAATGCGTGATGCACGTGCAAAGTCGTAGTGCAGTGACGGCAAATAAATGTACAAAAATGCGTGATGCACGTGCAAAGTCGTTGTGCAGTGACGGCAAATAAATGTACAAAAATGCGTGATGCACGTGCAAAGTCGTAGTGCAGTGACGGCAAATAAATGTACAAAAATGCGTGATGCACGTGCAAAGTCGTTGTGCAGTGACGGCAAATAAATGTACAAAAATGCGTGATGCACGTGCAAAGTCGTAGTGCAGTGACGGCAAATAAATGTACAAAAATGCGTGATGCACGTGCAAAGTCGTAGTGCAGTGACGGCAAATAAATGTACAAAAATGCGTGATGCACGTGCAAAGTCGTAGTGCAGTGACGGCAAATAAATGTACAAAAATGCGTGATGCACGTGCAAAGTCGTTGTTTTACCAATCTAAACCTATTTCTTTAATGCCGTTCTTGTTGACGTCGCCTTCGCCGTTGCTTAAGCTCCCTATTATTCCTCCCCGGTCACATAAACGATTTTTTTAAATGACTTTGCTGTTCCTGTGGTGGCACAGTTTCGAATTTTATCGATTATCATACCTCTTTCTCATTATTATTTTATCACTTTTATACCTTAAAGCATTTCTCCAGAGTCTCTACGCTGGTTGTTAGTAAAAGGAAAGATGGAAGAGGCTGAGAAACTATATACGAAAATAGCGCGAATTAACCGCAAAGAACTACCAGAAGAAGGACTGAAAATAGACACTGGAGCAGACATTACTACAAGGCTGGGTGATGTGCGAGATTTATTCAAAACTAGAAGTCTCACAAAGACGACGTTAATATCTTGGGTTTGCTGGTGAGTTTTTCTTCATTTATCGACTTCTTCAAAGTTGCATTTGTTCGACCTGACGATTTTTGCAAAATGAAGTGATGAGTGTAGATACTCTAAACTATGGTAATAATTCACTGTTACCTCGAGTAGCACGGGGCGGAATAGTCGGTTGTAGCCGCTGCCAAATGCCTCCACCTCCAACCTCCTTCCAACATGGGGTTTTTCTCGAATTTTATAATATTTAAGAAAGATTTCGTCACTAACAAATATAGCAAGGAGATAAAAGTGTCACTTAACGGGACGTGGTGCTGGTAAGCTCCTCGTTTTCAACCTGTTCATATTCAACCTGTGTTTAATGTAAAAAGACCATTGAATACGGCTCCTGTCTAATCTTGTTAAAACGCTCTGGTTGTTTATATAACAATATATAACTATTAACCATCATAGCTTACAGCATTAAATAAAAGGACTGCTCGATACTTTCATTTGAATGATTAACCCACAAACCCAAAAGCTATCTGGGGGAGCAACCTCGGACACCATAGTACAAAGAACAACAAATATATCGATTTTATTTCCAGTACAAATCAGTACTCCAAAGTAGGAACCTTTTAGTCCTACTATTAGTCAGCTCTTTGTTCTCGAGCTCCCGACTAAAGACAGATTAAGTGCTTTCAACCAAGTTTAGATCTCACCTTACAAATTATATTTTTTAACTTTTTCTACAGGTTTGTAAACTCTATGGTGTACTATGGCGTGTTTCTAAGCGCTCCTACTGTTGGTGGAAGCCTTTACCTAAATTTCTTCCTAGCCAGTCTGGTCGAGCTTCCTGCGATCCCAATTGGTATCTGGATTTACAACAGGTTGAACACTACTGAAGTCTGTTTTTCGCATTCGGCATAGAGGCAGCGTGGTCGAGTGGTTAGAGCGCTAAACTATAAATCAGGAGGCCTGCACTGAGCTCAAATCCCGCCCTGACACCAGACTGAATTTGTTATCGGGAGTGCTTACCATTTGACAGAAAAATTCGGTTGAGATGCTGCAGAATTGCCACATCAGTTACGGTTTGAATCCAAAAAAGGGGCAAATTTGTGTAGCGTGAGTCTGGAACGGAGAAGGAACCGAGAAATTGGTAATAGTAAGCAACATTCCGTTTGGTTCATATCAACCGGAATGAACGGACTACCTCAAAACGCACTCCTCAATTTTCGGTTGGAATTTCCCAAAAGTGACCTTACCGTTTACCTTCCATCTGGAATTTCCGTAATTTTCTGTCAAATGGCAAGCACCCCGGTTATCCAGAGGTCAGATCAGTAGGCCACGCTTTTTAAATAGCCAACTGATTCGCCTCCTACCGTTTGACATTCTATACCTTGTTATGTTCCATTTCAATTTGTTAGTTTCACAATCCCTGAAGCCCAGTAATGGAAGAGAATAATTAAGAATATATTGTTACAATGGAACCTCGCCTTAGGACCGGCCAGCCCGTTTATACGACCACCACGTTATCGCGCTTATTCCATCCATTACAGTTCCTCAACTGCTGGCAAATCATTTTCTTGAGTTGAATTCTAAACGATTGTACCGAAGTTCGGGAAAAGAAGAATAACGTTGTTGTCTCAGTTGTGCCTACTTTCTCCACAAAACGTGAAATTAGGCAGTTTCATGTCATAGTCGTGCAGTGACGGCAAAGAAATGTACAATAAAGGGTGATGTACGTGCAAAGTTGTTGTTTTACCAATCTAAATTAAACCTATTGCTTTTATGCCGTTCTCGTTGACGTCGCTCTCATCGTTGCTTAAGCTTCCTTTTATCCAACACAAGCCTAACCAGTGTCCACATCTCCTTACTGTTGAGTTTGGGGATCAGGGAGAAGGCGGGAACTGAGAATAAACAAATAAAGTTGTTTTTGTATTACAGATTTGGGCGAAAAAAGGGAGTTGTTATTCCCATGCTGTTAGCTGCTGTTGGAGCCGCAGGCTCAGTGCTGTTAACAACTGACGATGAATCGAACAAAGGTACTGTCAGTATAGTGGAGCCCTAGATGCCCGTGCGGACAACGGACATCATTCCTGTGTCCCGAGTCCAAACTCCCATATCCCGTCAACCCCGCTTTACGGATACTATCCATCTGAAGACTGTCTATGACTGAATATCCTATTAGTGAAAACCTAACGGAAACGGTGAATGACCTTCTTTAAGTTCCTGTCTAATACTTAGTCCACCTGGCGAAGTCACAAACTAAACCCGTTGTTACGTAATAAGCAAAGTCACGGATTCCACTGTCGTGTTTCACCATCAATTCTTTAAAGGTAACTTTAGTCCGAGACTAATAAATGATCGTGAGTTTTCTTTAGGCTGAATTTGTTAAAGTTACAGTTAAGAAATTGAAGAGCGTTCCCTTAAAAAAAGTGTCTGCTTTAGTCTTTATACCGATGTGTCCATGACATTTGTTTTTTGGTAGCTCGCTTAATACGGACACCCGGATAATACGGACAGAATGGCTGTGTGAACTATGAATTTTAAAATCAATTGCACATCAAACGATGGTGAGATTTCTAAGGATGATAAGCTCAATTTCAGACATGCATGAGACTGATTCAATCTTTTTTGTTCTTTAGGTTTTCTTGCCGGCAAAATCTTCCTGTCGATGGTATGGGCTAAATTCTGGATAATGATTTCGTTTGACGGAGTGTATATATACTCCTCCGAGTTATTCCCTACCGTAGTAAGGTATGTATAGAATGTAGAGGTCCACTGCTGGACAGAAGTTTATACTAATGTACAGTCGAAGCTCCACGTGCGGCCATCTCTCGTAAGGGACCACCTCCCAAAACACTAACATTTTACTAGACAAAGCCTATAGTCAGAATTTCTTGTGGACGACCACCTCTCGAAAGCAACCGTAGCCACTTTTTTAATTTTACAATTTTCCATTGTTTTTAACCCTGTTTTGAGAGATGGTCTGATCTTGTTCGATGTATTATGTTCGCTGCATGTACTATGATACTTCTTTTTATATAAAGAGCGTTTTATGATGACATGGAACTGCCACATCAATTAACTAGAACTAAAAATTGCGTGCAACAAGTTCTCTTCCCAGAAGTAGATATATGTCGGGATCTCTTCTCTGGAGAGACTCCCTGTGACCTGAATGACTTGATTCCAGCAAGTGACTTCCTCACGTAAGCGATCACGACCGAGTCTTGGCACTGACTTTGGGTGGTTGCTTACGGGCGTTCGAGATGTTTTTTGAATGATGAGCTTACTTTATTTCCCAGAAATGTTGGTATGGGTACGAGCACAACGGCTGCCAGGATTGGCTCTTTTCTTTCTCCTTATGTCGTATATTCGGTAAGTAACTCCAATGCAAAAGAAAGTTATTAATTTGCAGTTGTCTGTAACCTCAGTTTAGTGGCTGTGCATGTAATCTTAAGAAACCAAATGTTAGGAATATCATCTCTGCTATGTTTTTTGAACCCAGAAATTATTAAGCACAAAGAGTGTGTCTATGCAAACTCCCAAATAATGCCAATTGGATTGATGTACAAATCCATTGAGACCCATGCCTTTTTGTTTCCATAGCAACGCGCTCATCCTATCGTTCCATACGTCATCATGGGCGTAGCGGCTCTAGTTGCCGGGTTCCTCTGCATTTTACTGCCTGAGACCCGCTTCAAACCAACACTGGAAACTCTTTCTCAGACGCCAAGCAGTTACAGCACTCAAGAGGATGGGAAATATACCGACACTACGGAAGGAGGGGAAAAGAAAGCGCTTGTAGAAATTAATGAGGAATCTGGAACCGAGAAGCCAGGCAAAGACAGCATCGAAGAAGAGCAGAAAGATGAAAATAGAGACGAAACGGAAGTGCTTATTTCAGAAGTGGAATAGCCGCCATTGTAAAATACAGTTGTATTAGTAATGGTAACAGGACTGAGTAGAGTCCAATTCGGTCTGTAATCATGCGAGTGATTACCGAGTGTTATTTTTTCTCTTACCAATTAATCATAACTTTAACAAAATTTGTGTTATATAGGGCTCTTTTTTTAAAATCATGACAGGAGAAATTCCATTTTTTTGCTGGCAGCAGTGAAAAAAAGCCATTTAAGCGGGCACTTGATAGCGAGTACTGTCTAATTACTTAGGCATGAAGCGTACTGTCCTATTAAATTGTTCTATTAATGCTGAAATCAGTGCAGTTGATAGCCAAAGTACGTAGCAGATAAAGGCTTTACTGAGCAGCTAAATTTGAAAAGTGCGAGAATAATATTCAGATCAAGAGGGGTTATCATAAAGTAGAGATCAGTGACGTAGCTAGAATCCAGAGGATTCAGAACGTAGCAGCGCGCTTCATGTTCCAAGAGAGCTAACATTGCCTCATAACTCCGTCATCACATTCACCACATTCATGGCTGCCTGTTAACAACGTGTTAATTTTAAGGTGTTATCAATAACTTTCATTAATGTCAGATAGCTGCAGGACAGAACTATATTCGTTAGCATTAAATGATTGAATAAAGTACCAGAACTAAGAGTAATTCTATGAAATTGAAATTCTTTCATCAAGAGAGATTGAATGGTGGTTGTCTTGCATGAAATACCCCCTCTTTAAACAAATTCTTCGCTCGTGTTTCTCAGCCGCCCTCAATCCCCTTTTAAACGGACGTAACAACGTTGGCCCAAACAACTCCCAACTTTGTTGGATGTCTGACTTGTTGCGTCTGTTTGCACACCCTTTTACATGTTGCTGCGTGTTGTTACACGTGCTGTTGCGTGTTGTTGCCTGTTGCTGCGTGTTGTTGGGAGATGTTGCGCAAACCTTGAACCAACAACTACCAACATTTCTTTTGTTCGGTGATCGCGATCGCGTGTATTCTCTTGCACAGCTCTTCTTACATTCTTCTTAAATTGTTTGGGCCAGGCTAGCCTGCGTAGCAGGCGCTAGGAAATAAATGGGCCCAAGAAAAAATGCGCTCGAGAGAAGGAGACACGCGAGTCTCCCTCGCGCGCGCCCGTTTTTTCTCGCGCCCATTTACCTCCTTAGCGCCTGCTACGCAGGCTAGGGCCAGGCACACGCATTACATATGGTCTACAAAGTCTTGTGGGTTGTATCCTTCTCACGATACACTGCAGATCCTAACATTGTTGGTGTAAGGATAATTTAAGAAATTGCCGTGCGTTCTAATTAGAATTTAATTTCAATTCTGAGGGCAGCTTTGCTGTAGTCTATTGAAATTGTTGCTTAACAAATGTTCATGAAAGTATAAGTCTCTTCAATTTTCAAAGAAAACAAATTTCAGAGCAGCATGAGTGGGATTCGAACCCGCTGCCTAAATTCTACCGTCCAGTAGCACTACGCTACGGACTGAGGATTCACTGTTGAAGTGTTTGATTTGATTTTTAAGCTATATAGCAACAACCCTAACCCTACATGAAACCAAACAGTTTTGAGTCAATGCTTAACCCTAACCACTATTCACCGGGCTCAACCCTAATCAGTATGGTCAGTGCCTAACCCTTATCATCATAGAGAAAAGAAGTGTGACTCACGTTACCATGTTAGCAAAATATAACGACAATAGGGAGCTTAAACAACAACGGTGCGAAGGCAACGAGAACTACCAAAAAATCGATAGGTTTCTGTTAGCAAAACAGCAACTTGGCAAGTACATCACGCTTTTTTGTACATTTTTTTGCGTCGTTGCACGGCTGCGACATGAAACTTCCTAATTTAACACGCCCGCTTTACGCAGTTGGTGAACACAATGAAAAAAAATTTTCTTTTTCTTTTTCTTAAGTTAGATACGGTCCTTTCCGATTTCGCCAACATTTGACAAACTAAGTGAAATTGAGTTCAGCTTTTAATTGACGTTTTCGGTTTGTTGTCATCCAGAAATTTTGCTACCATGGCAGACCTTAGGTAGTCGCTCCAATTTTTCCGCTACGATCAAGGCAGACTACTGTAATGCGAAAGGACCTCATGAATAATTCTTTCTGGACCAGTAATGTCATATGCACACACTGAGGCAACTGGATGCACGCACGCCTTTCTTGCAATCTACAAAGATGATAAATTCTTAAACAGATCATAATCTTAATAATTAAAAACTTAAAATAAAGAAATAGGCTTGCATAAAATAGCCCCATCGAAGGAGGGAGTCTTTTTGTCTACCGTTTTCACTTTTTGTTTCGTAAACTGAGCACTGACGTTTTGAAACATGCAGAAGAATTCGAGTATTAACCCGAGAAATGATTCTGTATTGCTAGCAGGGTCTTTAGGCAGAGCAGATGGTGTGGCTTGGTGCAGTGCTTTTGCTGTCGTATCGTTATTCACGGTTGTGGGGAATCTACTTGCAGTCATAGTGTTTGCTTTAAACAGAAAGCTTCGAAAGAACAGTTTCCTTCTGGTCATAAACATGGCATTTGCCGATTTACTGTTGGGAGCTGTGTCTCTTCCATTGTTCATTTACCAGCTTGGAGGTAATTTTGAGCTTTGGCAAGGAGAGTGGAGTTCCTCTTTGGAAATGCTTTATCGTATTGTGGATACCGTTTGCGCTCAGTCCTCAATAATTACTGCTGCTTTTATCGCAGTAGAGAGGTTTTACTCAATAGGTTGGCCATTGAAACACAGATCTATTGCTACACGACGCGCATACTACGCTCTCATTACTTTAGTCTGGATTTTTGCAGTAGTCATTTCGTCTGCAATAATTCACACACTAAAGAATCAGCCAATTCATGTCTCGATTTATATATGGATGGCATACGCTTGTAGCTTAATGCTGATAATATCTGGTTGTTACATCGGCATTTGGAGAAAATACAAGCAAGGAGGAAACTTATTGCAAGCTCAAAACAGACGGTTGGCACGAAATAATAAGCAATCAACCAAGACCCTTTTAGTCATTACTCTTGTCGTTTTGATGTCATGGCTTCCTTTAGTTATAACTAATACTATTTGCGTTTACGTTCCAGTAAGCCACGATGTGTTGCTTTTCGTAAATCTTCTAAACTTCAGCAATTCCTTCGCAAATCCTGTAATTTATTCACTAAGAATCCCTGAATTTAGAAAAGCATTGTTTCTTAGTGCCAGGACGACTGGAAAGCCTTCTGTTGCGCGCCTTGCGGTCACTTCCACGAAAATTCAACTGCAGGTCACTTTAAGACACGAACTCAAATTAAATGAACTTCGTCAAGAGGAAAACAAGGATGAGGCTTTTGAAACTGAAACAGAACTTCTGAAACTGACAGAACATTAGTTTTCAAAGCAAAATTGTTTAGTTGCCGTTTTAGAACGATGTTTTCGTGGCGGGTAGTTCGACAGGTGATGACCAGTTTGCGGTTTCATACACAGTTATCAAATAAATTATTGGTACACTGTTTATTCATCGTCTGGCAAATTATCGTAAACTAAGCTACAGGTCCATTTTTCTTATTGAATGAGGAGAAGAAAAGAGTACGCCAAGAGGGAGTAAAGCGAAAGGCTCTGCTAGTTTAGTGCATAGCACTCTCCAATCCGCAAATAGATAAGCCTTAATGAGGTTTTAAAAGCGCTCCAATGACCTTCTTTAGGGGGAAAGCACAACGGCGATTGAGATAAAGAACACAACTTGTAAAAACAAAAGCTTAATAAGCTGAGCTCTGATTTAAATAGGTAAAAAATTAAAATGAAGGAATGAAAAGGAAATAAAGGCAAGCCAACACCACTTGTGTTCTCATAAACGACCATTTTGATGATTTAATAGACCATTTTACAGTTATGTATGGAACCGAGGCTGGAGTTGACCTTGTTTTGATACAAACCTTCCTGCTTTATCATGTAAATCAAGTTATTCTTATGCTAACCAGTATTTTTCACGTACAATTTCCATAACAAAGCAAAGGAGGTTTGTATCAAAACAAGGTCACCGTCAGCCTCACATTCACTCGAAGGCTAGGGTGCTTAGTCCACAACTGAAAAATGGTCTATTGTTCCAAGGCGAAAAGTAGATTTAAATATAATCTGATGCGCTTATATGAAACTAGTCCTTATTAACAACTATTCTTTGATAAAAAAATAGTAGTCATTATCAAACTGTAATATGAAGTGAAATACACTGTGATATAAAACAATTAAATAAATAAAATTATGAGCAAATTATAAAGCTCATATTAGGGTGATTTTTTTTGACCTAATGAATTGATAACACACGATTAACCAGCTGAATTAGCTTTAATGGTCTTAAATGTCTACCCTATATTAAGTTTAAGACAGAATGGAAATACTATCTCTGCTTGTTTCATCACTGATTTAATTATTTTTTCTCTGCTTTCATTTATTTGAAGGTGGCGGTGTTCAGCTAGAAAGCTCTTGCTACTTTGGACATTACACACATATGTAAATTGCCTCTTCTTAATTATTATTTGTTATCCTTTTTTTCTGTCATTGTTATACATGTTCGCGTAATTGTCCTAGATAGTATACAAAAAAGAATTCAGTGAACTGTCGTTCACATATGAGCACGGTGTTTAACCAGATGGGCTTGCGTAAAGGGTGAGCGACCTTGATGACATCTTGTTGTTCAAGTTAACATTGTTGCCACCTTAAAACTGGTTTTTTTCAGTGAGCATCTACTAGGTAACATCATTATCAGGGTACAAAGGATTTTCACGAGAAACAAATCACGTAGGATTCATTTCTTCTCCATTCCTTGCATCACCAGGAGAAACTTTAGACGAATATTTATGAAAGATCTTCTTTCTGCAAAAGACAAGGACAAGGCTGTAAAAAGCATGTACAGTGTACTACTGTTAAGCAGCTCTTCGATTAAAATGTAAATAGAACTCGCGCAGCATCTTCCCCAGGTACAGAGTGAGCAGAGGAGGCTTGGAAGCTAGCGCAGTAGCCTAAAATTCTTCCTCGGCGAATTAATTTTCCCGACAAGCTAGACAGGTGACGTCGCATCCGAAATCGCTGAGGACGGATTGGAACGAGGTTAGAACTCGTGTAACATTAGAAACAATTAAAGTCATTTACGGCAAACGCAAACGTGAATTTGCACCACGTGACCAAGTTTCCCCTTTATTTGTCCTTCATTGTTTAATGCTTTTAAATAAATATTACTAGTCTCAGGCAAATTTTGTCAATAAGAATTGTTTTTGATAGCTTTTATTTTTTTGTATTTTTTATTTTATTTTTCACTATCTTTTTTGAGAAATTCTCACCTTTAATCTGACGTTTGCCGTTTACCTTAAAAGTAATTCTAAATCTCTCTATTGCGAAAAAAATATAGCATTCGAAAAGTGTCAAACAAAAAAGTGCTCTGAGTGTTAATGATATATGAAATAAATCATATATGAACTGAGGAAATGAAATGAAAATGAAGAAGTGATCGTCGCAGTGTGAACGCAATTTATGCAATGGCGTAAAAAAGCCTGAAAAAAATTCAGGACTTCAACGTCATTAACACTCATTTCTTTCACGGGAACATATGAACCCACACTTGACCTGCTGCCAACGTCAGTGGCTTCATAGCTCAGTTGGTAGAGCATCGCACCGATATCGCGAGGTCACGGGTTCAAACCCGTTGAGATCCTGAATTTTGTTCAGGCTTCTTTACGCAATTGCATAAATTGCGTTCACTGCGACGATCATTTCTTCATTTTCAAAAAAGTGCTCTGTTTTGTTATTACGTAGTTGGAAATATCACCGTCACGTTTAGAGCAGGAATAATAATCTTACCTGTGAATGATGCACTTTATAAGGAAGACAATCAATAAAATTGAGAAAAGTATAAAGAAAGCAATTCCAAATACCATCCAGGTTACTACATAAAAAACAAAACCAAAAGTAAGAAATAGAGACTGAATATTAAACATGCTGAATTGGATTAAAATAAATTTGGAACAAAACGTTTTTCCAGTGGACTAACTAAAAGGTCAGTTTTCATAGACATGTTGTTTTCATTGCAGACGTCTTCATCCGAAAATCTGAAAATTTGGCAGTACCGTTAAATGGAAACTTTGGGATATTGCAAAGTATACGACGGCTTTAGTCCTCTGTTTTTCTATAATTGATTTTTGACATGAGATAAATGATTATATTAAACGACTGTAGTAAAATAAGTCAGATATTCACCTTTATTACATGAAATCTTTTCCTTTTCTGAAAGCTGTGCTTGATTAACAGCTCGCTCTCCATTCAGCAACCGAAACGTTATTGACTGCGAACTGCAGCCTTTGCAAGACTCAGTAGATTTAACTGCAGAGAATACCGTTTTAGTAGTTATTACCACGCACGTCGACAGTGATATTCTCTCCATGAAAGATATTGAATGTGTATCGGGTGATATCTCTGTAGTGAAAATTTTGTTGGCTGAGGGTATCAGTAATTCCTTAGGACCCTTTACGACTGCGACTGTTTGTGAGGCCTGTATCGTAGTGTTATGTGTGGATGATGCTGCATGTGTTGAAGAAACTATCTGGGTTAAGGAAGCTGACCAAGAGGAAGACACTGTTAATGAGGGGGTGGAACTGCCTGTTGCGAGGGCTGAGCTGGAGAAGATAGGACTTTTTTCCGAGGCAATCATTTGTGAACCTTTCATCGTAGTGGTAGGTGTGGATAATACTGTCTGTGTTGAAGAAACTGCCTGGGTCAAATGAGCTGTGCCAGAAGAGGATACTGTGTATGAAGGGCTAGAACTTCCAGTTGCGATCGCCTGAGCTGAGTTGAACAAGGTCATATTAAATACGTCTACACAGGACACCAGGTTGGTGGGTGTGACCTCAGTAGACACTGTTGTTGTGTGCGTTATGACTGACTGGGCACAAACAGCTTTAGTCTCTGCTGCCCTTGTTGATGGAGGGTTCGATGGTAGTGAGCTGGTATGTGTGACTATACTTGACGAGGCTTTATTTGGTATACTAGGACATTCCAGTTTACCCACACCGGTGAGACATTCAGGATCTAATAAAAAAAATATATACATGCTGGTAGATTTAAGGTCATATTTCGCCATTTTATGCGGGAAAAAAACCTCATCATGAGAAAAAAGAAATGGGTTTGAAGACTTCCTGGTCACAGTTCGACAAATGTCAGTGCTATAACAGAGGGTCCTTAGGTTGTTCGGGACTGAAGGTGTAGTCTCGGGATTTTAGAGAAAAAGGGAGCGGTTTTCGAGAAATGTAGAACAAACTTTGGACGTAAATTTGCAGACCCGGTATTCAGGAAAGGGTTTTTATTAGCCAAGATCTGATATAGAAAATTGGCTGCATTTTCATAAATGTAAGGAATATAAACCTATTATTTTTGCTTAACACAAATTATCCACATTTTCCTCTATCTACCCTGGCCTGGTCTTCTGATGAAGGTATCTAGGTGATATTTATGGTACCACTAATTAAACGTTGGGCTCGGGGGTTGACGTTATCGCGCATTAACCGATGAAAACCGTCCCTAGCTTCTGTGGGACTGAGGGAAATTATGATCAGGATGTCGGGATCAAACAACTCTATCTGAGACTTTCTTCAATACATTTTATATTTGCAGAGAAAGTTATAGTAATCATGGGCGCATTTAGGGGTGGGCAGCCTGAACTACGGCCGCGCCTATTTGTGTAAACTCTATACTACTTAGAATTCTCAGTAAAGTAAATACAGAAATAATGGAGCCCATATAGGCACATACCCCCGTGCGGGCAGCTGATATCTGGAAATTATTTTTATTTTTATTTCCTGAAAGTATTTTGACGATTAAATCGGGATGACTAATACCTTTTTCGCATTTGTTACAATTATGTTAGTATTTCCTTTATACTTTTATTATTTCGTAAACGTTATGGTGGGTTGAAAAACGAGAAAATGTGCCCTGCCCTTCCACACCACCGTATTTTACTTTGCATTTATTTACTGAAAATATCCTGCAGTAAACGCAGTAACTGGCATTTATGCGAACTTAAATTTAAAAAATTGTAGGGGGAGTATGCCCCCAGAACTCCTAAGTAGTTTGGAGCACCTTCGGCGCTCTAACTTTCTTCTCGTGCCTACACCTTTCAAATCTCACGCTATACGCTTCTGAAATAGTTTCTATATTACATCGTTGGTAAGTGACCCGGCTGTTTCTTTCTAAATTTTCTGGATCCGTCCCTGGTAATCTCAAGAAAAATATTCGGTAGCAATTCCTGGAAAAGAGTGTCTCTCGTGGATTCCGTTTTTGATAAGGTATAACAAGGTCAATTTGGATAAGGTGATTTAACGGTGCTTGAAAAGTTGCACTTTAAAGTTACCTTGATACGTTGAATTACTCTTTTTGCAGACATACACCTCAATCTTCATGTAAATATTATTGGTGGTGTCTGCACAGTGACCTCCACTTTTGTCGTTGATATGTGATTCTGTTCCGTCCGAGGTTCCTGTAAAGGATAAAGATCATTTTTCAACCTACGTATTGAAACTATATACCACGAGAGGTGACTGCCCTTACAAAGTATCAGGTTTTTGAACGACCGAGAGATAATTTTATCAAGTTAAAGAAAATGCGCAGAACAGCAACAAGTACTGAGGCTTTATAAAACATCAACAAAGAATTTGTGGAACATTTTGGGAGGAGCCGGCACCCACAATGTGAGCACAGTTACTGACAATTCCCATGTGTAGAAAACAGTCTAGTTTTTTTTTTCTATCTATTTTCTGTTTTCCAAAAAACGGAGCTTCCATCTTTTATCAGATTCAAAGACAGGCAGTTAACACTTGGAGTATGTTTGATGGAGCACATTCTGCGTGCCATTCTTAATTTATTCTAGAATAAAAATGCGCAGAAATTTGTCAAAAATTTCTACATACATTTTAACTAGATGTATTTTATATCAGCCAGAGTCTATATGTTACGCTGCAATGAACGCCAAAACAAGTGATCGGTTTAGACTTCATCTATTCTTTATCCCGGGTACGGTCTATCGAAAGCGCCCTAATTTGTGTTATTTTATTTCTTTATGAAAATAGTTAAAAAAAGGATCATACATTTGAACTATTTCAATATATATATTTTTCACTTACCGATGAAATAGTATGTCTTTCCTGCTTCAAACAACAATGCATTTTGGTCTGCCGCATACTGGGCAAATAACAACGAAAAATAATTCAACTTTGTTGGAGTGTCGCATCTCAACAGCAGTCTACTTGTCCTCGTTTCGCCTTCTAGTGAAGTGTTACAATGATCAAAAACTGTTTTGTTATATACTATCCAAAGATTTTCATACATATCTGATATTTGAACTTGGACAGAAGTTGTCTGGAGAACCGTGGCAATATTTGGACAGAGGAAATAGACTTTAGATTGCAATTGTACTTTGAGACGCCTTGGTCCGTGGCCACAGGTAACTCCATCTGCTGCAAACCTGGAAAAATAGACAGTAGGTTTTAAGCGAAGTAAAAACATACCTTATTGGTACTAAATTTCGTCGGTTCTTTTAAAATTTGGCGATTTTAGCGAGACAGTATTTCATGGGCATTTATTTTCTCTATTTCGTTACGCAACCAGGAAAAGGGTCATTAATTTTTTTGCGATTCTAGCCTTCTAAACTCCATTTTATTTTTCAAAAAGTCTGAACATTTAAATTTTCTGGATAAACTGGAACAAGCAAAACGCATATTTAGAAAGTGAGTTTTAAAACTTGAGCAAGCAAAACTCATATTTGAAGTGTGTTTACGATATTTCACAACAAGATACTAAAGGGCCTTAGCACAGAAACCAGTTAAGTGGTGTTTTTGTCATGTCCTGTACATGTATTTGTTCTATTTTTTTTCATGTGAATCATTTAGTCTGTGATTTGAATTTTCAATATGGGTATTAGATTTCGCGAGGATTTTTGTTTGCAGATCTTTAATTTGGCTATTTTTTTACAAACGCTAAAAACGAGAAATTAGAGACCCACGAAAATAAGTAACTAATTAATTATCAACTATTGAATGAGGCTGAGTATGACATAAAAAGTTGTGTGCATCGAGGAGGGTTGGGTATTATCCACCTCCGACTTTGGACTTAGCACCCCCCGAGATTTCTAATTTTATTGGAAAACTAGCCGCATCCGGTGAAAATCACTACCGAAACTGCACAACTTTCCTGCTCCGGAAAATGAAAAAGTAGGAGGTGCGACAAAAATTCTCTAAAACTTTTCAACGCCATTCTAGTTAGAGCTAAATATAATCATACTAACAGAGACAAGAATGGTTCATGTTGAATGCTTGCAAATATTCCGATATTGCTGTTCTTCAGTTTTCGGTCAACCAAAGAACAAAGAATTCTTGAGATAACAATTGTTGGCAATTAATACTCTTTTGGTTAACAACTTAAGACCTTCAGCTAGTACCGCCTTACCTAGTTATTACCTTGCATTTATTGAGAATTATTTTTTCAACCTTTGAAAGTTTACCAAAAATATATTGCATTCATTGGCTGATTCCATACACCTAGTGATAATTTAAATATTTAGAATACTTTAAGCATGTTCTTATTAAGATTAACGGATTGACCGACCGGCATAATCATTGAAAAGTATTCTTCAGCGCTTGGCAAGAATGTTTCATCGTCGATTCTTTTCAGCTTGGAGAAACGGACGTAAAATAATAATTTAGTATCTCTAACAATAATTCTGAAATTATCAATAGCAGCTGCGACAGTTTAGTATTGTCTCTACGCTTAATAACGAAAGTAAATTTGCATATAAGTAGAGCTCGAGTATAATATGGTACGTGCTCTTGAAAGTTAACTGTGACTTACTACCGGTTAGGTGCATTCCTTTTGTATATAACTAGCAATTTTTCAAGCTCTAGCATGTACTAGTCTTTTGCCAGAATTTTACTACAATTGCTTTGAAAGACATTAAATTTGGACGATAGCCTAGCTTACTAGCCATGGTAAATGTGCTACGTATTACTGCTGTCGCTAGAATCGCTCGTCCTTGCAGTTCAAATACATGTACAGCTAGTTTACAACCAACATGATGATATATAAAATCCTCCGGTTCCTTCTCGTGGAGCGACCCACAACGTATTTACTACTCGAACTAAAAACATTTTTTGAAACAAAAATTAAAATTTTCTACTCAATATTGTCCAACGATTTCTGTAGGGAGGTAACCAAACTATGTATCTGCGGGTAACGTATTACGTTGGAACACTTTGTGCATTGATATCGTTGCGTTGTATTTTTTACTCAAACGCTCACCTCAAATTTCAATCACGTCGATCACATGCAGCGATAGATAACAGGTTTTTTCACAGTTGTTTGTAGACAATTTGAAACTTACAGTGTATTTCCCAAGGATTTGTTTGAACTTATTCAAAAGTAGCCTGGGTATTTCAGTTCTCCTCAGGTTAAAAAAGATTACAAAAAGAATTAAGAAATAACGAGAAAAGGGGCAAAAAAAGAACTTGCTCTTGTAGTTGTAAAAATAAAAAGGATTCTTAATTTAGTGGATCTGATATAGAGGAGAAAATGCTAAATACTATTAATAATTTTTGCTTTATAAATGGGAACAGCGGGTTGAACGTATTCCCTTTTGATAATAAGCTGATGGAGTAGTGATAGATCTTAGGTCTCGAAAGGCTCAATTCCCATGTCCTTATTTCGTATTCTCCTTCGCCTAATTTGATCGAACACCGACGAGAAGAGCCGTTTCGATCATCCATAGGGTCCTGGTAAATGTCACGGATCCACGATACACAGTTTAGCTAAAGTATACATAGCGCCCAATATACTTACAAGGTATTTTGAGGGTTCCAGTTAATCGACGGGTAAATATCACTGCAAAATACGTAGCTCAAGTTGACGACGAATCCAAAAACAGAATACAACAAAATGTTCATGCTGACTGAACGACCATCACAAATCCATTAGGATGACGTTAGATCTAAGGCTTGTGTAATTGTAGGAAAATCTTTTGGTTAACTTGATGACTTGGCTGGGTTAGTTTGACTGACACATTGACGGTAATATCACATTAGAATGCTTAAACGTACTAACAGGCTCTTTACTTTTACAATTAGACGCCATGTATATACACGGAAATACACATGCAAATCGCACGAAGTTGTTATGAATAACAATCAGTAACTTGCTCCCGGGCATTCAGACGCGGTCAAGAAGCTGCTCGGTCGTATACGCTTCTTATAGCTTATGTCCTGGACGAAAAGGAGGCTCACGAGGAACGTAAAATAGCGTTTACTTACCTGAAGGAGGAGTAAAAAAGAAAAAAAGCGGTTCATTCAAATGTTATTTACGCACGATGCTCTTTGTGCACCAAATTTTATTTCCGGGTACATCCTCAAACGTTATAGCCAACAAATCATACATCCTGGGCATTAAACTACTTGAGCCCAGTTTTAATAATTATTTTTTACAATAAAGTGCCTCGAGTATTTTGAAACTTTTCGTAGGGTTCCAGCCTTATTTTTAGATAATAAGGTTCGGCAGGCGTTTTGCCTTCAAAGACTACTATTACGGCTATAGTTCAGTTTATTGTTAGGCCTGCTTAACGCCATGTTGTTTCTGGGAAGCTTTATGTTCTCTTTTCCATTTCTTTGTTTCCTTTTTATCATTGTTTTGTTGTTTTTTTTAATATCACGTTCTGTGATGAAAATGTGATGTACAAACAGCAACAAAAACGTTTACTAAAATATGGCAAATTGCAAAGCAATTAGATTTTGCTGGATTTTTGAAAACGTTAACGCTAATATTACTCTTCCGTCGAGCTATCTTAAAGTAGCAAATAAAAAAACTAGCTAAGAGCCCAAACATTGATTTTTTCTCTTCTCATCTTTTCATTCTCTTCGTTCTTGCTAGTTTTCCTTTCCTTTTACTTCGTCAGTGGCATTTTTAGCCTTAACGGACACAAAAACTCAAATGGCTGCAAGTTTCGCTAAGTTCATTTTCCAAAATCAGGCCATCTAAACTCTATTTCCTATGAAAGCGCACCACTAGGAGTGATGTAAGCAAAAAAAGTGTTTTAAAGAACCTTTTATTTTATTTTATTTTAGTTTGTTACCTACGTCAAATCAATGAACGCTTTTTACTTTCCCAGTATGAGCTGCTATTTTCCGGGACACAAGAAAGACAAGAAGCTGATACGACTGCGAGCAGCCGCTGGAACTAAGAAATGGATTTTAATGAACAAGATTTGTTGGAGTAAATCACTCGATGTAGCCGACGTAACCATTTTTCTAAAAATCTTCAATAACTGACGTTCTGATCTTAGTAATGACGACATGATTTCTGCCTATAGTCTGAAAACTTGTCTGCAAAATGACATTTTTTTGGTCTGAAATAGTCAACCTCGCTTTTCCCTCAGTGGCTTTGGAGGTGGCGCGGGAAAAGGGCCTTTTCCCACTCCACCTCCAGAGCCAGGGAAAAGCGCCTAGGGACCCTCTAGGGACGAGGCTGTGAAAAAGGGTCATGATTTGGAGAACCGGGCGGCACACCTTCACCAAGAATTCCCAGGGGTACCCCCCTGGGGATAAAGTACAAAGGACAGCAAACTGAATATGGCGCAGGATGTAAGATATACAGGACTGATCCGACCAGCGAAAACAATTAAATGGACACCAAATCTCCACAGCTGGTAGTACTACATTTGGACTCATAAATTTCCTTGCAAGACATAAACTCGACACCGATAGAACCTGAAAAGAGCAGGGTTACAGCCGTTGACAGCTGTTTCGCATTTTTTGCGGCTCATGTGAACGGCGTAGGCTCTGTTTGAAAAAAATCTGCACACTCTGTTATAAGTAGAAGCCCTGACAATAGTTTGAGTATCAGGCCTTATTTAGGCGTTAGGAGAGAAGAGATTTTCTCCTCCTTCCCCTCTAGAAAAGCCTGATAACAATGCCCCGTCACACCCACCGACCACCTACACCCTACTATCACGTACCTCTCCGGGAGGGCAAGAGTCAAAGTGTTAAATTGATTTCTCTCAAGAGAAATGATAGTAGGATGGCCAAACCAACCTTGGTAAAAAATGGACAAAACTATGCTGAAAGACTTTGGAAATTAAAATACTCCTGGAACGTGGTCTGTACGAAAACAACCCGGGCAAAGCGCAGAGTGATTTAAATAACTTTGGGCCCTTTTAACTGTTCTTATAGAAGGGAGTTCTTACGTACAATCTCGGTCAATCTTTGCGTCAACTTTATTATACAAAGTTTCTTAAATATTAAAAAATAGTGTTTTCCTTTGTTTCCGAAGTTCGCGTTCCATAAATCTCCGGTTGGCACTTCCTTAGTTCCGGTTCAGTGCCAGATCTCGCGTCACGCCATTATGAGAATACGAAGTACATGACGAAAATATCACTCTTCACAGATTCACCGTCCTTAGTCCTTTAGTGGTTGCTCGTGAATGAAAGCAGGTAAGATCAGGAAAATTCGCTCGATTTTGTTCTATTATCAGCCGCTCCGGGAACCGAGCGAGCGATGGTAATCGAACCTGAACAGCGCGCTGGTACTACAAGAAAAAACAAACGTGTTTGGCATTATCCTCAGGTCAACGGCATTTTGGTTTTTGTATTCCTTGTAATACAAATGTAGATGGGAGCTGCATCTATTCAAGGGGTTCTCTCGCAATTTGCTTCGATTTGTTCTCGGCTTAAATTGTTTCTCTACTTCCATTCCAATGTTAGATTTCGATATCTACAGATTACATGCTCTTATGTTCAACAAGACATATTGACTTGCGGGGTATCTCACTCAGAAGTACTCAGACTGACACATGAATTCCAGTTGTCAGAACTGATATGCGTCGCATAGCTATCCATACCACAACTTTGTTTTGTTTTATAAACAAGAATCCCAGATGTGGTCTCAGAAATTGAATCCAATGGTTATACCCACTTGGAAGCGCTGATCTTCCATACATAAAAATATAGAAAAAGGTTAGACATCATGAATTTCTTATGATCTCACCCGAGTTTTATTGTGCAGTAATTTGCATTTTTAGGATGTGTTGTGACGAATTGTATTTATTTATGAAAACTTTCGATCCGTCATTTTTGTCAAAAATGGCGGCGATACAAAGACTAGGGATTAAGCGTTTCGGATCGAGTTACTATGTGCATTTTTGCTCTCGTTCCAACTTCGCTCAGAAACGCTTGCTACGTAGGCTGCCCGTGGATGGGATTTACTCAAAGACCTTCATGGAGCAGATGTAGCCAGCGTTTAAAAAAAAAGAAACGGATGGAAATTTTGGCAATAATTTTGTTTTAGCTCCTGTGTGCAACGACCGCGACCGCGTACAATAATTTGCTGTTTTCCTTAGTTCCCTGGAAACGCAGGATAAACTTGTTTTCCTTGGACAATTCAAGCTGAGCAGAGGAAGTGAGAACCTATCTTGTGGTGTGCTTTTGTTAAGATCACAGGGCACATGATTTCTTCGTGACAAAAATAGTGAAAACCGAGGATGGATTATTTTCATATCTTTTGTTAATTTTCGGCTTTGTATATAGACTTATGAGACTTTCTTTCATGTTTTGACACGTCTGAATCTTTTGCGAAAGAATACGATCCTTTTAAGCTCTTTTAGACAACGTTTGTCGCTTATCAAAAGTGAGTTGTCATTAAAAACTTCGGAGCAAAATGCAAAATGCAACAACAACAAAAACAAAAATAATAATAAAAAAATGCCGTTGAGACCAAAAGAAATTTTCTGATTTCGTTTATACCGTGGAAGAGTTTTGGGGCTCTTCACACTTGTTGGCTACGGTATCTTGACAATCTTGTTCAGGCCTTCTGCAGACTGCGTGACAGGCGCAAAAAGGGGAGGGGGAAAGGGAAGGGAGCGCCGTCCCTCACCCTCAGTCCCCAATCACCCTCCCCTTTCCCCTTCCTCCCAATCCCCTACCCCTTTCGACGCCTGCTACGCAGGCTACCCTTGTGTACCCAAATCAGCACGAAAACGCTGTGTTCACACCAATGGCTGGCGAGTACCGTACTTGATCACTGTGCATGTTCACGAAGCGTAAAAGCCGCTGCCTTAGTCTTAAACATACATTTCAAATACACTGTGAAAACGAAAGGAAATAGAATGTTGGAAGATTTGGCATTTGGAATGTTTTTCACGAGTCTTTGCCGAACGATAACCGCAAGTTCGCGATGAAACTTTGCTGTATCGTACTTGACCTAAATTTCGAGGACTGTTTGGGTAGATCTCTCTACAGAATTAACTTTCGTTTCCGTAGAGATTTGTTACAAATAAATATCGAACGAGCGTTATTTTGGGGAGACGACCTTTTCTATGAATGAAGTGCGCCTGACGAAAATCCGAGGACACAGGACAAAGCCTGTAATAGTACAACTAGCTTAACTGGCCGGCCTTTCGGTATCTACTTGAAACAGATATTTAATTCAGTTAGAAAAAAAAAAAAAAACGATCTGTAGCTGTCCATTAACCTTGCTGAAGTCAAAAGTGCATTTGTTCACGCTATTTAAGAAGAGATTTCAAACCTGCCTTTGTGAACTTGTAGCAATGATTATAACCAATTTTTTTTACACCGCCTTTGACTTAATACATTCTCTTGATTTGTAAGCAGTCATTAAACTTCTACCTTCAACCATGAGAAGGAGGGGGAGAGGAGCAAATATTTTCCCCACATGACTTTGCTTGATTTGTTTGTGTTCTAGGAAAAATGCCTCTCACTGCGGATGAAATTTTAGAAGAAGTTGGTAGTTTTGGTTGGTTCCAAAAACGACTCCTTATTCTTTTCAACGTACTTTCCTCTCTTCTCTTTGGTTGGGCTGTAATGGTGACAGGTATCATAACGGCGGAACCCCCCTGGAAATGCGTACAGAACAGCACAGCTTGTGCATTTGACGGGGAGTTTAGTCCAGGCGATGACAACTATGACCACCGGTGTAACATCTCGAGAAAAGATTGGAAATTTGTGGATGACTTCACTACCGTTGTCACGGAGGTAAAAAGAAGGATATAGAGGCTGATTTGCATTTGTATTGTGGTGAATTTTTAAAAATTTTCTTTTTCTTTTTTTATGGAGTTTCATGGTAATGAATTTTAAACACAAACTACCCTGCAAGTAGAGACTTCTTTTAGCTTTTGTCCTCTACACTGAAGAAGAGAAAGGGAGGCTGGCTCTGCCTGAATCGTGTCAAGCCTTTGAAATCGCCTCAGCCCGCCTTCTGGACTAGTCAGTCTCGTTATCCCTCGTCAAACTGGTTTTTCTGGGGCGGGCTTCCGTTCACTGATTGATAAACCAATTGTCATAACTGAACCCGTTATTCCAAGGGCACGGCTATTAGGCGTGGGTCCGAAATTGTATCCTAGCAACATACAGCGTATTCTCAAGTACGAGCAAGCGAAAGAAAGGTTCTGCTGGCAGGGTGAATTAAGACGTGATAGAACCTGACTAAGACATTTTTTCCAATCAGATCACTTACAACGAGAGATTGGCTGGAATATATTTAAGAGTATAAAACGAAGAGAGTGTAATTGCTTATGGAAAAGGTACTATTACAAAAAAAATACTCTACCCCGAAATTTTCCAAACCACCAAAGTCAAGTTTTGAACAAGCTGCTTTTTCCTCCTCTGCGCAAGTTAGCTTTTGGTATTTCTTTTTCTCTGTTATTTGCTGATAACTTTGCGTTCTTCCTTTTTACAGTTCGATCTGGTTTGTAGCGAATCAATTTATGGAACCTTAGCTGTAGCTGCCGTGTTCCTTGGTTTCTTTTTCGGTGCCATAATCATTGGTCCTTTTACAGATAAGTTTGGACGAAAGCCAACCATTTTCATCTCTGGGTTTTTCATCGCTGTCTTTAGTCTGGCATCTTCATTCCCCAAAATCTTTTCTCTCTTTGTTGTGTTCAAGATTATCGTGGGCCTTGGTGTGGGTAAGAAGTTTTTTCAATAATTTAAACTTTTTTCTTACAATTCTCAGCCTCGGCTCATCATAGGCGTTTTTAGGGGAGCTCGTATTTCGTCCCTCCCCACAAACGGAAATACGAGCTCCCCTAAGAACGCCTGCGAAGGAGGCTATACAACTCATGGAAAGCTACTGAACTCATTATTTAAAGGACCGTTTCATTTTATTCCGCCTGTTGTTTATACTGTTAGCCTTTAGTTTTACATGAACTCTTATCAGAAACTCAAATGAAGAATGATACCCGCAGTTGTGAACGAAATTGATGCAATTGCGTAGGAAGCCTGAAGAAAATTCAGGGCATTAACGGGAATTTAACCCGTTACCTCGCGATACTGGTGCGATGCTCTAACCAACTGAGCTTTGAAGCCACTGATGTTGTGAGCTAGTCAGTTATGTGTTCATATGTTCCCGTGAAAGAGATGGATGTGATAGATGTATATGGAATAAGCAATAATCAACTTATTATTATTATTACATCACACGCAAAAAGCGACAAATACGTAGCAGTTAGATTGGCGTGCATATTATACTTTAAAATTATTGCCTGAAGCTGAATATGATGCAAAGAACTGTACAGATGGAGAAGGATGTTATAATTTCGACCGCGGTGGATAACAGGCTCCGAGATCTGAATAATTAATCGGATCAGAAATTCAGTGATTTTTTTATCGTTCATTCAAAATATTTAAAAATAATCGTTGCCTGGGGGAAATCCTGGTTATGAAGAATTAGCCGGAGGATTAAAGCCAATCAGAACGGTGAAGTATTTTGTATGAATAATAATTCTTTTTTTTTTCAACAGGTGGAGCGAGCGTCGCCATATTTGTTCTTGTGACAGAATTTGTCGGTGTCCGACATCGCAGTATGATGGGTATGTCCCTTTGGTACTGCTGGAGCATTTCTCTCATGGCATTAGCTGGATTGGGTTACCTCATTAGAGACTGGAGAATGCTAAGTATTGCCACATCGGTTCCTGGAATTCCCGCATTGCTTGGGTGGTTGTAAGTGTAGAAGCCATTCACAAAAGTTAGAAAGATTTCCGTCTTGTAACGTGCTTTTCTTTTACATTACTTCTGATTTTTCTTTACGTTGACAGTCTGACCCCTGAATCTGTACGCTGGTTGATGATAAAAGGGAAAACCGAGCAAGCTAAGGAAATTTTCCGAAATATAGCAAAAGTGAACAAAATGCCCATGTCCGATATGGATCTAAAACCTCCAGAAGATGATCAGCGTTTGGGCGATGTTCGCGAACTTTTTGCTACACGCAAAATGGTTCAAAAAACACTTTTGTCTTGGTACTGCTGGTAAGTTTGGATGCAGTTTTTCGGCTACACTTTTTCATTGCCTTCTTGAATGAGTATATAAGTTACATTCTACTCTGTACTTTCTTTGGTCTTTATTACAACCATTTAATACTCTCATGATGTTTTAAACCAGATTGACTAGTGTTCGGCGAGTTCGTAGGCCTCCCTCGTGTTTATCTCTACTGGCGCATTACGGTCGGGGTACTCCGGTTTTCCAAATTCCAGTTTGATCAGAAATTAGAAAAGAACTAGTTGATCGTACTGCCACTAAATCGTTACTTATTTTGAAATTTTAGCGTCTGGCAAATCAAATCAGATTACTGGAAGATAAGGGAGACATTTTATATCCAAGATGTTAAGCAAGCTTTTATTGTCAACGTCACCAGCGAAAAACTGTTGCTTTATTTTGTTGCCTTTTATATTCACCGTTTGGTCTCATTTCCAGACCCCTTGTCAAATTTGTAACGGTCACTTTTGATCGCTTTTGAAAAAAAAGGTTGACTAGGAAAAATACGAAACGTCAAGTTTATATAAAAATGCGATAGTTCACAATGTTTATCACCACTGGTTGTGTTTAATTTTCGATGAAATTGTTATTTATTGACTTTTATTCATTCATTCATTATTTACTTATGTTGCTTACAGGTTTGTCAATGCTCTGGTTTATTACGGTGTTTTCCTAAGCGCGCCTTCTATTGGAGGAAATTTCTTCTTGAATTTTTTTCTCACAAGTTTGATCGAGCTCCCAGCTATACCATTAGGCGTTTGGCTCTTTAACAGGTTTGTTCTAACTATCATCATACTCTTCATCTTTTAAACATTTTTTCGCGATCAAAGAATCCTGAAGCGCTTTAACAGGTTTTCCTTGACCATATTTTAGGACTCAACATGTGAACATTTATTGAAAGTGGTTCTACTAAAAAGAAAGAAATTTTCAACCTTTTATCCAACCTAAGCCTTTCGTATGCTTATCCCTTTCCCTTACCATTGGACTACCACAACGATCCGCGACAACTCCAAAGAAGTTGTTGATTAGTACATATAATGATTTACTGTTTTTCATAAGTGATAACGTCGAAAAAAAGTTATCTCTAGTCTTTTGTGGAAATTTTTTTAAATGTAAATTTTGGGCTTAAATTTCGCATCGCACAGAATTTGACCTTCCTCGGTGACATCCACAACAGGGGTCCGGGTTCTAGTCTCACAGTCCGCCATGTTGCCTACTCAAAACCAGGCCTATCCAAAAGGAAGACCTTAGATAACAACATAATCTCAACCACGTTGTATTGTAGCGTCCAGCAGTTTTAGTGAAAACAAGGGTCTGGGCGTGGTGCTCAGTCTCGCGGGCTCATAAAACCTGGTCTCGGTCATTGTTAAAAAGGATTCTCTATCCAAAATGAGTTAAAAAGAGCCCTAGTAACTACATTTAATGTTGTTATGGTGACTTTGCTTGGATTTTAAAATGGCGGTAAAAAATTAAGTTTATCGTGGAGGAAAAAGTGCGGCTATTTGGCCGCTATTTCCACAGTACGTTTCGTACAATCAACCGGGAATAGCGAGAAAATTCCAAGTTTAAAATGTTAGCGGTTAGAGGTATTATCCCAAAGGTATGTTTCAATAGTTTACTGTTTATTTACACACTCGAGTTGATCTTCATTATCAGCTTCCTCACTTTTACGTAGTGTCCTTGATTTTTGTTTAAGTGGTTGAGAAGTTCGTCTGCCGCTAAGTTCCACAGATTTTGAGCCTTTCGTGGGCACGTTTTTGACTGCAAAAAGTCTTTGGATCCGCTGCTGGAATTTTAGAGCCTTATCGACAGTTAGTTGACCTCTGTGATGGATGTGATTTATGCTTGCGCACTTTTTGATCAGCAATCACCAGAGGCATCGATCGATAAAAATGGCTGTGTTAATTGTGAGTTTTCGCGTTTTTCTTTTAAGTTTCTGTTCGAAAAGCCATGGCCGTGATAAACTGACAGCTGCTGGAGAGACTGGATGTAATTTCTAAGAGTTCTGAGCTGTCGCGAGTTTCTGTGCGATGGTTCCTTCTAACAATCATCTGCAGCACGTATTGGATTACGTATTGTTTAAAAAACGTCAATATGTTGTGCTTTATACCTTAAGCCAGCAAACCAAAAGAATAAAAGTAAAATTAAGGAAAGTTATTCCTGTTACCTGTAGATTTGGAAGGAAGAAAAGCATTATTGCGTGTTTGATCTTAGCTGCGTTTTCATCATTTGGATCCGTTCTTATAGCAAGCGAGGACAATACTAGTAAAGGTAGGAGTAACTTTAAAGGCTGTTTACGTGGTGGGAGGAAGATTCTAGTACCGAGAAGATTCTAGAAGGCGAAACAACTTTTCGTTGGGTCTACATGCAGAAATTTCGGTCCGTGTGGTTAACAGTAGAGAAGGAATTTAAGATTAAAGATAACCCATTGAACGACCTGCCGCCGTTTTTGTTCTGTTTGTCCCTAGTACTAGGATCTTCCTAGCGAGGGCAGTTTACATGGTGCTAGGATCTTGCTAACGCTAGGGACAAGTACAGCTTTTGCATGTAAACTGAATACAGAAAACATATGTTGCTAGGATGATCCGCCTTCTAGCATCTTCCTGGTGCTAGGACCACCCTCTCTCCATGTAAACAGCCCCTTAGTTTTATCATAAAACATGATGGCTTTAATACAGCCAGGATTTTTGAAAAAATAATTAAATGATTAATGATTAGTCGTGTTAACCGGCATATTCATATAAACGGAAGAAAACAAAAACATGGGACATGGTGACCGCGGAATGCTATAAACATAGCTAATATATAGATTTAGCCAGGGCTAAAAGCGAAGCTCTCGATAATATTTATATTTGGTTCAAACAAAATATAAAATCGTGTAATGCTAAGCGGCGAAGGCAACGCCGGAGAATGGTGAAAAACAACAATAGGTCTAATTAACTAACAGCTAATTAACTTTTTTTGTACATTTCTTTGCCGTTGTTTTGCACGACTGCAACGTGAAACTTCCAGAAACTTCTTAGTTACACGTTTTATAGACTGAAATGTCGTACGTTTTCTCGTTCACTGTTTTTTCACTGCCGCTCACTTTCACCTTTCATTGGTGGCCGCTAGCATTTCTCATTTTGTCACCACCGCTACAAAATTGTCATGTTGTTCTTCCAACAAAAAAGTGTCTCCTTTGTTTTTTATCTCTCGCTCTAGATCTCTGTCGCCCTTTATCTCGTTGACCTTCGCTGGCCTGCCGCCCACTTTCTCTTTTTCTCTGTCTTTCTCTTGTTCTATATTCCAAATTTGTGGACATGACAATTAATCTAAGCTTAATACTTTACAAAACACGGATACAGAAAAACTTTCCGCTTTCCGTTTTCGTCTTTATTGACTCTTTAGTTGTCTCTGCTCACAAGACGCGGGTGGCTATGCGATTTCCCGTCAAAATAACCTCGAGTTACATTTGGGTTGCCATACCTTTTGAATGAGTTATTTTACATTGGTATGCCTGTGGTGCGGACGGACGGTTGGGCGGTCGGTCGGTCGGTGTACGGTCACGTGAATACCAAATTTTCTCGGATGGGTAGTTTACCACATTTTCTTACCCACGGTGCTCCGCTGCGCGCGCGCGAGAGCTCCGCTAAGAATCATTATTTTGCGCTAAAGGAAATCTATTTACTTGTCTGCCGCCTGGCATATCATTAGCATCGGATGATATTTAATTTAAGAGAAAAAAAATATAAGAAAGGTTGCCTTATCCAATGAATTTGTTTACACGTATGTTTGTTTGTTTGTTTTTTTTTGTTTTGTAGGTGCACTTGCTGGCAAAATAATACTGTCCATGATTTTAGCCAAGTTGTTCATTACCATCTCCTTTGATGGAGTGTATCTTTACACCGTGGAACTATTTCCAACTTCTGT